ACACACACACACACACACACACACACACACACGCACACACACACGCACACACACACACACACACACACACACACACGCACACACGTGATGACCAATTTTGCATCGTGGTAGCATTAGTGTTGTAGCAGGATCGAGTCTCAAGGGTCCAATGGGGAAGCAATGACGAAGCAGGGATAAATAGAAAAGATATACAGGGACCAGTCATGTGGCGGCGAAAGGGTGCCAGGAGCTCAAAGCCTGCTCTGTCTCTCCTGCACCGCACTACTGACCGCCTTTGCAGGATGCACCAATGCGCCCATCGTCTGAATCCTTGTAATGGCGTCCTTTTCAATCCTCACCAGTAATTCCTCACAAGTAGGCACATCATGAATCAATCCCAGTGTGATGCCCGCACTCCAAACTCCTGCTTCTGGATCACCCTTTTCATAAACTGTCCTTCCCCTTGCACCCGAGACTAGGTGTTGAATTTCTTCAAACTTGGCACCACCTCGTTCCTTGGCAATGGCTTCGCGAGCAACGGCATTGCTGTAGACGCGAGCGGTGTTGCGCATAGTACGGAAGAGGTGGACAGTATCGTTCTCGGTGCTGTCGACGATGGTTTGCTTGATGCGGGGGTGGATCTCAGATTCAACGGTGCACATGAATCGCCTGTTTCAGAGTTGGAGGCAAGGGGAGCAGGTGTGATGGAGTCAGAGGGGGATTTCTTGGAGTAAAGGTTGGAATGGGGCCTCCCGACTCACGTTCCCATGTTGACACCACAGCAGCCAAGAGCTAGAGCGGCAGCGAGACCGTCTCCGTTGGCCATACCTCCACTGGCGATAAAGGGGATGGTGAGCTCTTCTTTGGCGCGTGCAAGCAACACAAGACCGCCAATGTCCATCTCTCCAGGGTGGCCGGCGCACTCGAAGCTGAGGAGGGGGTCAAGGGAGGGAGAAGAAGATGTCAGGACGGAAAGCAGGGTGTATGTCCAGCTCTGGTCGCAGCAGATGTTCTCACCCGTCAATGCTGAGGCAGTCGACGCCCATCTTTTGACTAGACACGGCGTGTCTGACTTGTGTACACTTGTGAATCACGTACGCTCCGTGCTGCTTGACCAGCTTGATGATCCTGGATGGCCAAAGGGGGGAATGGTAACAGGTGAGTTGATGCGCCTGTCTGCTGTACTCTGCAGGCTGCCAGCCCATCCTATACGCTCAGCGACACTCACTTTGTGGGAGCGTTGCCCGCCGTCTCAAAGATCCTAATGCCCTCCTCAAGTGCCGCTCTAGCGTACCCCTCGTAATCCGGCGGATTAATCGAAGGCAGAAGGGTAATATTCACGCCAATTGCACCGAATTTGCTCCTCTCCCTCACTCCAGGCTTGAGTAGAGAGTGAGCTTCTCGAATCGCTTGACGCAAGTGGTCGGGCGAAGGTTGAGTGAGGGCAGTGATCATCCCTAGACCACCGGCGGAGGAGACGGCGGCGGCTAGCTGAGGACGACCGACCCATTGCATGCCTCCTTGCACTACGGGCACGCGAAGACCGAGGGCGTCGGTCAGGGCAGTCTTGATCGACATGTCTGAAATGTGGACAGAAGGTGGTGAGGAGGGTATCAGCAGAGCCGATATGGATGTACAGTCTGATGGAGAGATAGGAAGATGGATGGTCACGCTGATAATGATGGCGGTGAGGACCAGCGTTGTTACTCCTCTGCCCGCATTATTTCTCCGGCTTACCTGCCAAGCCACAACACCGGCACTTCCGACCATTAGCCGGCACACACAGCCGCAGAGCTTCCTTTGTCTAATACCGATAGCTGGTCAGTATTCGAGTGAAAAGTGGAGCTGAAGGGTCATCATGACCGTCGAAGCAACAGCAACGGATGTCCAGGCTCAAGCTCGTACTATCGCGAGGATCCTCTCGAAGCGGGTGACCATGATCCGGAATGCGGGGTGTGTGGGCGTGGCTGGGTGAGTGGAGCAAGCCTCGTCTTCGGAACGGAAGCAGAGGCGTCGAGCTGCGAGCTAGAATATTCCCTCGGAATCAGACGACGCCAGTCCTTCCACTTTCGCACCTTCTACTCCTCTCCAACCACCGCATACTACCCCCTCACCACTCGCTCACGATGTCATCTGTTGCAGAGCTCAAAGCCAAGGGCAACGCTGACTTTGCCGCTAAGCGATACGAGGAAGCCATCAGCCACTACACTGCCGCCATCGAGGCTGCACAGGGAGAGGCTGATGCGCCACATGTCCTCTACTCGAATCGATCGGCTTGCTACTCCGGATTGAAGAACTATGAGCAGGCTTTGGCTGATGCTGAGAAGGTGAGTGGGAAGCACAAGCTGATGGCAATGTATGCTGCCCTGCTTGGAGCGGTAGACTGACCTTGTCCTCTTACCTATTTACTACTCACAGACCATCGAGCTGAACCCCTCCTTCGCCAAGGGCTATGGCCGCAAAGGTGGAGCCCTCCATGGTGCTCACCGCTACGCCGCATCGATCAAGGCCTTCGAAGAGGGTCTGAAGATTGCTCCTACAGACGCCGCCCTCAAGAAGGGTCTCGAGTCTGTTCAGCAAGCACAGGCATCTGAGTCCACAGCAGGCGAAGACCCCGGCGCCGGCATTGGCAAGATGTTCCAGGATCCTCAGCTCATGTCCAAGCTCGCCGCCAGCCCCAAGACGGCCCCTCTGCTCGCAGACGCTTCCTTCATGCAGAAGATCCAGCATCTGCAGAAGAACCCTCAGGAAGCAATGGGTGCTTTCCAGGACCCCAGGATGATCCAGGTCATGGGAGTACTGATGGGTATCGATCTGCAGGCCTTTGACAGGCCCGAAGGTTCGAATGACTTGCCCGCCGATCTCGAGGGCAAGAGGGAAGAGATCGAGAAGCAGACTGGTGGATCGAACGCAGGCGCCTCCTCTTCCCAATCACCAACTCCACCAAAGGCAGAGCCGGCCAAGAAGAGCGCACCTGCTGCTGCTTCGTCCTCGGCAGACGCGGAGATGAAGGATGGTACAGCTTCGGGTAGTGCTGCACCAGCAGAGGATGATGAGGAGAAAAAGGCCAAGGCAGCAGCCGAGGCAGAGAAGAAGGAAGGAAATGCAAATTACCTGAAGCGCAATTTTGGACCAGCCATTGAGCACTATCAGAAGGCATGGGAGCTGCACAAGGACATCACCTATCTCAACAACCTCGGTGCATGCTACTTTGAGCAAGCCAATTTCGAAGAGTGTATCAAGACGTGCAGGAAAGCGATCGAGGAGGGCAGGGAGATGCGGGCCGACTACAAGCTGGTAGCCAAGGCATTTGGTAGGATCGGGTCGGCGTACCAGAAGCAGGGAGACCTGCAGCAGGCCATCGACAACTACCAGCGGTCACTCACGGAGCACAGGACGCCCGAGATTCTCAACAAGCTGAGGGAGGCAGAGAAGACGTTGAAGGACCAGCAGAAGCAGGCATACATTGACCCTGCAAAGGCAGACGAGGAGAGGGCGAGGGGTAATGAGCTCTACAAGGCTGGCAAGTTCGCCGAGGCCGTCGCTGCGTTCACAGAGGCAATCAAGCGCAACCCTAGTGATCCTCGAGGTTACACGAACCGCGCTTCCGCCTACACTAAGCTGGCTGCTCTCCCTGAAGCGCTCAAGGATTCCGAGGAAGCCATCAAGGTAGACCCCACCTTTGTCAAGGGCTACATCCGCAAGAGTAACGTCCTCTTTGGCATGAAGGAGTACACAAAGGCCATGGAGGCCATCCAGCGTGCCTCTGACGCCGATTCCGCCGGCGCAAACAGGGGTGAAATCACCTCTACTTCGAACAAGATTCAGCAGGCACTCTATGCTGAGCGGGCCAATGAGACGGACGAGGAGACGCTCAAGAGGGCTAGTCAGGACCCAGAGGTGCGACAGCTACTTGAAGACCCGGCTATGCAGCAGCTCCTCCAGCAGGCACAGCAGGATCCTCGAGCCCTGCAGGAGGCAATGAAGAACCCGGGTGTGAAGAGGAAGATCGATAAGCTCGTTGCTGCGGGAATTATCAGGACTAGGTGAAGTGGGTGAAGTAGAAAAGGGCATACAGAGTCAAGATTGAGGGAATGGAGTTGCAGTACAACGGAGACATAAGGGGTGCATAGTCAGGTATGCACGGCGCATCCTTAGATAGCGAATTGTCTGTATCCCTCATCGCTCCAATACGTTGATACATACACAAAATTCTTTCACTCTCACATGACCATCTTGTGAACACTCTGCTGATCTTTACTGACTGAATGACAACAGAAGAGATGTAGACGCTGGTATGAACGTTTGTGGTTTTCTTTTTTGCAAGGAGTCAGAGACTGAGCAGAGCAAGACGGGGATGGAAGAAAAGTACAGATGATGGTTGATGGCGGATAACAGGACACAGGATACGGTCTGACATTCTCTTCTCCCTTTACTTTCGCTTCTCCCGCTCTTCCCTCTCTCCTGCTCATCCTCATTTCCTCTCCCGCTCTCGAGGCGCATCAAATCCAAACCCTTCCAGGTGATGGTCCAACAGTACGTCCGGGCTGGTATCGTACCGCTGCTGCTGCTGTCGTGTCTGCACAGATGCGTGCTGAAATGACGGACCGATCTTGAAGACGGCCGAGGATGCCGAAGGGGGAAGGATGAGGAGCAGACCTCCCTTCTCCCCTGTTGATCGCACTGCATCTCTTTCTGCCCCTACTCCAGTTCCTGCTCCTGATGGGCAGTCTCCCTCCCCGTCTTTCCACTCGGAGGAGAGGTCCGACCTGTGCGACCCGATGGGGGAAGTGCGTCTTGCAGTATTATCCCGAGAGACAGGTGCGGCGGAAGACATTCCTATTCCTCCAAAGACACTGGGTGCGCTCTTCGAGCGAAGCATCTGTGTTGCCTCATACTCGCCTTCGTTATCACCTTCATCGTGGAGGAGCCCAGCAGCGGTAGAGGAGACAGACGCATCGAAGAGCCCTAAGCTCGACTCGAGACTAAAGTCGAGGTCGAAGCCAAGTGGCACCTCGAGCTCTCCATCTCGGCCTTGCTGTTCTGCCCAGTCGAGGAGAAAGTCACATTCCGTCTCGTCGATGGGGAAGGCGTCGGTAGGGATCTCCTCGCGAGAAAGTGGTGTGGGAGGTCCACTGGAGGGGGACTTGGGGTGGAGGGATGCGAGACGGGATGCCCCGCGTTGCTTGAGAGATAGGGTGCTGTTGATCGATTGGACGACTGCGCCCGCAGAAGCGGCGCCCTTGGACGACATGAGCGGAGCAGTGCTCGCCTCTGCCTCGTCACTTTTACCGGAGCGGCCAGAGTCTGCCGACGAGGAGGAGGTCCGCTTGGATGACACCTCAGACGAATGCTGACTGCCATCCGATGACCGGGGGGCGATGATCTCTTTACGTATCAGGGGGCTCGAGAGGGAGCCAAGTTCACCATCTGGACTGCTGACCTTCTTGATCGAATCCGCAGACCAAAGGGAAACCATGGGCGCAGATTCACTCTTTGATCTTACCCCAGAATGACTCTTGGAGATCGTGAGCGGACGAGTCCTCACGGGCGATCCGAGCGCCTTGGCCTGAGCCATGCGTACTCGTGTGTCCTCTCCACAACCGCTGCTCTCCTCTAGCATCTCCACGCCCTCTTCGCTACTCGAGTAGTCTCCCTCCGTCTCAGGTAGCAGAGCCATACGACCGAGAGTAGGCGAATTGTCATCGTCGGAGATGTAGCGCATGGAGTGCACTACAGAGGCGTCGGCACCCGAATGCTTGCCATGAAGAGCGGGGCCAGCGGCGAGGAACTCTTCGCCCACTATCGTCTGGTCCTCGAGCTCTGAATCGTACTTCGAAGTACCCGGTGAAAGCATTTGGCTTCGCGAAGGACGAGTCTCTGGGCTCCACAAAGTCGATGCTGGACTTGACGAGTAGACTGTGCTGGGGGTGACGTTGCTCGTCGCCAGACCGCCTCGTCCACTCTTCTTTGGCGTGTCGAAGTGGAGCGCGTGCTGCATGGAGCCATCATGTCCGCATTTGCCGATCAATGGACTGGCTTGCTGACTGAAAGCAGGTGTTCGCTCGCCCTCCGAGGCCTGACGTATCCTAGGGCGATGCTCGATCATGCTATGCCAGCTTGCGTCCTTCTGCGAGTTCTCTAAGGTGCGCTCCCACAGCATGAGGTCGCGCGCGCCAATGTGCGGTGACGGCGAAGGTAGCACGGCCGCTGCGACACCTGATGGGCTGTTCGGCGCAGAGACCAATGTGTGTCGAGGCAGGGTGGGTGAGGGAAGAGACTGGTTCCGTTGGTAACATCGAGGGACAGAGGAGTGTGCATGACCAGGCTTAAAGCGACGTAGGTACGTATCAATGCGTGACGCCGTCGGCGAACTTTCGTTGCTGACCGATGTCGAGCAGGCATCCCTACTGACGCCCATCGCGATCGACTTGAGCGGAACAGGTGGTGGCGTGGAGGTGACATTGAGGTTCGGATAGGGTTGTACAGCCGTCTGAGGAAGGGGCAGAGACGCAGAAGACCCCGCATCGATAGAATCATCCAGGTATAGCCTTGTCGAGGAGGTCAGTCCGTTGCCTCTGGCGTTGAATGAGCCAATCTGACCGTGGGGTGTAGACCGAGCAGGCGTCGTACCAGACAAGCCTGTTAGAGGCACTCTGTCGCTGGAGGTTGAGCTGGAAGTGCTGGGCCGGGTGCCGGAGCTGAAGCTTCCGCTGGTCTTTGTCGCTACCACAGGTCCGTGGCTGGATTCTGAGGGGGCGAAGCTGGGCTTGCGCGAAGAAGGCAATGACCAGGGATGTGTATTGCTGTCGGTCGCCGTAAAGGAATGATGCGAACCCAAAAGACCGTGGAGGGATGGCCGCTGTCTACGAGCGTCCGAGCCCTCGCGGCTTTCGGAGGACGACAAGCCGTGCGCTGCAGGACTGCTATGCTTGTGCCCAAAGAGCTTCGCCAGAGCGTTTCCGTGCTCGCTGCCTTCCAGAGATGCCCTTGGACGTCTTCTCAAGCGGAAGAGCTTGCGCTCGCTACCTTCAGCGACACGAGCGTCATGGTCTTCTCCTTCACTAGCGTCCTCTCCGATTTCCCATCCTGCATTCTTGTTGAGACCTAGCACCCTGCGGGCCTTTGCACCGGGAAGGTCATCACCCTTCTTGTACTGTGAAAAGGAGCTGCGCTTATGGTACGATGGTCGCTGGAGAGGCGGGCTCGTGTCGCTGTCGTAGTCAAAGTCGCTGTCAGGACTGCTGGTCTGCACTTGAAAGGTCGTTGAGGCACCATGGTGGTGACCATGGAGCGAGACATGGCCTAACGAGTCGGAATTGGCAGGGAGGTACGAAACATTCCACGCTGAAGCATCGCTTCGACGCATGCCAAGATCTGCCGACGCAGACCTGAAGCTTCCGACCTGTTCTTCCTCGAGTCCTTGTCGCTGTCCTGCACCTGTTGAGCTATGCTGGTCAAAGCAGAGCTCACGCAGTGGTGCGACTGGGACATCGGACTCTTCCACTGGGACAACGACGCGCGGATCGTAGAAGCCTGGCTGCGATTCGATCTGTACTCTGCGAAGATTCGGCGACAGTCGACGTTGAGCAAGACCTGGAGAGCCGCTGTCCGTCTCGCTGGATCGTCTCGGGCTTGGTGACGAGTGGATAGGTGAACCGAGGACGTGTGACTTGAACATGGTGTTTTGACCTATAGAATTTTCCTTTGAGAGAATGTTCGCAAGAAAAGGAGAAGGTAGATCGAAGCTGGGTGAAGTTGTGTTCGAAGCAGATTGTAGCTCGGTTTCGAAAGATGTGGCCTGACGTAGAGGTACCAGCAACAGAGGCTGAGGTCGAAGCTTGTCCCGTCTAGACAAGTAATGGGCGATACGAGCAGAAAGCTCTCCCGGTGTATGCGAGACGACCGAAGGGTCGTCGTGGGAATTGTCAAGTTCCTGCAGCTCTGCTTGCTCTGCCACTGGTGACAATGCCGAGAAGGAGCCGCTTCTGATACTGAGCAGCGACCTAGAGTTCTTGAGCTCGGTAGGACTTAAAGAAGGTGAGGTATGAGGGCGTACGGTAGATGATGGACGCGGCCTCTGAGGAGTAGAGTGAAGCTGAGCCGATGGGGAAGAACCCTGCTGATGATTGTAGACCTGTGGGATCTCGCAGCGCGTCTGCGACCTTGCTTGTAGAAGCTGACAATGAGGAGCGTGTGCGGCGGTCCGCAAGTCACGAGTAGACTGCGAGCGCTGGAGGATGGGGCGCAGAGGTCGTTCTGGCTGATTGTGTGGTCGGTGCGACTGCGTGAGAAGGCCGCTTGGCGAGCTTTTGGCCGGAACAGCAGGTGGCTCGTCTTCACTCCTAATTGCTTCAAGGGAGCAAGCTCTTTGGGGCGAGAAGACACCGTGAACCCTAGGTTGCCAAGAACTGTCTGTGCCTGGGTCAGAGCGGCCGCGGCGCAGAACAGGTGTATGTATGGGAGAAATGGAATTTGATCGATGAGGAAGATGTTGTAGAAGGCCCTGGGCAACGGCGTCGCTGTCTACGAATTGCTGGTGATTCCTAGTGTCCGACTTGCCGATCGAAGGATAGCTGGCCTTCTTCCTGGGCCGACCTCGGCCTGCAACGGGAGGTAGTGGCTTATGGAGCTGCAGAGGGCCGAATGTGACTCTTGCACGGCTGGGCGCCCCTGAAGGACTTTCGTGTGAGAGGGTAGAGGGTAGTAGAGAAGGCCAGAATGGCTCGTCTTGTTCAGATCCTTCGTCAGAATGCTCGATCACTTGCTGCAGATGTCGCTGATCTCGACGAAGCGGACAGCCAGGAGATATGGGGCAGCTGCGTGGGTGAAGGAGGAGGTGTAAAGGGTAGAAGGATTGAGGTGTGGCGAGTCAGAGAAGACTTACACAATCAAGACATCCCTCGAACCCGATCTCAGGCCGATGCTGGCCGGAGCTTCAGGGTCCTCCGGTCACTTCCGGTCACTGGGCAGTAGCCATGGTGGTGGTACCTGGGAGTTTCCACTGCTCTTCTGCCTGCCCGCCCGCGTGTGCGTTGCTTCCGGCGAAGCGGAACAAGAGACCAGGGGTAAGGAGATAGCAATTTCTTGCATCTCGCCCTTTGTCCTTTGATCCCTATGGTAGATGGAGCCTAATATTCTGCTTATGCTCTTCCTACTGCTATCCCCTTCGGGCAGCATCGAGCTGTCGTGGTAGAACAAAGGGTCGCGAACAAAGGGGAACAAAGCGCGTGGCTTTTTCCCCCCGCATTTCCGACGCGCTTCCGCATTGACCTCCCTCCACCTGCCGCCATGCGCTGAACGACTGCCGGAGACTTCTGCTGTACCACTGCCTCGTCCTTCCCTGCTCGCATCTACGAAACGGGCGGCTTCACTCACCTATCGAATTCTCCCGATTGTGCATCTTCAGCGTGCTTTTCTTGGTGCTCGACATCGGCACAGGCACCGGAGGGGACGTGCGATCCGAGCAGTGGCAAGATGCGAAAGACCATTTGTCCATCTTCGTCCACCCAGAAGTCCTGCCCTTGTCCAGGCTGCTGGTGAGCCTCGTGCTGACGAGTGACATTTGAGCCATTCTTGCTGGCCTCGAAAAGGCCAGAGCTTTGGGCACTTGTGCCACTGGCCGATCCAGCTCCACTTGAGGCAGACGATAGCGGTGAAGACGGCAAGGAGGTAAGCGCTCGGGGCGAAAGTGCCGATGCACACAATGGCGAGCTTGAGGCCGCTGCTGCAGTGGCTGGGCGACGATTCCTGCCACCATCTTGGCTGGCAAATTGCACTTCGGGACTCAGCAGAGACCTGCTGCTGGTAGGGCTGCTCGGTTTGCTGCCTTGCTCGCCTGAGCTGCTGCTGCTTGCCGACCTGTAAGAGGGCCAGTTGCAAGGCGAGATGACTGGCGGCGAGAGAGGCGTCCAGGGAAAGGCGCGCGAAGATTCGCCTATCCTGCTCGAAGCGATCGGCACCCCACTTTGACGTCTATACATAGTGGAGCTTGCGTTGCTAGCATGCAGTGCTGTCTGGTCGAGTGAGACGTCCGCGCTCGGGCTCTCGACAGATGCTAGCTGCACCATGGCCGTGTTGAGAGCGCACCGCACGCCCTGGAGCATGTGGGTACCTTTAGTCCTCAGCCCCGTCAGGAGATGATCGCCATCTGCAAAGAGTGTAGCGCTACCCTCGGCGACCTTCCTACTGGCGAGTGAGAAGGTGACCTTGGGGGACCAGGGCTGAGACGTGCTTGTCTCCTGGATCGTACTGACGAAGCCTGATGGCTCAGCCGTGCTGAGCAGAGGTGCGGAAAGGTCGGAGACTGCAGCGCGACACGCCCCAGCATGTCGAGTGAGAGGATTGGGGATTGAGTTCTTGGCTGCTCCAGAAGACGTAGATGGCCTCCTTGTCAATAGAGCTCCCAGTCCGGGCCGCTTCGCGAAGGATGGCAATGGAGGCTGCTGCTGCTGCTGCGCTGGGAAGCTCTTGTCGCTAGACTTGGATGGCGCTGTGCGGGGTCGTCTGACTCCTCCTACTCCTCTGCGGCTCCTGCTAGTAATGTCCGAGGGTGAAGGGGATTGAGAAAGTATAGGTGATGGTAAGGGCTGAGGTGCTAGAAAGGCAGACGCCATGTCTATCGTCAACAGCGAAAGGCGATAGTAGTTTCTGAGGGGTGGAGTGCTCAGAGGCAGAGGTACGGCACAGACGCGGGAGGTTGAAGACTAGGTATCGGTGTTGAGCGGAAGGTTTGTCAAGGTGTGTGGAGGTCTGTACCTGGGCGGGAAGGTAGGGCAGTGGGGCAGGATGGGCTGGGAGTGAGGTGGGGAGGAGGGAGCGACACAGAACGAAGCGGGTGTCTCAATCGCCTCCCAGCTCCCCCTTATATCTTCTTCCTACCTCCCCCCTGGCCCGATCTCTCTGGCATGGACCTGAGGTAGCCTAGGCAGCCGCCATCTGGGGACCTCTTTGCCCCCGCGCCTCAATCGCACGCCTATGACGCCTGCCTCCTGCACGACCCTGGGCAACGGACTACCATCGGCTTTGCCCTATCGTCAAAGTGTCCGTGCCTTGGCCCCCTAGGCAGACGTCCTGCAGATCGGCAGCAGATCTGAGATCCAGGTGGGACAGGCGGATCAGAGTCAGAAAGAGCGGGCAAGTGCCCGAGGTGGGGTAGGGGTAGACGGAGAGATGCGTGGTCCTTTGCGGGCAGGATATATCGGCCAGGATCACAGTAGAGAAGCAGGATGCTGCAGGGCAAATCGATGAGCGGGGGTCGAAAGAGAGAGTAGTGAGGGGCATCTCGGGGGCCTTATCGGTAGCGAGGGTGCGAGGCATGGGAGGCATTGCGTCGTAGCAATGGTCAGGGCACCGCGGATCTCAGGGGAAACGTGGCTGCTCCGGTCCCACGAACGACGAGCTAGCGTTGCAAGCCAGGGCAGACCGAGCATGGCTGTCCGGATAGAATACCAAAGACTTGTGTCCGAGTGCAATACGCATCGCAGGTGCACCACAACGAACGTGATCGCACGTGGGTAGGAGGTTAGGACGCCTTCACCAGCTCGTCGTGTCGCCATGGTTTTGCGGGAGCAAGACTCCTCCCGCTCATCAACCGCCAGGTCGGCAATGAGTACCTGACGCCACACCTTCGGCAAGGGGCCAACCGGCAAGAAAGTGGCAATGCTTCCTCCGATGTCGGCGGCACCATCGAAGCTGGCCAGCTTCCATGACCCTCCAATACTGGCCGCAATCCTCCCACGAATGGCTCAGGGCGCCTATTCTCCCCGCTCTTCCCACACTATCGTACCTGATGAGTATCGTAAGATGCACGGAGGGGAAGAGGGATTTAGAGAAGGCAGAAGGCGGGAAGCACCGAGGGAACGTTGGATCGAGCTCAATCTGACATGCTGTTGAGGGCAATTGTGCATGCTGTTGAGGGCAATCGTGTGGAGGTCATGGGGCTCTGGACTCGATACCGGTATCTTCAGCGCTACAGAATATGCCTCAGCAGTGCGGAACAGTGAAAAAGATTGCCGATTGTTCGGGAAAGGCCGAACGGGAATCACTCAGTAGTCCTCGTCCTCGTCCATCTTTCTCGAGCCATAGCCATCCAGTCCAGCACCGGCAGCAGCTGCATGTCCAATCTCACCGCTCCTCTTGAGCTCCTCCTTGATCCTCCTGAGTACCGTCGACCAATAGTCATCAGCTCCACCACCCTCCTCCATGTCCTCGTCCTTCACATCGCCGTCCTCTCGGAGATCCGAGGCAACGTCCCAAGCTAATTGCACGCTTTGATCAGAGATGGGAAGATACGCCGAAGAGAGAAGAGCCAGAAGAGACGCCAGCATAGACAGGGTAGATAGAATCTGAGGCGATGGCAGCTAGTGGGGGTGGAAGACACGCATGCGTTTGCGCAAGGGTGAGCGAAGTCGGATGTGATGCATGCAAGTGATGCGGTTCTCACCTTGAGCTGATCGCTGTAAGTACCTCCTGCATCTACATCCCTGCCTACACCCCTCCCGCCTCTGTCCTCGACTTCATTACCTTGCCCAGCCGAAGCTGATGTCTCGCTGCCCTGCATAGCTCCCACAGCGCTGAGCCAGACCCATCCATTGAGACCCAGGATCATGTCTACTTCCTCGAGAGCAGCACCTGTACCTCTCTTGAGCCTGATGAAATGCGACTTCCCCCTCCTCACCAGCCGCGAAGGGACGCACACCAGCCTTCCATTTCTCAGCTTGCCATACCTCAGACTTCTAGTATGCAGCGAAGTGCTGCCGTCATTGTACACTCCTTGTACCTCTGCCACTAGCAAGTCCCCTTCTTTGAAGAAAGTACGCATCTGCAGCTCGTCCGAAGAGACTTTGCGACGTTGTATTCCGCCTGGAAGATTGATAGCTGAAAGGGCCAGATTGGAGAGGGAAGAGGCCCCGAGGGAGATCTTCCATCTTCGAGCTCCGGGAAGCACGCTCAGCACCCTTCCTAATACCAGATCTCCTGTTTCGGGGGAGTAGCGAGTGTAAAAGGGCTGCAGCGACAGGAGGCGGTTGGTCAGAATCACTCGCCCTGTGAGGGACGAGGCGATCTGGCTAGGCTGAGCTGGGTGGGTGGAGGGGATGAGGTGGGTACCATGACCCCTCATATACGTCGAGAGAGAGCCTAGCACCTGTCCCGGTGTCGCTAGCTTTGTGCCTGAGGAGTAGTCTGCATCGCCCCCAACTTCTTCGTCTTCATCTTCATCTGGGTACTGTGAATGGCCCGAGAGGTGAACGTGGTGAGAGGCCGGACGGAAGGCGTCTGAAGTCGACGAGGTCGAAGGAGCCGCTGAAGACGAGATGACCTGGAACATCGACGAGGACGATGGTCCAGCAGCAGCAGAGGCCATGATGGAGAGGAAGATGGTACGGCAGACGAGTGGTGAGGAGTTGCGAGTTGCACCTTCGTCATCTTCGGAAGCACAGAAATCGAAAATCCAGAAATCGGCGGGCGCGATTCCGTCGGGAGGCGACCCCGCACTCCACCTCGTGTGCCACTCACTCCTCGCTCCTGTCCATACACATCGCCCCGGAGCCCTGTATTTCGGCAGTAGCAGATCTCAGCAGAGTCGTATTCAAGACCCTGATCGCTGCCTCTGCATCCTCATCATCCGGTATCATGTCCTCTCTCAATGTCTTTCCCTCTCTCTCTACCCTCTTCCGAGTCTTCAGCCTCCTCTCCGTCCTCTCCGTATCCTCCATTGCCTCTCTCCTCTACCTCTACCAAGGCAAGTTAATCTACCCCTCCAATCTCCCCGCAGGGGCACGTACAGATACCACAAACCCCTCCGACTTCTCTCTTCCCTTTGAGAATCTCGCATTGAAGACACCTGATGGAGAGAAGTTGCAGGCTTGGTTCATCAGGCCTGATGGAAAGGGCCAGGAGAGGAAGATGACCGTCGTCATGTTTCAGGCAAACGCAGGGAATATAGCACACCGTCTGCCTCTTGCTGCCATTTTCTACAAGCGTCTAGCAGTCAATGTCCTCATGCTCTCCTATCGGGGCTATGGCTTGAGTACTGGCTCGCCCAATGAAGCAGGCATCAAGATTGATGCTCAGGTCGCCTTGGACTGGCTCAAGGCACGGCTCTGGCCCGAGAGCAAGAACAAGCGGGAGGGAATCGACTTTTCGTCTCACAATGTCATTCTCTATGGACAGAGCCTTGGAGGAGCAGTCGCGATCGATGCGGCAGTGCGGAATGGCAATTGGGTCAAGGGGCTGATCTTGGAGAATACCTTCCTGGACATTCCCTCCCTGATCCCATCTGTGCTACCCCCGGCTCGATTCTTTACTTGGCTCTGCAGGGAGGTCTGGTCCTCCCGAACTCGGCTGCCTCAGCTGGACAAGGGAGTCAAGGTCCTCTTCCTCAGTGGAAAGGACGACGAGTTGGTCCCACCTAGCCAGATGCGAGAGCTGTACAGAGTCTGTCGACACAAGGAGGGCAGTGGAAAGGAGTGGAGTGAATTTGAGGAAGGCACACACAATGATACATGCATGAAGGTGAGTAGCTGAAGTGAATACTAGACAAGTCCTGGGCTTCTTGTGCGGGACAGTGTCTGACATGGTACTTTCTTCGCAACATCCTCACCCGTGAACAGCCCGGCTACTTCCCCACAATCGCTTCTTTCCTCCATCGGCATTTCTCCCACACGACTCCACTCTCACGAGAGGCCCTCTCCCGCGGCTTCGCAGGCACAAAGAGCAACACGAGCAATGTCAGTGGCGGCAGTAGCGGAGGCGGTGCTGGGGGAGAGGAGGAGAAGATCACTCGAGAGTTGGAGGAAGAGTATGGCGATGATTGGGAGCACGTCGAAGGTGGTGCAGGGGCAGACGAAGCTGGTGGACAGATAGAGGGGATGAGGCGGAGGGTGGCGGGTGCAGGAAGCAAGGGACCTCGAGACGTCGTTGGTGAAGAGATCGAGGAGATTCAGACGGAGGGTGTCAGGAGAAGTAGATCAGACCTGTAGGGCTCTGCAGTCAGTCACCGCATCCATCAAATCACAGATGGTCTACTCCATCAAAGAAGACACCTATTCACACTGATGTATGTACTCTACGAAGCATGAGATTGCATTGCGACGCAAAGAGAGGGGGAATGCTGAAAAGCGACGATGACAGTGTGCCCTCGTATGACTTGACTACGCTCTCCGACAATCCACCTCAGCAGACAGTACTGCTAGGAGGAAGTTGTGCACTAGACCGCCATCCACACGCTTAAGCGGTAGGGGGCTTCTCTCCGGGGGTGAAGAGGTAGGTCAGGTGGCACTTTCCACAGTACTGACGGTCCTTGTGCCAGGCCATGAATACACCAGCGCCACACTCGGGCGAAGGGCACTCTCGGCGGAGACGCTTGAGGGCTCCGTCAGCATCGACCTTGTAGTACTTGAGGACGGCCATCTTGACCTTCTTCCTCTTGTGCTTGATCTTCTTGGGGGTAGTGTACTGCTTCTTCTTCCTCTTCTTGGCTCCTCCTCGCAGACGAAGCACAAGGTGAAGAGTCGACTCCTTCTGGATGTTGTAGTCCGAAAGGGTTCGGCCGTCCTCCAGCTGCTTGCCGGCGAAGATCAGTCGCTGCTGGTCAGGGGGGATACCCTCCTTGTCCTGGATCTTGGCCTTGACGTTGTCAATGGTGTCGGAAGACTCCACCTCGAGGGTGATCGTCTTCCCCGTGAGGGTCTTGACAAAGATTTGCATCCTACGAAAACGCAGCGAAGGGGACAAGGGGGTGCGAATGTGTGAGCATACAATGTTCCGTCTATCCGAGCGTGACCTATGAAAGCCTTTGCCACTGCCTACTCACTTTGCGGTGAATTCAGTCTAGAGATCTGTCTCGTCCTTGAATGAAGTCTAAGGAGAAAAGCGAAGTCAAGGAGGGCCCACACGCGGATTTTCTCATATGCCCTGCCGCTGTGACCGCGCGCAAAAATCCAGCTAGGCGGGAAGGAGGGTCAAGCCACGCGTTCCGTTCCGACGGCTTTTGAGCAAGTCCGAAGGGCATCCTTCCGGCTTCCGCTCACGAGCCCTGGTCTTGCCTACCACCAGGCTCTCCCGTACCCTTGCCCTTGACAGTGTCGAGTGTGAGCGACACCAGATCGATCGAAAGCACTGTACCAGCCATCAGCCTCCGTATCGCTGGATTTATTCTTGTCCACCCTCCAGAGCGCTGAAATCATTGGGACCTCATTTCATCCGAGGAGGAATTCTGGATCTATAGCACCTTCTAGCTGCGTCACTCACCCCACAACGTCATGGGCAAGTCGGCAAAGTTCTTCAAGCGCCCTTCGCTGAAAGAGAAGCAACGGCGGGAGCAGTACCGCTCGAGCGATCGCCACGACGCCAGCGACGATGAGCAAGACCAAGAGCGAGGACCGTCCCGTGCTGGGCAAGCCCCACATTCCAAGTCACTTAAGGGCAAAGCTCGCAACACCGACTCACACTCCCACAGCAGCCGCACAGTAACGGACTTGGAGGAGCTCAAGCGTCAAGCTAGGGAGATGCAGGCGACAATCAAGGCCGAGAAGGCCAAGATGAGCAAGCGCTCTTCAGTGAAGGGCAAGAGGACAGCGGACTTTGAGCAGGATGACGAAGAGGAGGAGGAAGGGGCAGAGTCCGGAGAGGAGGAGGAAGATCCAGCCGAGAAGCCGAAGCGGAAGAGGAGGAGTGGACGGGCGGCGAAGAGGTACAAGGTGCCCGAGGGCGAGGCTCGTACGCCAGCTGAGGCTGGGATCGACTATCTGGCTCAATTTGAAGGGAAGAAGGATACAAGAATACGATGAGAGACGTTCAAGTAACCGAGGAGAATAGCGACATCCTGTATTACTAGCCATACCCCTCCAACGCAGATCTCTAGATGGTACCTCTCCATACTGTACCAAGCACCTTTCCTTCCGATCCGATTGTGGCGCATAGAGCAATTGTTCCCACTTCCGTCTTGCTTCCACCCCGCCTCTACAACTTGCCTTGCCTCCTCATCGTCCCATCACCGTCAAACGTTTCCATTTCGTCTGCTTCAACGCCTACGCCCCCACTCTCCTCTCCACAGCCAGGGCGAGATGTACCACCCGACGCGTGGCGGTACCCGCGGTGGGCAAGCCGAGTTCTCCTGGCAAGACGTGCGCAACGACAAGGACCGGGAGAACTATCTAGGCCACTCGGTCAATGCTCCCACTGGACGGTGGCAGAAGGGCAAGGATGTGAATTGGTACAACAAGGATAAGGGAGAGGGGGATGAGGGTGAGAAGAGAAGGGAGGAGCTGAGGGAGATTAAGAGGAGGGAGGAAGAGGAGATTAGGAGGAGATTGTGAGTGGACGAGCGATATTGGATGCGTAGCTGCGCAAAGCAAAGGATTCTGACTGATCGCCTTCCCTATACTACTGTGCTCTGCCAGAGGAGGAGCTCCTCTTCCTCCATCTCTCTCCTCCTCATCGCTGGAAGGGCCAAGACTGGGCGCCAATCTCCTCTCAGGCTCCGCCTCACGCTCCTCCCACCACGACCCTTCCACCTCGACCGGCTCCAACCGCTCCCACCTCGACCCGTCCAAAGCTCGCAAGTGGGGGCGCGGAGAGGGTAGCACCGCAGGCGCAGTGCCAGGTGAGGCGCGATCGAACTCTCCTGACGATGCGGCGCCGGGCGTTACGGAGGAGGAGAAGCGCATTGCGATGAAGCTGGCCAAGATGGAGTGGAAGAGGCTTAGGCATGAAGAGCGAGAGCGTATACGCGAGGAGAGGAGGAAGAGGAAGGAAGAGGGAGACCATCGCAGTCGTCACCGTGATCATGGAGGTGATCGCGACCGTCGTCCTGAGACAAGGGAGGGCCAAGATCGATACGAGCGGCGCAGGGACAGGAGCGACTCTCGAGATGGCAGCAGGGACCACAGGAGGGACAGGAGTTACTCTCCCGATTACCACCGGAGAGCACGATACAGCAGACACGACAGCCCAGGATACCGCAACGAAGATCGTCATCGGCGGACAGATCAGGACGATGATGAAGAGCGATCGCGGCGGAGAAACTCGCGTGACCGTGAGCATAGCGCTCCCCAACGCGACCGAGCCGACAGACGATGAGCAAGAACCCAATTCACACGCAGACCAGAGCCTTCACATATCAGTTGCAAGACGATGTACGATTACGACGAGAGGTGTGCTGTCAGAAGACATATCTAAATGCGCGATTCTGCTTGTCAGTCAGGTCCTTTTGGTCCAGCTCGATGTGCATCTTCAAGGACTCCTCCGAGGCAAGATCGTCCTGAGCTCTTCCCACGGGGTCTTCAGCCATCCCGCCCAGCTGTTCAATCTGGCTCTTTGTTGTGTGCCCTTCGCGGTCCCGCTTCCTGTTCTCCCAAGCCATGATCCCTGCAAGTAGCCCAGCCAAGGCCATAGTGACGAGCATCATTGCAGTGATGATGGCCCAGGTGGTGGGGTAGTGTCTTGCCGCTTCGGTTGGCTTGAGGATATAAGCGGCGGCAATGTTGCCTGCATTGTACCCTACAAAGACGGCTCCGGAGGCATAGGCAGACTTGGTTGAGCCAGCTACGTTGGCCCCTACGAGGGAGAGGAGCATGACGTAGGGTGCTCCGAAGGCGGGCAGGAGCCAGTAGCCCACCAGCGGGACGGCCTTGTTGCTCCAGCTCGAGCCCCAAATCATGGCTGCGCCGATGAGGACCGGTAGAGAACCTAGGCAGAGGAGGATCAGCCGGGCATTCTTGAAGCGTAGAGAGACAAAGGCGACGACGAGGATGGCGACGACGGTGACGGCTCCTCCTGGCGTCTGCAGCAGGATAGCCTTTGTGGGCGTATACCCTATAGAACGAATGATGATGGGACCAAAGGCCGTCACGCCACCATTGACGACGTAAATTGCCGTGGCCATGAATGTGAAGATCCAGACCTTGACATCGAGGAGCGCCTCGACTACCTGTGACCAATTCCACTTGCTCTGCTCGCGACTGAGCATCTCGTCTCGTGTCTTTTCAAGGATGAGCTCCACTTCTTGCTCCGAGAAGACATTGTACCCTGGTATCTTCAGCAGCGGTCGCTCCGTCGGGGACGGGGGTAAAAGTAGTAGAAGTGCAATGCCGAAGAAGACGGTCAGCGATCCTGGGACGAGGAAGAGGGTCTTCCAAATCGGGATGCTATGTGTGCTTGTTCCCAGTCCGTAATTGATCAGACCAGAAAGTACACTGAAGAAGCCCGTGGCAGAGTACCATATGCCGATCCTCATTGGCATCTCCTGGGAAGTGTACCACTGCCGCGTCACTAGTAGGAATCCTGGGGAGACGGTCGATTCGACTAGCCCGAGGAAGACGCGCTGGACTACGAGACCGCGCCAGGAGGTGATGGCGGGGGTGAGGAGGCAGATGGCGCCCCAGAGGATGATACTTGCGCCGAGGAAGCCGGTGACCTTGAGACGTTGGGAGAGGAGCGCAGCAGGGATCACGCCGACAATGTACTGAGAGGGGGGTTGAGCGGGGAGTGGCAAAGCAATGGAAGGGCTGGCAGGGTGAGCATCAATGGCGCCACGTCGGATCCGCCTCCGTATCGTACTCACCCCATAGTAAAAAGCAGCAGTAGCAAGCGAGTACCTCGAGAGGTCCTTGCCAACTTGCAAATCCAAGTCTGTCAAGATTCCAAAGATGGTCGCGGAGCCTAGTACGGCCTACGAGGGCGAGCGAGGGAGCGGGAGGAGTCAGCAAACAGTGGAAGTCATTGTCAGAGTCCCTCCTCCCCTTCTCCCCTCTTCCCTTCTCCCCTGATATCCTGACCACTCACCTTATCATAAAACTGCAACCCATAAGCAACCGTCATAATCGGCAGCAGCAACACGTCCACTCGCAACAGGACATTGCCCGCCGCCATCGTCGTGCCCGCTGTCGAGGGGCGATGCTGCTCTTCCATAGGCTGGGATGATGGTGGGTGGACAGCTGTCTTCGTCATCCTTGGCCTTGGCAAAAAAGGGCGAAAGGGAAGGGGCTTGCGCGCTGCGCTCTCCACTCAGGTCCTTTCGTGCGCTCTGCTCGTATCCCTCTGAAAGCACCACAATCGAACTAGTTCGCAAAAACAAGGGAAAAAGAGGAGGAGCGGGAGTCGTGCCTGGCTAAGTGCGTGAGTGGGTAGAAGATAATGGTAGCAAAGTAGCGTTATCTTGGAAGGAGGATCGAATCAGAAGGAAGAAGGAGGGGAAGGATCACTTCGAGTCACACCTCCAATCAATATCAAAATGCTGCACCACTGCACCACCCCCATGCATCCTTTCCTCATGCCGAGAGTCCAGCCTCCCGCCGCCGGCGAGAAGGAAGAAGCTGCAGGGGAGGAGGAGGCAGGCAGAAAACTCCGCCAATCAGCCGATCGGCCAACTGATCAGCCAATCGGGATCTGGGCTCGGCTCGGGGACTCGGACGGTATACAGGGGGAAAAGGGACAAGAAGGCATACACTTTGGCTGGTACTACTATGCTTTATCATTGACACACAAGCACTGCAGCAAATGGATACATCTACTGAATCTTTCGTGGGCGGCGAGAGTGCCAATTTGCCTCCCCTCTCCATCTCTCCTTCACCCACCCTGCACGCTCGAATATCCCTTCGGACACTGACTCCCCAGTATGGCCGTCCCGCTCCTCAAGTAGCAAACCTTTGCCTCTACGCACTCGGTCGTATTACATCTCGGGCTCAAGCTCGAGTTCCTCCCCTGGAACGTAGTGAATGCTTCATCCACCAGCTCGTGCGGACGGAGCAACATCTCCGTGGTCAGTTGTGCCCAGAATGCAGGCGTGAGAGCTTCGCTTGATGGCCAGTGGCCCGAGGAGGTGAGGGGGACAGAGAGGTGGTAGGAACCATTGGCGCGCGAGGCGTGGAAATCTGCGTACTCTTCTCGAGCCGAGTAGAGGTGTTCCCATACTGGTCCATGCTTCTCCTCTTGCAACGAGGAAAAAGTAGTGAGTTGGGTGTAGAATTGATGATAGTCCACCACCTCGTACGTCTCCGGGTCGACTTCGTAGATCCTCACGCCAGGATTGACATTTGTCCCCGGTGTGACGGAAGGGCCGATGAAGGAGTGGGCGATTGCATCCGAGGGGAGGACAGAGGAAGCGTTGGACTTGTAAAAGACATTGAAGAAGTCTTCGTGGGAGTGGCCGAAGAAGAGGTTACGGATGGTGGAGTGGTAGCGCTCGACGATGACTTGAAGGAGGTTGGTGGGGTTCTTCAAGGGGTCGGAGCCGGACCAGCCGCTGTAGACGTGCTGCAAGGAGGGAAAGAGGCAAACGAGGGTCGGTCAATGAGAGACTCAACATGTTCAGACCCTTTCATCCATCGCCACACTCACTCCAATGATCCAGACTCCCTCTTGGCGGTCCTCTGCCAGCTGCAGCTCATCCGTCAAGAAGCGCAAGATCCCACTCGGGTCAAACTTTCCATAATTGATGAAATTCCACGGGTTTCCACTGTACCACAGATTGGTATTCAGCGAAATGACCCGCAGTCCTTTGCGAGGACTGACAGAAAAGGCACCATAGTGCTTTCCGATTTCCTCTGCCTCCTTGTGCGTCATCCAGCCGTCGGACTCCCATAGCTTGGAGACATAATCGTAGTTCCAACTAAAGGTGTCGTGCCCGTCTGGCAGGGTGTTTGAGGAAACGGCATCCTGAGGTGAAGAGTCGTGGTTGCCAAGGGCGGTGAAGATGGGGCCGGAGCCGAGGGCACGTCTCATCTGGTCGTGGATGGCTTGCTCGGCTTGGTTGACAAGGGCATGAGAGTAGTGGTAGTCGGCATCGTGAGTGGTCTAAGGAGCAGAGGTAGATGCAGTTGAGAGTACAAAGACGTTAGCTCTCTAGTCTGTTCATTCCAACCCTCCGACAACGCCTACTACTCACCATGTCACCAGTATGGATTGTCATGTCCACATCCTTCCCTCCATTCAAGGGCGTCACCGCATCCAAAGCCGTCACCGCAATCGACCAAGGCGGATCGCAAGTGTACTCTCCCCAATAACCAGCAGGGTTGATCGTCGAGGAACTATTCAGCCCACCCTTGAAAGTAGATGCGACGGTGCTGTTGAACGAATCAGCCCTGCAGCATTGCCCACTCGTGCAGGCCGCTTCTGCGCCGACTAGGTATCGAGGGTCAACGTGAAGATCGCTCAGATGCGCCACTTTGAGCATCTCGCCCTTTCTCTTTCCCTCTAGTGGCTTGCCAGTCTTCTTACTGAGGTTCTTGGGCGCACTTTCATGGCCCTTGAACCACTTCTTCACAAATGCCTTTGTGAGCGTAGAGGGCGGTGGTGCAGTGCATGCGGAGAAGACCGAAGCGCAGATTGCCTGGCCATCTACATCACTCAAATTCGCATAGCTCAAGATGGACGTGTACTGCGCGCCCAGTGTACTTGGAGCATACTCCCTCTCGCAAATCTCATCCTGCGTTAGGCCAGACTTGGTAGAGGCAAAGCGATACTGCTTGCAGAGGGAGACCATCAATTCTGGTCCGGAGTGGGGCTCAGCCCTGACCAGCTTCTGGCCGACTTTGAGTGCTTGTGTGCACTTTGTGCAATTCGTTGCCCCGGAAGTGGAGTCGTCTATGATGGATTGGATCTTTTGCAAGGCGGCATTCTTCATGCCTGGCGTCGGCGATGCAGAGGGTCGTGGGTAGACGGCTTCCGAAGCCGGCGCGCCGGTAGGGAGCTGATGCGGATCGTCTAACGAGTCTGGGAATACGGAGTGGTCTTTGATGTTTGTAATGATGGGTCTTGGCTCGGCGGTGAAGTCGCCCGGCAGGTAGTAGTAGCCATCGCTGAATGCCTTTGTGGGGAATGCGCTGGGGGCAGTGTAGGTGGGAAAGCCAGACGAGGAGGAGGTGGAGGAGGAGGATTTCTTGCCAGAGGTCGGCGTGCCATCGGATCTGCGGGGATGAGGTGCTGCTGCCAAGGCATACACACTGCCAATGACTAGGCTGACCAGTAAGAGTGCTGCAAAGGAGCGCATGGCCTGTGCTATCCGTGGGTATGGCCTGGGTGGTGATTCTAGCTGCTGGGTGCTTGTGCCGAGTAGGGCGGTAGTCTCTCCTGGCGCGTCACTCTCAACGTCGTAGGCCGTTGTTGCTGGCCTGGTCCTATTTGCAGTAGATGCCAAGTCTCGCTGCGAATTGTCCATTGCCCGTCAGGAAGAAGTGAATCCCCCTCGCTCGGTGTTATATACCCCCCGGGTGAAGCAGACAGAAGAAGGACACAGCACCTCGGAAGCGAGCTCAGGGCATGTGGGTGGGCTGTGGGTTGCAGCCAGTACTTCCGTACAAGTTTTGCTCTTCTGAGCGACGAAGCGAAGCCAGCAATGAAGGGCAGGGCCAATGCGAGAATGGTGAGTTTAGCGGCTGAGAGAAGCGAACGTGCAAATCAACCAAGGCTGCCGCTTCCCTCGTGCGACATCCAACTGAATTCATTCATTCATCCGCCCGGGCCATGTTCGAGTCGCCGCACACAAAGACGCCGACGCCCGCCGAGTTCGCCGAGCAACCCAAAGGCAACGAGGGAGGCGGGCGAGGCGGAGCATCTGATCAGCTACAGAAGAGCAAGGTAAGGTCAGAGGGCTACTGTGAACATGCCCCGCTCCCGGCTGTTCCTCGATGGTGTATCTTGATCGTTGTAGTGGAGTACTGTAGAGAAAATGATTTCGTCGACATTGTGTATTGTACAGATGGAAGGGGAGAGCCGATTACAGCAATGAGGGCTATACTCATGCTCATACTGATGTGTGCACTGTTCCGCGCCAAGGCTACTTCTAATCTTGCCCCTCTCTTCTTCAGTCCTCTGCAACCTCCAGCCACCCTCGCACGATCAATCCCTCGACCTCGTTCCTCCTGACCCTCATCCTCTCTCCCCTCCTCAGATTCAACGTGCCCATTTCCGTCATCACCTCCCTCGCATCCCGCATAGCCACAACAGTGACCATCAGTTCATCCGGTGGCTTGTACTCCAGCCTATGCCTTCCCCTCGCCCGCGAGGAAGAGGAGGCAGAGAGGGGTGAAGCAATGTCTAGAATATCTAGGAACTCGGACTTGTACGCCGTGAGAAGCGAGGCGTAATTGCGTAGCCAGGACAACTCTCCCGTAGAAAGCTTGGCGCGTAGCTCGACCGGGTGGGACTTCTGTCCCGCTCCTGCTGCTCCTGCTGCTGCTGAGGTAGGCCCTGCCCCTGCTCCTGCAGCCCCTCCTTCCTCTTCTTCCTCTAGCACAAGGGCCACACTGCCCCCCTTTTCCCATAATTTCCTCTTCAACCAATCCATTCGATGATTGTGGTACACCAGCAGACAGCGTTTATTCCTCTGTACTGCCAAGTGGTGTGAGAGGAGTTGAGCGGCGAGAGAAGGATCGCGTTCGGCGGCTTCGGCGGCGAATTCTGCACCACCAGGCACAGAGGACATGATGGCGTCGACTTCTTGCTGGAGCTGACGGGTTTCCAGGAGGACGAGGCGGATGATCTCCTCACTGAGCGATAGAGGGAGGGGGTGGAAGGGACAGATTCAGTGCAAGGCCATGAGAGCTGCTCTGCGCTTGTAGCTCCCACTCACTTGTAGGGCTTGAGGGAGCCAGTAGCATCTACGTTCCTCGCCTCCACGATTAGCTTCAGCGCCTGATCACCAAACATGATCGGCTGTAGGCGAGAAGAGGAGAGGAATGACTGACTGACCTTGAGGAGGTGATGATGGTCTGGCAGGTGCGCAAGGAGAGGAGGCCACCACTGCCGTCCTCCCCTTCCCCCACTCTACGCGTCGCACTCTTGGCGTCGCGCCAGCCACACAGGCGCAGGAACAAGAGGCGAGGGAGGAAGCGCAAATGTGGAGAAAAGTGGCACACAGGCGGAAGGGACAATGGAGACTCATTACATCAAGGCTTCTAACGAATACACAATACCACAACGACGACGGCGGCGGCGACGACGACGACGACTGTGAAGACGCTTCTCCCAGCCATGCCCGCCGATCTCTACGGCCGAGAGGTCAAGCGGCGCAAGCAGAGCGACGTGGCCTCCTCGTCGAGCATCTCCTCCTCTTCCTTTCTCTCCCTCAAAGCAGAGCTCGCCAAACACCACTCCAGCAGCAGTGGAAGCGGCAGCGGTAGTGGGAGCAGCTCTCGACCCACCAGGGACGAAGCAGAAGGGTCGACTACATCGAACTCGTCTTCTCATCAGCGCAACGAATACTCGCTCCCCTCTTCTTCTTCTTCTTCCAAGCGCCGTGGTGAAGCAGGAGGAACATCTCTCCTGAGTGGCTCCTTTGGCAAGCCCAATCGCAAGTTGCCAGCCCATCTACGCCCTTCTCCCAGTACTGCCCTTCGTGCCGCCAAGGATGTATCTTCTCTCTCCTACTCTTCGGGAGGGAAGAAGGGCAAAATCCCCTCTGGCAGCACCTCCACCCTCTCCTCGTGGTCCTCCACCCCCTCTGCCCACCTAGAACGCGATCGCAATCTCGTCCTGGAGCGTAAAGCAAGACTTTATGACCAGCTGAAACATGGGCTGAGTGGAGGAGTGGAAGAGGAGGATTTGAGGGAAGAGGGGAGACTGGGAGGTTTGATTGATTGGGAGAGGAAGATTGAGGAGGGTGGGAGTGGAAGTGAAAGTGAGAGTGAGGGTGAGGGTGGGAGTGATGAGAGGGGAGGAGAAGGGGAGGAGACAATCGAGTTTCAAGATGAATTAGGACGCACTAGGAGACTACCAAGGAGTCAGGTACCTATGGCGCAGCTCATTGAGATGAAGAGGCGCGAGGAAGAGAACGAGGCAGCCAAGTAAGTTGCTCGCCCTCAGAGCCGGTACCATTGAGTCACATCGTCTCTGATCCTTCCACCTCTCCATTTCTCCCACACCCCAGCATCCCCCTCCTCCACGGACCGCAACAGCACTTCCCCATTCTCACTACCAGCTCTGCCCCACACCACTTAGACGAGAATGTTACTCCTGAGGAGCAACACTTTGACGCATCGGCCGAAGTGCGCAACCGCGGTGCGGGATTCTACCGTTTCACCGCTGGCAACGAGGAGGAGAGGAAGAGACAGATGGCTGGATTGAAAGAGGAGAGGGAGAGGACATTAAGGGAGCGGGAAAGGAGGGAGAGGGAGAGGGAGCGGGGTGCAGATGCCCAGGCAGATGGAGAAGGCGGAGGCGGTGGTGGTGAGAGTGGAGCGCCGGCGGGAGGCACGGCTCCCAGTGGCAACGGGATCAAGCTGACGAAAGGAGAACGACGTCTCGCCGAGCGTCGAGAGCTCATTGAAGCTAGACGCAGGGAAGTAGCCGCTGCAAAGCGACATGATGCTGGGCAGGACGAGGAAGCTGGGAGTAGCATCGCCGCACATGCCGAAGCTGAAGCAGGTAAATCCACACCAGGTTCGAACAAGTCTGCAGCGGTCACTGAAGAGGAGCGTCGCCAGCGGGAGCGGCAGGAGAGGGCCATTGACCAGTTCCTTGATGAGGTGGATGAGGAGTATCGCAGCCGACTGACATGAGAGGCAAGCACAAAGACGATGGCGCGGTGCGGCTCAACTTGTATTCCTAGCACTACCACTACCACTACCTTGCAATCTATACTATTGTACGCATTAGAATGCGAGAGCGCAGCTTGGCTCAGCTTGGCTGGGCTCGGCTCGGCTGAACTTGATGACCCCCTTGGCTCGCTCAAGTCCGCGCAGTAGAGAAGGACTGCTTGTCTTACAAGGCGCTCTGTTCGAGGTCGACGATCCGCACTGTACGGTCAAAGCCGCAACTGGCGATCCTTCCATCGGGGAGTACGATTCTGCAAAGGAGGCAAGGAGGGTTCGTCAGGTTCCGCTCCCATATCCTTATGACCTCTCTACAGATCTCCGTCAGTATCAGCATTCGCAAACACTCACACATCCTTTATACACCCATTCGCCCCTCCCATCCTCCACCTCTTTGCCTTCTCCTCTGCACTCATCCCACTCAACTCCACCTCACTCAATGCTCCATGCACACCTAGTGCGCTCCTCTCTCTCCCTCCCTCTGCCTCTCCCCCACTAAGATCAAAGAGCCTCAATTGTCCCTCTTCAGAGGAGAGCCACACGCCTGCCCCGTCTGCCCGCCATGCTTGGCGCGGAGAGTAAGTCGGGGAGCTGGGAAGGGTGGTGTGTAGAACGAGGGCGCGGCTGGAGGAGAGGGGCGGCATGAGGATCACGAGCGAGTTGGAGGAGATGGAGGCGTGAGAGCCTGTTAAGAGGGAGAGGAGAGGGAGAGTGGGATGGGGGACGATTGAGAGGATCGAATAGGAGACGTGTGTATCTGATGTGTGCTCGTTGGTGTTGAAGGAGTCTTCTTGCCAGGCGGAGGAGGAGGAGGAGGAGGTACTACCAGTGCTATTCGGGAGGGAGAGGTAGTGGATGAAGCAATCATCCCGAATTGAGTAGACTAGTTGCTCCCCGGCGGGCGTGGGAACAAAGGCGAGCGCCTCGGGATTGCCCCTTGTCGAGATGGTGCGTACCAGTCGGAGCCGGGTTCGCAGCGGTTGTAGCTCCAGATCGTCTTCCTCTTCCTCGTCCTCGTCCATGGCATCACCAGCGCCGCAGGCTTTACTGCTTGTCTTCTCCTCGCCCACTCTCTCGTAGATATGGACCTTCTTGTCATACCCAGCAGTCGCCAACCACCTCCCCTCTGAGCTCCAGCAACACCTGACCACAAATTTCGTATGGTCCTTCAAGACCAGTATTGGCCCATCGCGGAGGGTCAGCAGATCCCACACTACCACTTTCCCATCCATTCCCGCAGTGACTAGCTCCCTTTGCTGGAGCGGGTGCTGAGCCAAATCGAGAACAGGCGCAGTGTGGCCACTCTGCTCCGTCCGGGCAACAGGCTCGACTGATTCGAGCACCTCTCCCTCGTCTGCATCAAAGAAGAGCAGACGCTTGTCTGCACCTGATGAGGCCAAGCAAGGCTGGTAGCGTACCTCGAAGCGAGGGTCGGATCCGTCTGCGGGGGAGGTGTTGAAGCGTCGCACGGGGAGGGAGAGGGAGCGAAGCAGGAGGATGTTCGAAGGATGGAGGGAGGAGTGTGTAAGGGAGACGCGGTATGGCAACTTGGATGGCCCTGGCAGTGCAGGGAAAGATAAAGTGCTACCAGAGATGAGAGAGCTGGCATTCGCAGCGGCTGCTATCCGCGGCCGTAGCAGGTCCAGAAGATCAGGAGTAGCTGCCTTGCCTCCTGCTGCTGCTGCTGCCGCCGCCGCCGCTGCTCCACCGGTGATGCTCAACTCCCTCTCGAAAGCGGCGAGCGTATCCGAGTTGACCCAGTGCTCCGTGAGATACTTTAGAACCACTGCCTCTGCCATGTCCATCAGCGGAGAGGCGCGCCGCTCTCGGGGCTTGGGTAAATCCTGCGCTGCTGATCGGGTGTAGTCGTGGGTGAGAGTGTGTGATTGGTCCACCTGCTGCCCCTGCGCCGTGCTGGCGTTGCCGGCATCGTCAAGGAGGGACAGACTGGAGAGGTGGTCGCCGATGATGTCCATGGTGGCGAGAGATAGGTGAGCGATGTACAATAGGAAGAAGTGCAAGGTTGGTCGCGGAGGACGAGCACAATGCATTGGCCAATTGCTCTTCTTCCCGCTCACGCCTCCACACGCGTCAAATCTGGGTGGCCTCTGAAAGATGAACCAAAACGGTTTTTACATTTGCGGCAGAAAATCGAAGACCAAGGGGATACTGCTCCTTTAGAGAGCCTCACTTCTTCCCTACCCTCAGCGGATCCTTCTTCTTCCCCCTCATCGAGGAGCCACCCCTTCCAGCTCCTCCTCTTCCGCGACCCCTCGCTGCTCCACCTCTGCCCCTACCAGCAGCATTCTTCCTCATGCCTACATAGCCTAATGACCTGCCCTGCTCATCGTACGATACCTTGCCCTGTATACCCGCTTCGCTTTCTACACGAGGTGCCTTGAGCCCTCTCACACCCATGCCCTTGGGCAGAAGGTAGTCGGGTACGTGTTTCAGGTGACCCTGACCTGCAGCACCTCCTCCACCGACCTTTCCATCATGGCGGAGATACTCAAAGTCTCGTGGATTGTCCTCAAAGTGCTCCCTGAGACGCTTGCTCCTCAAGATCTCTAGCTTGATCTCCTTGATCCGCGCCTCCTTGACTCGATGGCGCGTCGTAGCACGCAATGCGTCTTCCATCCTGTATCGGAAGCCCGTCACGAGGGACCAGTCGATCTTCCAGGCCTGCAGTGGGCTCACACCTCCAGCAGCGGGAGAGGCGAGACGCTTGAAATGCCGGGAGATCTTCTTCCATGTCGAAGGGTCCAGGGCCGATGTGGGGGAGGCGGTACCCTTCATACCAGTCGTGCTAGAAGAAGTGGTGACCGTCTTTGTACCATCGCTGTTGACACCTGGAGAGACAATGAAGCTCAATGCAATACCACTTTGGTGGGCACGAGCAGTCCGCCCAATGCGGTGGATGTAGGAAGACAGAGAGACCGGCAGGTCGAAGTTGACGACGCAGGAGACATTGACAAAGTCGATTCCCCGAGAGACGCCATACTCTGTTGCAGCAGTAGCGGTGCTAGACTTGGACTTCTTCTTCTTGCTGGCCTTGCTTGGGGCCACAGCTTCTGGTGATGGAGAAGGGCGCTTGCGCTTCTTGTCCGACGTTGCTGTTGCTTCGTTCGCCTCATCGAGGTCTTCCTCGTCATCTTCCCCTTCTGCCTCTTCATCATCCTCTGCCTCCGCTACCTCCTCCTCCTCGTCCTCTTCTTGTCCACCCTCTTCTTCCTCCTTCATCAACCTCTCATCACCCTTGATATCCCTTGCTCCCTCGTCGGTAGCAATGATGACATCGTACACGCCCTTGTTGAATTCCTGCACCACATGGTACCGCGAGTTGCCAGGCATCTCCGCATTGAGGACGCAGCTTCTGACGCCGAATGCCTCGAGGAACAGCCGCACCTTGTACCCTCTATCCACATCATTGACAAAGACGAGGACCTTGCCTCTGACAAGACGCAGCTTGAGCAGGACGTACAGCAAGAGGAACTTGTCGTCCTCATTCGAGAGATGCACGTAATACTGAGCGAGGTGGGTATGTGTATGAGCGTCATCCTTGAGATTGAGCACCTGAGGTTTGCGTGTGCTCGAAGAAGACGACGAGAGGAGCGAACGCAGAGCCTCGACGTCTTGTGACATCGTTGCCGACATGAGGAAGCTCTGATAGGTTTTGGGGAGGTGATTGCCCGAGAAGAGGGCCTTGACCGCCTCATCGTGGCCGTAGGAGAGGAGAAGATCTGCCTCATCTAACACTAGCGAGTCGAGGTGGTCAAGCGGTAGAGTCTGGGACTGTACAAAGTGCAGTGCCCGCGAAGGCGTAGCCACGATGATGTCTGGCCTGTCGGCGAGGAGCAGCTTGAGGACCGATGAGCTGGCCTCTCGAGCGATATTGACCACTTTCAGGTCCTCGCCGCTCCCAGCGCAGATACGACCGACATGGTTTGCTACCTGCTCTGACAGCTCTCGAGTGGGAACAAGGATCAGACCTCGTGTCCTCTGATAGTCTCCACTGCTCTTTCCCAGCGCCTCCTTCGTCTTGAGGATCTTCTGCACAATGGGCAGACCATAAGCAAGGGTCTTGCCGGAACCAGTACGAGCCCGAGCTACAATGTCATGGCCGGAGAGAGCGAGAGGAAGGACCTGGGCTTGTACCGGAGTCGGGTGAGAGAAGCGGAGGGTAGAAAGTGCGAGAAGGATAGGTGGGGACAGGAGATGGGAGATGGAGGCGAAGGTGGGCAGGTCATCGGTGGATGGCGCTGCAGGCATCGACAGCGCTGCGACCTGAGCGCCATTGGTCTTGCCTGCGGCGCTGTTCGATGGCCCAGCTTCGTTGTTGACAACGTCGTCCATGATCGTCACTTGTTCTGGTGAGTGACGCTATACAGGAGTGCTATCGAAGTCGTGGAGCGGCGTAGGAAGCCAACTTAGGACCTGTGCTGCTCCAAATTTTGCCTCGGGCGAGATTGTTGCCACGTGCCTCTTTCCGGCTGCAGTCCTTCCCGGAAGCCTGGAAGCAGCTGCCGGGGGGCTACTCCACCTTCCCCACCATGGCCTAGGCCAAATACTATCAATCACTTCATCACTTGTGCTCGGCTTACCCTTCCCTCCTTCCCCTACGCTCCTTTGCCCCGCGCTTCGACAATCTCTTCGGGTCGCTCAACCTCGTCCCCATCGGATGTCGAATCATCGTCTGTGCACTCATGATGAGTTGCCGGCATGGCTCAAGGACAATGGTTTCATCATCTCCGGCTATCGTCGTCCAGGAGATCACGAAGAACCTGAGGACCAGAATGGCGAAGACGACCACATTGTAGATTCACTTCTTTCCGACGAAAGCAAGGGCGAATCTCACAGCAGCGAGTTGAAGAAGAGAGGACAGAGCAACGGCAGCGCAAGATGGAAGGGAGATGCAAAGGCAGCTAAAGCAACATTTAGACATGATACAGTCGCAAAGTGTTGGGGCAGCGTTTGGGGCTACTTCCACAATGAGACGTGAGTAGGAAGCCCTCTATGGATGGTGCCCGCGGTAATTTGCCAGGCTGAAACGGCTGCTCTCGGCCCAGAATCAACATTCATACCCACCTCTGGGGAGCTGTCTTCTCCATTGCTCTCCTCTTCCTTCACGCCCTCCACCATTTCTCCCTCTTCCCTTCCTTTCTGGAACCAATCGCGTACCACTCAATCTTTTCCCCACCCCACATTCCTTCCTCTCTAAGCAGCCCATCCTCCTCCTGGTCTTCCGCAAATTCCTCTCCAAACGACTGGAAAGACATCGTGGGGTTCACCATCTTCCTCCTCTCCTCCGTCACCTGCCTCACCCTCTCCTCCTCCTTCCACACCCTCTCCTGTCACTCGCGCCATCTGGCGCACAAGTTCAACAAGCTCGACTATGTAGGCATTGTAGTCATGATTGTGGGTTCCTTTCTCCCCGCTCTACACTATGGCTTCTACTGCAGACCGCTCTGGCAGCTCGTTTACGGTAGTGGGATCAGTGTCCTGGGTGCTGGTGCAGCCTACGTGGTCCTCGCGCCGCACTATGCCACGCCGGCCTACAGGCCCGTACGCACAGCCATCTTCCTCGCTCTGGGACTGTCGGCAGTAGTGCCCGTAGCGCACGGTGTGGCCATTTACGGTGTGCGAATCCTGGACTTGACGATGGGAGTACGATGGCTAGCCCTTGAAGGGGCACTATACGTTACGGGAGCACTGCTGTATGCCCTCAGGATCCCAGAGCGCTTTGCAAGAGGCCGCTTTGATCTATTCGGGGCCAGTCACCAGATGTGAGTACTCGGGATGCTGGAGAAGATTCCTCCTGCCATTGCTGAGATCTGCTCTCCTCACCCTGGTCGACATTGCCCGCCCCATCCATCCACTTTCAATCTCCTCAGCTTCCACTTCTTCATCCTCCTAGCCGCCCTCTCGCACTACGTTGCCCTCCGACGCGCCTATACCTTTTGGCACATGTCCGCCTTTACCATCTCCTCTTCCTCTTCCTCCTTCTCGACGGAGAGGAGGACGGGGACGGAGGCAGGAATGATGGCGCTCGATGTAGGGAGGAGAGCCGTCTGTCTGGGAATCGATAGCTGGAGGGAGGCGCTCTGAAGGGAAGGGAAGAGGTCGCGATCAAAGTGGGACTTCTCGTTCGAACATTGCCTTGAAAGAGGCGGCAGGGGCACTACACGTTCTTTCCCCCTTTAGTATCCCCCTTGGTCTCTCAGGGTCGCTCAAGAGTGGATTCTTTCTTCCTTCTGCTTTCCCTGACCACTCATCTGATCTGAAAGATAGACGTAGACATAGCATGGTACTCATAATATTCGGTTTGAAGGCGACAGTTGATCGACCGCAAAGGTAAGCAAGGAAACAAGGTACCGTGGAGCAAGAGTTGAACAAGAAAGGGGAAAGATAGAAAGAAAGAAAGGAGGAAAGAAGTAGGAATGGGGCGGGGCGGGGGCGGGTATGCGACGTGGCTTTGCTTGCTTCCTTCCTTCGTTCCTTGCTACCATTCATCAATTCCATACGACTCTGCATGTAGCTTTCCGCGCTTGAGTGACTACTTCGTGCTCGGCTTCAGAACTCTGGCTCCTCCACCTCCTGCTCCTCCAGCATCGGCGCTAGTAGGTGCTCTGAGCATCTGCTGGACGACAGTAGCTCTCACTGCCCCACTCAGGGAATCGGCACAGGCTCTCCATGCTCATCCCTAACCACCACTACTTCCACCTCTGGCTTCTCTCCAGTGTCCATGAAGATGACGCTGGTCATATCCACTGGGTCAGTCCTTACTCCCCTCTTCTCCATGAAGCTCCTTCCTAGAATAACGGGAAAGTACGAGTCCTCTGCTAGCATCACTGTGCAGCTTACGGGCTTTGATCCCACCTGGACGGGCCATTTACCCAAGTTGGTAATTCCGTTGAAACCGTAAGTACCGGGAGTGGTGTCCTTTGGAATGAAGCCGTGGTTGAGGGCAAAGGAGCGCGAGACGTAGACGTGTCTGTATCCACTCTTGAGCATCATAGGCACATCTTGCACAGGTCCCAGTGATCCCTTGAGAAGTCGCACTCCTAGTTGCGAGTGGAACTCTTGGAAAGCAATCTTGTGCGAAAGCGTCTCTGCATTGGACACTGCAGTACCAGTCGTCTTCTTTGATCGACCACTCCTGACAGATGCACCATCTGCTCCGTTGCCGTGGTGGGTGGAGTGACCATCATGCTGCGACGAGGGATACTCGGGTGCGGAGATCTTGTTGAAACCAGGCATGGCAGCTGGCTCTCGCGGGGGAGGGTAGAGGATGGAGTCTCTTCCACCACCAGACACACCGCCTGCATCGACGTATTCGTCTACGGAGGTGACTTGGTGAGGCGTGACACGATGGATAGAGACGGCACCGCCTTTACCCCGACCGGGCGTCTTGGCCACGAGGGTGGAGTTGTCGATGATGGGCATGTTGGCTAATGAGCCTGCGCGGCCAGAGGTGTGAAGGGACTGGCTGTCGTGGCTATCCGATTCTGGGATCTCGGGAGAGGTGAGGAAAACTGTGCCGCGGAGAGAAGGAGATTATCCGGAATTGGATTCATCGTCAGACCGAGTATCACTACCATTGACCGTGCACCTATCATCACCACCACCGCCGCCTCCACTCGCATCACCCTCGGCAAAGTCAACTCACCATCAGCCTCCTTTTCCTGTCCGACCCTCTCGGTGAAAATCTCCCAATCATCTTCATCCTCCAAGGAGTACTTTGATCCCTTGTGGCCATACTTGACTGCCAGAGGGATCCCATCGCTGAGTTGCAGACGGATCTTGGCAGCTGCTCTGGACCGGAGAGTGGAGAGGTTATCGTCCTTCTTGAGACGGAGGGCAAAGGAAGGGAGGGAGCCTGCGTGGACGTTGAGGATCGTCATCGTGGTGATGATGATGATGGTGGTGGTGGTGACGGTGAGAGGAGATGCGGTGGTGATTGATGGTGGGAAAGAGTGGTAGGAGTGAAGGGGACTGACTGTCAAGGGAGAGATGGGCCAGGGCGTACGTGCGGCAGGAGCAGCCGAGGTGCCTCTGTCTCTCGCCTGTGCAGCAGCAGCAGCGGATGAATGGATGCGTCTAGGCTTCCTGCTGCCTGTCGTCCGCCGCGCCTCCCCGCGTGGAACACAGGGGCGCATGCCCCTTCCACTCGACGATGACGTAGCTTGGCAGCTCAACGACGCACGCCGCATGTCATCCATCCACTCGCCTCGACGGCCAAGGAAGGGACACACACCAGCCAGACGGATAGACTAGCGACAAGTGGGCAGCAATTGCAGCTACAGTGACTTCCTCGAAGAGGTCTAATTATGACTTTTATTATTTTGCAGAATAGCAAGTGACTTGCGACGAAGCGCTGAGATATGCACAGCAGTAATGGACAGGACAGCGAGCTGCCTCGCACAATTGTCCACACTATAGAACTCTACCCCCACCTCTGCGCTGCTTCCTTCTGACGGCATAGTATAAGTCTTGAATGGTATCCGGATACTCTTCCCCTTCTACAAAGCGTCCCTGCCCCTCTGAGCCCTCCCGTACAAGTCTTCTAAGCAGCTCCAACCCACAAGCTCGCCGCCCTGCCCCAAGCGAACAGCATGGCCCACATGCCAAAGCCACTTAGGATCGGCAGTGACAGATTGTCGTCCACGCCCCCTAGCTCCAGTCCCTCGGCAGTGGCAGCCACCAGGCCGCTGCCAATACACAGAGCCCATAGTGGCATGCCAGGAACACTCGTGATGATCTGATTGGACATCATGTTGCCCGTGGCATGCGACGCAGTCTGCAATACTGCACTCATCCGGCCCTTGTAGCCGCCGCTGGCCAAAATCGGGGAGAGGTGACCTCGGAAACCCCACGCCCAGCCATTCCATCCCGAATGGTAGGCTCCAGCAGAAGTAGCGCCAAAGATGGAGTGAACGGGCGACCAGGACACGCCGTCGAAGCGCTCGTGCGATTTGGCAATATTTGTGCCCCAGAACAGGAGGGCAGTGAGGGAACCAGCCACCACTGCTGCAAGGAAGCCAGAAAGGGACTTGCGGGCTGCAAATGGAGGTGACGGCAGCGGCGGGGTGTAGCGCCCAAAGAGACGACCAAACGTCGAAGCGCAAGTATCTGCCCACGAGAGCCTGCGAAAGTGGGAAACCGGGTCGAGGATAAAACAGGGTCAGCATTCGAAGATTGTTGTTTGCCGAAAGCTCCTCCAGTGTACTCACATCATGACAGAGACGCAAGCTACATCAGCCGGGTAGAAGTGCAGACTGAAGATGACTCCAATAAGGTACCAGACGACGCCGTTGACTCGTTCCTATGACGCCGTTCAAGAGAGGGTAAAGTAGTCTCGGCTCAGCAATGCATTCGCATGGTTTGCACTAGCTCCGCGCTGCCCCCTCGACAGAAGCTCACCTTCTCTGCTTCTCTCATCAAGAAGCCCAAGACAGACTCGTAGAATGTCTCAAAGGGGCGGTAGTTGAGACGGATCACGTCCGCTGTGACGACGATGACCAGAAATGTCGACATCGTGCGCACCACAGAGCTCAAATCGAAGTCGTTTAGGTACATGTACAGCACGATGAAGCCTGTAAGCAAGGAAAAGCAAGGTTTGTGGAAGTCGTCGTCAGTACAACAGCCCTTGGCTTGTATGTCAAGCTCGCCCACCTTGAACTCACCAATACTCGAGTGGAAGATCTTCCTGGGAATTTCCCAGCTCTTTGCCTTCTTCTTCGATTCCCTCTTCGTCCTCGGAGGTCCTACCATCTTCTCCACCTGATTCTGCTCGGCTCTCCTCCTCAGTCCCTCCCTGTTCTTCCTGCCAATGGCCTTCTCCGCTTCCGATAGCCCAATGAAGGAACCGGCCCGTGAGACATCGCCTGTTGTTCCATTGTCATCACCGGCGGTGTCGAGAGCAGTGAATACAAAGGGCTTCGGACGACGACCGGGAGAAGCGACCGTTTCCGGATCGTACCCGTCATCTGACAGCGGTGATTTTAGACCTCCATTGGCCTTGGGCGGAGGAAGTGGAGCAACACTGATGTCCGTCGCGCCATCCGCGTCACCATTACCAGTGTGCGGCGAGTCAGATGGTGAGATGTCGGGTGTCTCGTCTTCGGGAGCTCTCTTCATCGCTCGGAGAACGGCAGCTCCCTTTTCTGTAAGAGAGCTGTCACGGCGCAGATGCCTACGGACACCCACTTGTGAAGACGATGGGTCTGCTGAGGCACTCGACGCGTCGCCTACGGACCGATTTGCAGACTTGCTGGCGGCCCTCTTCGAGGCACCGGAAGCATCCTTCGATCCCTTTGTGGACATCTTGGCAGTAGACGAGGAGGAAGGGTATTCCTCGGGCACGTCGAGTGTGGAAGGTCGAGGGGAGAAGGGCTTCAGCTGTGGGCCGTTGCTGCCGCTGGAGGATGCGGTGGAAGAGGAAGACACGGAAGATTTGCGGAAGGGATTTGATATGGAGAGATGGCGACGTTGTTGGGGATGGGACATGACACTTGGGAAGCGGACAAAGAAGGAACGTTGGAAGGTCCACAAACACGGGAGAGGTGAGGAGCTGCTGATTGGCGACGCCAGGCGAAGCGACCAAGGCGCGGGTCGGGCCGTGGCTGGAAAAAAGGCCACGCGCGCAACACCACGTCAAGCGGGACGTGGTGAGAAAGTGGTGCAGCATGATCACGCCTACGACTGCCTCTTGTGGGCCACGACTCATCAGACACGGTCACTCATCCCACAGTGGCCGTGTTGATCTCCAACATCCGCAGTACAGGTTGTCTCAGCAATTAGACGAGACCTGAGCTGTGGCGCGACGACTTGCTCGTTGCCGCCTCCCTGAGAGCCTGTTGAGTAGGTGACACTGAAGTGGGTGGTGGTGCTCCACTCCCGGCCGCGCGTTGCGCTTGGGCCATGCACGAGGTGGATGGTCCAAGCATTTCAATTCCACCCTCGATGTAGCATACAAGGTGATTGCTCCCACCTCAGTACCCCAGAATCACCCCCTTTGTACACCGCACACCACCATGTCCGACGACGATGAATTCCTCATGGACGATGCCGCCGACGAGGACTATGACTTTGACTACGAGGAAGACGAAGAGGAGGACGAGGCAGATGCAGACATTGAGAATATGTACTACAATGCAAAGGCCAAGAAGGCAGAGGATGCTGACGCGGCCATTAAAGATCTGAGGGCAGTGGTGGACAAGGAGACACAAAAAGGAGACTGGTAAGTCGAGCACTCACTATATGTGTCTCTGGCCTCCCCGCTCACCACCAGACTCTAACACACATGGCTTGACAGGGGGTTCAAGGCGCTCAAGCAGATGACAAAGATCAATTTCCACCGCAATCTACACGACAAGGCCCTAGAGACATACACCGAGCTCTTGGCATACACAAAGTCAGCCGTCACCCGCAACTATTCGGAGAAGTCTATCAATAACATCCTCGACTACGTCTCCAATGCTTCCAATGTGCCTCTGGAGACAATGGAGAAGTTTTACGCTGTGACAAATTCGGCGCTTGAGGAGGCTAAGAACGAGAGGCTGAGCACAAAGACGGACCTGAAGCTTGCGCGGCTCTGGCTGGCTAGAGGAGAGTGGGGAAGGCTGGGAAAGACGCTTAAGGAGCTCAGAGCATATTGCACCACGAGTGATGGAACTGATGATCAGAGCAAGGGGACGATTCTGCTCGAGATCTTTGCGCTGGAAATCCAGATGTATAGCGAGATGGGCAATTTCAAGAGACTCAAGGTGAGCACAGTATGTGAGTTCCAGACACCTATGCCTGTGCTAACGCCCGTGTCCGCTTCCTTCTTCTTCTTCTTCTTCAGGCGACCTATGATGCTACGCTGCAAGTCAAGAGCGCCATTCCTCATCCGCGAATCATGGGTGTCATCCGCGAGTGCGGTGGCAAGATGCACATGGCAGAAAAGAATTGGACAGCTGCCCAAGTAGACTTTTTCCAGGCTTTTCTCATGTACGACGAAGCTGGCTCCCCACAGAGGATCAGTGTGCTCAAGTACCTTGTTCTCTCCCACATGCTCATGGGATCCGAGATCGACCCGTTTGACTCGCAGGAGACCAAGCCTTACAAGAACGACCCGCAGATTGTAGCTATGACAAACTTAGTGGGGGCGTATCAACGCCGAGAGGTCCACGAGGCGGAGCGCATCTTGCGTGAGAACAAGGCGACGATCATGGAGGACAGCTTCATTCGTGCCTATATCGATGATGTCCTCAAGGGGCTCAGGACGCAGTACCTCATCGACCTCATCAAGCCTTACACGCGCATGGAGCTCTCGTTTCTGTCTCGCCAACTCAACATCTCGACGGAGATGGTCGAGGAGCTACTGATGTCCCTCATCCTGGATGGCACGATCAATGGTCGAATCGACGGGCTCAACCAACGCTTGGAGCTCAAGAAGGAAGACAGCGGAATTGATGGCCTCTCCAAGAAGAGGTACGAGGCGCTGGACAAGTGGTGCCGAGAGGTGAATGCGCTGGGCGTTGCCATCGAAGACAAGCACACCAGAGGTAGCGGGGGAGGTATGACTTCAGCCCTCGCTGCTGGCGGTGGCGGTGGCGTCCCGCTGGGCCCTTTGAGCGCAAAGGTGTCCTGAAGATGAGCATCAGCGGGACTGTTTCATTGTCGCGTACGGCATGCTATGATAGTGTGCGCTTCCTTGACGTCGAATCTGTATTACCATCCCATTGCGTTCCTCAACGTCTGCGCTTTGCCCATTCGTCAGCGAAGGGTCCTTGTGCATTCCAGGTGTGAAGCTCCGCCCGAGCCTGGAGAAGGCATACCCCGTGGAGGCCCAGATTCAAGTCACGCCCGCCTGGCCGGCCAATCTGGACCCCTTGAGCTAGGATCTACGGCACATTCCCTGGATGGAACGGCAGGCACTTGATTTCCAAGCCACACAGATAGCCGGATCCGACACTAATAACTTCGATCTTGCAGTCACACGACCCTTGTATGGGAATCTCAGGGACGTGGCGATCTCGCTTAAGATCTCTGAAGAAGGAGCAATTTGATTCTGCTGCTTCGATAGTGAGACCAGGCTGCCGAGGGGGGGAAACCCTTTACCTCTGCCACTGATTCAGCACGTGCGCCGAGGTGATTAGGGTTTTCGCGCGCGGAATAAGAACGATGGACATGGTAGCGATGCGCCACCATCGTAAGGTTGTCCCACCCTCGCTTGCACGCGCGCGCTTCCTGGGTGGGATACCCGCATCTAGAAGCAACGCCACTGAAGGCCACACGACCATGCCTCTACACTAGATCTCACAATGGACAAGGAATGAGCAAGGAGAAGACACCGCATACCGACGGTCCTGAGCAATACATGCCTCCCTTTTCCTCGAAGACCATGTGGGGGAGGGGATAGAAAAGGGGGGGGAGCAAAGCGTGGACTGGGCCCGGAGCCTAGAGAGATTGGCAAGGCGTGGCGGCGGAGCTGTGATGGTGATCGGCACGTCAGCCCACACGGCGAAAATGGCGAGGCGTGACAGAATGTGGCGGCAGCGGCGGTGCTCGAATGGGCTGCAGAGGCCGGCCGCGGTTGCCGCCTTGCCGAACAGCGGCGGGCGCTACAGTCACATACACACACTCTTCTCCCCCGCATGGCACCTCACTGACTGGCCGACTGGCAGCCGCAACTCCCCGCCCTGCCGTGAGCGGTGCTTCAACCTACGTTCCGAAGAGCTTCACCCCCTCCTCTTCCACTTCACCCTCCGCCTGCCGGTCACCCAGCCACCCGCCGGCCGAGATGCTCAGCCTGCGTACCATCAAGGCCATGCTGCAGGATATTTTGAGACAAGATGAAGCTCAGGGGATGCCGAAGTGGCCACAAGCACCGACAGCACCCGCACGGGGAAAGCTGATGCAAGCGGCATGCTCCAGATGGGCGGAGGCAGGGATGAATCAGTAAGCTAACAAGGGGCCTCCCACCCCACCTTCATCCGACATGCCGCACTCGCAGACTGCAGTGGCTCACGGCAAGCCCTGGCCGGATCCTGTGTTGGCCGTCTATACATCTGGTACCTATCGCATCGCGTGAGGTGGTCCTCCCTCGATTGCTGCTTCTTGCCCTCTCCATATAACATCCAAGTCTTATCACCATCCTTTGCTCTTTCCCTTGTCCCTCTGCCTCTTCGAATCTCACACGACTCATCCTCCTCATCCTCATCCACAGCATACACAGCCCTCGCTTATATCTAGCTCGACGCCCCAGCCCGATACTGGCTCACACTCATGGCTCTGCTCCAAGATCGCTCCAGGGCGGAGTCACCAGCATACGACGGCAACACTTCCAAGGATTCAGACGACAGCAGCCTCACACTAATTTCATCATACGACGGCGAAGCACGCTTTACATCGCAGATGATGGAATATTCAGGTAGCTCCAGCCGCTCCTCACGCTCCTCGGAAGACTACGATGGGGAAAAGAGTCTGCTGCATCGGTATCGTGATCAGGGCAGCGACTCCTACTCCATAGACGTCGGCTCTGGCGGCTCCTCTTTCCGCTCAGCCAATAAATCCAGCATCAAGGCCCGAGCTCGCCTGCAGCTGCGTCGTCTGACGCGGCTCATGCCCAGACCCATCATCACAGTCTTCATCCTCGCCTTGGTGTCGCTACTGGGCGTATCCTTTACTCTCAAGGATCAATTGTCGACATCGAGCCTTCGTGACCTGCAGTCCCAATGGCGCAATGGAGCAAAGCTGTTGACTGGCGGTACATCATTCGTAGGTACAGAGAGCTCCAGCCAGACGGTAGCAAGCACACACAGGGCAGGCCTTCCCCGGAGACCTATTCCCATTCAGTCCCACCTGGAATTCCTCAAGGACGATGGCAAATACCTAGAGGCTTGGGTCGCTCGGGGAGAGGTCCTCGATGGTCTGAGCTTCTCAGAACACACCAAGCTTGACGGTCTATGGAACTGGGTCAATGGAAGGTAAGTCTCCTTCACTAATGAGCAGCGCCCTGCCGCAGGTACTGACCAGTCTTTGGCCTTGTGTCTTTCCGTTCATTGCAGCGACCCGCGACATTCTTTGGGTCGTGCTCACTTCGCTCAGGATCCCACTCGAGCGGTTGTACCTCCTACCGAAGTCGATGCCGCTTCTTCGCAGGTGATCAATGGCGTGATCTCCTCCCTTGAGGCTCGCTCTCATACTTCAACAGTGAGGAAAAGCTTGATGGCCAGTGCCGCTGATCTTCGTCTGCAGAACCTGGATTCACGCTTCAGAGAACACGATGAGCTGCGTTACTCACTACGAAGCGCTAAGGCATCTCTCGGGAAATGGCTCAGGACGTCTCACGTCGTCAGCACCGACTTCTGGCCGGCAGGCTTGCCAGAGGGCTCAGACGCGCAACTCTCGAGTAGGGCTACGAAGTTCTCCTCTCGGCAGGCCAGGCGCGACTCACTCGCCATCAGCCTAGGCCAGAGCGACGTCTTCCACGTCGAGGGTGGTTTGACACGTTACGGTCAACTACCCCAGTGGCTTGATACCAATTCAACGGACGTACGTGTTGGTGACCGTGCCAGGATGATCGAGGCTGGTGCACCGCCTGCTCTTCGAATGCACCACGACTGGAGTGTCTTCACTCCCATTCAAGAGGTCGAGCCGGTGTCGCAAGCCCTTCCGTCCCCACCAGCAGAAGAAGACATCCTCGCATGGAAGTTGAGGGTCTTGCCCACTTTCAACAGCATGGCCGCCGAGGCCGGCCTCGGCTTGAACGTCACCGACCTGTCGGAGATCTTCTTCTACACTAATGATGATAACTTCATGGACGCGCCGATGTCGACGGCAGACTTTGCTTCACCTCTGTACGGCCCTGTCTTCCATATCAACCACGTCTACCCTCTTCAGCCCATTGAGCACCCCAAGAAGGAACTCGGCGAGCACCCTTCACTCCGATTCTCCGCTTGGCTTCTGGGAGAGCGCTTTGGACCAAGGACACGGCACTACATCATTCACGTCCAGAAGGCGCACGTCCTCCCCCTCGTCCGGGAGTCACGCTTGATGTGGGGCGCGGAGTTCTACAAGACGACGGCCAAGAGGTTCCGCGGGGACGGTCGAGCCACCAACTCTCACCTCTTGTCATACAACTTCATCATGGAGCGCCATCGAGAGGCGCTCCTCTGGAGCTACTTCGTCGCAAAGCTCGACGCCGACGGTAACGGTCATTATAGTCGTGAAGAGCTCCAAGAGGCATGGCGAGAGCTGGGACTGCTTTCGGATGATGGAGATCGGGACGCTGATAATCTATGGAATGATCCCGTGATCACGAGGGTCACCCTTCCTGAGCGTGAAACCCTCCTTCAGGCCAATCTCGAGGACAACTTGCAGTCTTCGCAATTCCCTACGCCTCAACAGGCGATATACCAATTTGTCTCTCAGGATGGCTATGCACTCTCGGCCATCTCATATGCCCGCAGAAAGGGATCCCAGTGGCCCACATTCCACCGAGAGGTTGGTACAAAACCCATCGACTATGACCGCACCGTCGGCTGGATCGACTGGCAGACTTGTTGGCCCGAGCATGTGAGGGAGAACCCCGTGGAGCTCTTCAAGCACATGGCCTTTGTCGAGCGCGACTGTGGTGACGTCTTGACGACCTTCCTGACATCCAAGTCGGGCAAGAAGGGTCTTTCGGCCTTCCTACCCCGTGAAGGCACCTCCTTCCCTGCCGTCTCCTCGCCGATCCACCGCAACGAGACGACTCCTCATCTGCCGCTCAACCCCCGGTGGGAAGACGCAGACTTTTCAATGAAGGCAGTGGCTCGCAATACCGGATGGTCCGAGGGCTCCCGACGAAGCTTTGCCATGCTCCTGATTCAGAGGTATGCCTACACCATTGCCGCCGGCACCGTCACCTTTGAGATGCTTACCAATCCACAAGACGGAGCCGTGATGTTTGACAAGCTGCTGTCGGCTCGAGTCAGGCAAGGAGGTACTGCTCTGATTGGTATCAATGACGATGTCAAGGGTCAGGCAGAGAAGACGTTTGGCCTGCTCAAGGATTGGATGGAAGAGAGCTGGCCAACAAAGTCTGCGGCCTTGCCATACGAGAAGGTGCCGCCTGGAAGGGGTTGGGAGTCTGCACCCGTACTATAAGATGGGCACGGGGTGGGTCAAGGATTCTGTTCAATATTTGTCAAATACACATGTGTACATTAGCAGTGCGTTTTATCATATTCTCCTTTGCATCAACGAAGTGCCTTGATGGCCTGAATACTGCCACCCTGTGACGACGTGCGGACCCTGTACGGACGACGTGCAGTACTCTTGGCGCTGCCAGTATGTCAAGTGTGACCAAGCGAGGTGAGATGCGTCAGTCAAAGGCCCTCAGGCTTCCTTGATTCCTGGTGAGGACTAGGTTCAGTGACCTGCGTGGGCGGCGGTGAATGCACGTCGGCAGTAGAAGTTGAAGCAACCCTTGGCCACGCCAGGCGCACCAGGCTGTCAGGTGCCCCGTGCAGAATTCATCTCCGCTCAGGGCTAAATACTTTTGGGCAGAATTCTCCCCGCCGCCTTTGCTTCTGCTCCTCTTCCATCATCCCTCTTTCCCCTCCGTCGTCGAGTTCCGTATCCTTGCTTCTCCAGACAGGCGCTGGTAGCCTTTTGCTTCTCCTTCATCTTCTCATCTCCTTCCTTCATCTCTCAATCTCATCCTCTCCAAAGCGACGAGCTGTGCTCATCGTCCCTCTCCAATCCAACTCTTCCACTCATACAATTCTGAAACTCGTAGGACTGGTTCCTATTGCTTCAGATTTCCCCACAGCATTGCCTCTACATACGTCAAATTCAACCCCCCACAGCTCTTCAGCATGTCTCCTAACAGCAAATTCTCCTTTGCACCTCACTTTGCCAACATGGCAGTCCTCCTTGCCGTTGCCTTTGTACTGGCAACCCACAACGTCGCAGCAGCCCCTGCCGTCGGCAACGAAGGGGGTGTTGTAGCATCCTCTCATCTCGTTGAAAGGGCTGATGTGTCGATGGGCTCTATCGCCGCGAGCGATATTGCGCGTGGTCTGCAGCTGGAGAGGGCCGATCACCCCCTCTCCAAGCGACGTCTGCGTCGTCACCGTGCGGGCCTTCATGCTCGCCGATCTCTTCCACGTAGGCAAGATACCACCGACGGAGACGATGACGAGGGCAGTGATGATGACGGCGAGGACGGAAGCGAGACCGTCACAGCCACGACTACCGACCTCGATCCAGAGAGGACTGGCAGGGCTACCCCCACTGATAGCACCACCGTCTCGTCCACACAGACGGTCACTTCAACGGCGACCTCGCTTGTCTACTCCGAGTCCTCTACATTGACCACAAAGGAGACGATCACCTCCACTCTCGTGCCCGAGGAGACCTCTTCTACCTCGGACTGGACGCAGACATACACTGCTACCCTGACAATGGGAGTCAATGGCACATCCTCTACCGACCAGTCCTCTTCCAAGGCCACATCTACCAAGGCTGCAGCCTCCTCGACGGATCTGGACCCAAAAATTCCCGTCGTCACTTCTGGCACTCTGGAGAAGGCGGTCACAACTGACACCGACTCGTCTACCTCGACTCGTCGACACAGGCCACACCAGACCAGCAGCGCTGACGACGTAGAGAAATATACCATTGGCACCGTCGTTTGGACTCATTCGGCCTCTCCATCTCCCTCATCCTCTTTCAGTGCAGACGCGCCGCGTATCACCGTCGATGGAGCCGTGTGGGTGGACATGTCCTTCATGGTTCCCGCCTCGCTAGTCGAATCCATCAGCATGAGTCGAGGATCTTACGTCGCCCAACCTTCTGCGACTGCTGATCTCAGGAAGCGTACGGTGACGGCGACTGCTTCAGCTCCACCTCTGCTCACTGGATCTACATCTGCTACTGCTACAGCGACAGCCACTGCTGGCGATGACGATGACGATGATGATGACGACGATTGTGAGGACGAGGATGAGACGAGCACTTCGGCCGACGTAAAGGCTGCTGCTACCTCATCCGCCAAGACGACGTCCTCTTCAAAGAAGACCTCATCTTCCTCAACCAAGACGTCTTCCACGACCAATGCCTTCCCGACTGTAGCTAACTCCAGTAGTACCAAGTCGTCAAGCACCAAGACCTCCACCACTTCCACCAAGGCTTCAAGTACTTCTACCAAGACGAGTACCCCAACCACCAATAGCTCCTCCACCACCTCAAGCTCAAGCTCAACTGCCGCCTTTGACACCTTTTGGGACTCTTTCCTCGGTCTCTTCAAGGAGCTCGCATCGGGTAATACCACTGCCTCTGCGGAAATCCCCTCGGAAACGAGTAGTATTTGGAAGACTGTCAATTCCGCCTTTGGATTTAGTAAGAGGGACTTGGGATTGTTGGACGGAGAGGAGTGGGAGGTGAGGGAGGTGGAGCCAGTGCTCTTTATTAGGGAGGATTGAGAGAGAGGGGGGGAGGAAGCTACAGAGGGAGAAGTCTTCGAGAGCAGAATCTCGGTCCACTTGAGATCGGCTGATCGATGGGTCATACCGCCATCTCGTCCTGCCAGCAACCTTGTGAATAGATCTTATGACACTCTTTCTCCTCGCCGTTTCGTTGCCCTCCTGCCTGCCTGACTCACTGATTTGATTGCCCCAGACAAGACTCCTGGCGCCTGCGGTCCAAGAATCGATCTTGTCTATGTTCAGACGCCGCACAATGCAGCAAGAGAGCAGCAAGGCGGGCGAGCCTGGCTGGCGGGACAAACAACGTTGCCCGCCTTGACGAGACGAGTGGGAGCAGGCACACAGCAACGCAGCAATGCAGTAATGCGAGACGTGTGCGGTTCAGAGCAGAGCAGTTCAGAGAAGAGGCGAGCAGAGTCGTCATTGTGTACTTGTATATTTCTGGCTGGACAATTGGCCGTTGTCGTGGCAACTTCGCGGGACGATAGAGAGGAAGAATGAGCATAGAAATAAGAAGAAGGGGAAAGAAGAAAGGCAAGACTAGAGTACAAATGCCAAGACATAAGGGGAGGGAACCAGGAGAAGGAGAGGGGGATTGCAAGCCAGATACGGTTACGGTACGATAACGAAGGAAAGGGGAAGAGGACAAAGAGGGCAGCGGTGGAAAAAGAAGACTTGCAAAGACGAGTGGAACCGAGGCGGAGCATGGACGAAGGGAAACGATTTGTACAGTATAGACGTGGTAAAGGGTCAAGAATTGTTCTGTGTGTGTAGAGAGAGAGAGGAAGTGTCCCACGGGGTGAAATTGTAGTGATTGTTCCGTATATGTTGGTTGTGTGTGTGTGCTGATGTTTGCAGCCTTCCCATCGTGCACTCAGACCCACACGAGCTCAATGACACTGTCGTCTTCGGGCCCATCGTCGTCCTCCAGCGGTACCGTCGTAGTCTTGCCGAGCAATTTGGCGGCCAGACTCGACAGGACTCCTCCAGGAGAGGCAGCCTTTGGCTCCTCCTTCAGGTCCTCAGCAGCGAGAAGACGATCGCCCTTGCGCTGAGAAGCTGCGAGCTCGGTGCCGCTGAAAGTTTTGCCGGTCCGATACCCCTTGACTCGGGAGCCCCGCTTGATGTAGATCTCGCGGGCCCCGCGGCCGTCTCCATCCCAGGCAACTGGCAGCCCCTCGGCATCATTGTCCAGCCGGACATCTTCGAGCGTCCAAGTCTCGCGCCAATTGGGACTCGCAGCGTGCCCTTGACCCAGTGTGCGATGCGGACGTCCCTCGCGAACGCGCTGTCTTGTGGGTCCAATGGCGTGCGAGAATTGGGAATTGCCAAAGACCTTCCATGTCATTTCTGTTTTGCTGAAGTCAGGGTGCTGCGAAGGGTAGAGCGTGAGAGAGAGACCGTGCACCAAGAGGTACACATTGTCTTCCATCGTCGCCGCGCTGACGCCTGTGTGGTTTGCCAGAGTTGCTCCTCGACCTAGAAAGCGTTGTAGGAGGCATTCTGAACCGCAAACGGCTCCCGCGCGGGCGATGAGGAAAGGATCGAAGCCGGTGTGCCAAGAGGACCAGTGGTGCATCGTGGCAATCTCGCGACCACTCTCCAGCAGACCACGGATGTTATCGTGCAAGTCAGCCTGCATCAGGGACCATTCGAGAGTGAGACGGGTGTGGCTGTGTGCGTAAATGCACGCGGCTAGACGATGATCGGCTGGTCCACCGGCAGGACTGCATTCTGTCCAGTAGGGTCGAAGCTCTTCCAGAAGAGGCATACTCAAGACGAGTCCGGCACCTCCAAAGGCAATGGGACCGCTGTTGCTCTGCCTCCAATCGTCGGTCAGGGCACCAATGTAGCGCGACTCCTCCGGGTCGTACTTGTCGAGCATGGCGAGGATCTTGTTGAGGGACATCCAGAAGGTGTCGTCGTCGCCGATCATGGCCCACTGTGTCTGTCCCGGATCGGCAAAGTCGTACAGAAGAGAGGGCAGCTCGATCCAGCGTCGCAGGTAGTCTTCCTCAGGAGACTGGATGATGGTTGCGCGAATTCCCTTGTTCTGAAGAGCAGCGCGAAGCTCCTCGACTCTATTGTCGGGTGGGAGGTTGAGCACCAAGTGAAGGTTAGACCAGGCGAAAGAGTATTCGAGGTGGGGCAGGAAGCCGAAGATGCGCCCCACGTCGGAAGCCAGACCTAGAATCAAATGGTGTGGTCGAGTCCGCGTCCGCGGCACTGGGTACGTAGGCAGATGCAGCGGTTGCTTCGAAGAGGAGCACGAAGAGATGTGAGTCATGGCGGACCGGCGTGCGAGCCCAGCCTTGACGTCTTTGTGCTCTGCCCTCTTCTCCTTCTTCTTCTGCTGTTGCGCATCTTTCTCCAGAGGATTCTTCTGGCCCAGCCGTACCAGACACATGGCTTGACGCTGCCCTGTCAGCCCTGTGCAACTGTCTTTGCCTACTCCTGCCCAGCCAGGCCACTCCATCTGCTCCCATCCCTGTACGAGGACCTCGTCCAAGTTTCGAGGAACAGGATCAAACCCTTCTGGTCGCTTGAAAGAGGGTGGAGATGGTTTCGCGGTGACGAAGCGCCGTGTGTAGCTAAAGTTCGGAGTGAGATTGTAGTGAGCGGCGAAAGCTGGAGCATCCAGGTAGCAAGGAATGTCCGGATATGTTTGGTGAAGCGCAGAGTCGCTTTTGCTGGTCTCGACGCCGTACATGTAGTCATGGTGTTCCTTGTGTGCCTCGCCCGGAATGCTCTTCACCACATCCGTCCTCCAGTCGTCCTTGATTCTCCATCCCCAGCCTTTGCCGGCAGCTGCCTTCTGATTACGGGCATCATTGTAGTCCACGAATGTATCATCGCCGAGTATCCGCCAGAGGCTGAGCGGAGAAGATTTGGGGAGGAGCGAACAGACAAAAGTCAAGGCGACGAGGGCACAGAGCCCTCGCAGCATCCATCGCATGCGTGGCGGTGTGAGAATGCCCGTCTTCTCGCCATCCTCGACCTCGCTGCTGCTGCTGCTGCTGCCACTGACGACAGCCAAAGTCCTCTTGACGGGTGCAACAATCTTCTCTCCCAGAAGAAGAAACTGATCCGAAATGTTTCGGCCATGGTTTGACCGCTTAGAGAGACCGCTACTCATAGCGGGTGCTGCTAGTCGACTACGCTGATGTGCTATTTGATTCTGTACCAGTCGCTGATGGTCTCGTACCAATTCATGCTGACGACGCTGCCAATCGAGGAAAGCTGTGCGCTGGTCATGTTGATCTTCCTGACTTGTACTGAGCGACTCTCGGCTTTGATTGGCCAAGTAACCCTTCTCTAGCATTGGAGAGGATGGGCCAGACTCGTAGGTGGGCGCTGGAGAAAAGGCTCCGCGGGAAGTCGACGCCGAAGACGAGAGGTGACCGGTGGCGGTATGATGGTGAGGGGAAGAGCGGTATCTGCGAGCATAGACGTCTTCTTGAGAACTGTGACCATCTTCCGATGAAGGAACGCTACCGCCGCTGCGACTGAGTCCCATGGCCTGCCCTCCGTACTGGCAAGAGCAGGAAGAGCGACGTCCGTTGCAGGCGCAGGATGAAGACGAAGAGGTTGAAGCAGGTGACATCTTGTCGTCAACGACTGCGGGTTGGGGATGTAGCCAGCTGTCGAGGGACAAGTCACAGACTGGGAGTTATTTTGAGTACGGATGTGATGGTAGGCTAAGCAGGGCGGGGAGGATTTCGTTCGCATCCATCCTCGGGGTGGATGGATGGATGCCTTCACATCACACACACACAAGCACACACAAGCACACACACACACACAAATCAAGCCCCTCCATGGACTGCCTGCATCGGGGTTGGCGCACACCGCACTCGGCAGAGGTGCGAGTGGCTGCTGAAACTCAACGTCGATCCGCATCTTAGGAAAAATCTCATGGGCGCCCTCACAGACTCGGCAGTGGGCCTGTGTCTGCTTGCTGACGCCGAAGGCTGTGGATGGGGTCTGCCGAATGAAGGGGGGGGGAGGGCTTGAAGTAAAGACGGCCAATCTCTACTGCTTCTGCCTTGGAGCCGCCCGTTGCTATCCCGACTTGACAGGCGCGGCAGGGCACCTGTCGAACATCTTCGCCTCGGGGTCCAGGACGACGATGCGGCGCACCGCGCCCAAGGGCCACGATTGCTCCCTCCCGCGTCCAGGCACCTGGCCACCAGGCCCACGACGTCGGACCCCGACGCCACGCAAGACGGACGTGGTGCATGAAGCTGGTGGCCCTTGGTTTATCCACCCGCCTCTGCCCTGGAGACGACGAGGAGAGAGTCATCGACGCTCAGAGCTCGGGCTTTCACACTTTGCAAGCAGCCACGGCTTGGCCAATCATTTTGCCATCGCTCAAAGGTCATGGGAAAAGATGCGACTTGGCATTGGGGTCGGGTAGGCGAAGTGGGGAGGTCCGCTCGCCTCGACTCCTCCTTACGAGGGACGATCGCGGGGAAAGCAGGGGTTTGGGGCGTAAAGGCCAATGGTTGCGGCCTTCGGTGAGGTTGGTGCCGAGGACAGTAGCGAGGTGCCACTGTCAAGGTGGATACGGTCATACTGGTCTGATCAGACTGAGCCAGTAGCTCTTGCGGCACTACGCCAGTGGCGGACTTTGAGACCTCGAGTCCAAGCAGGATCTCCCGCCTCGTGCGATCGCCCCTCCGCGCTCCTCTGAGCGATCTGATTGCCGCTGAAAGAGCCTCTAGTCAGAGCCCCCTTCCGTTCCTACAACGGGCCATCCCGGGTGGCTCCTGCGTGGGAAGCATGCCCCGACGTCAGTGACACCATCTGCGCAGGCGGGCCAAAAGGGGACTGGCCGAGGTAGGTGCTGCTTATCTCCTTAGTGGAGGCGCCCTCGTCGTGATCGCTCGATCGAGGCAAAAAAAATAAGTCACGCCCGGGGGCAGTGCTCAGCACAATCTTGACTCCCAATCTGTCACTCTCTACTCACATTCAGACGTCTCTAGAAACAAATCAATCATGTCTGCTGCAGTACGTATAATGGATCGGCTGGCTGTCAATGGCCCTTGGAGTGTGACCGTGGTCTTGACGCTTATCTCAACCACCCCTCCTTGCTTTGCACAGCAACCCGCAACCAGCAGCTCCAACGAGGATGCCCTCGACAAGGCAGTCGACCAGGGCCTCAACAAGGCTGGGCATGGCCAGAGTGAGTCTAGTGAACATGGGTGGGTGTGTTTCTCCGAAAATACGCATGCTGAGCAGATCAGCTCCATCTCCACCCTACCCACCCCTTAGACCGCAACACCGTAGAGAAGATCTCTGACGGTATCCGATCCGGCTTCAAGAAGCTGACCGGAAAGGATGTTCCCGGTGGTGAGTGGCAGGCTACAGAAGGTTTGCTCTTGTGTGGATCTCTGCGTGCTGACTCGTGCGTTTGGCCGGCTCCTTTGCTTATCATGTCCTCTAGGCGACAAGAACCCCTCTTGATGTGTGCGCTGCGAAAGGGTCGTAAACAGGCATGAGAAGTGACTTCTGTAGGCATGGATTGATGTGTGTGGATCGAATACCCTCCTGCCAATTCCATATCGTATCGTTGATGATATGCATGCTTGTGTGTGTGATTGTGAGCGCCCTGCCCGCCCGCGGTTGGCTGTGCGGAAATCTCGCGTCCGAGGGGCGCACGTTGTGGCTGGGCGACGCTCCACCTCAGGAAGAAGAGGAAGAAGTCGGACATCGGCAACGAGGAGAGCCTGGGAGACTAGCCTTCACACACTCATCTCCGTACCACACATACCCTTGATCTCTAACGACGACCATTGACAACATGACTGGAAACTTCGAACTTGTAGCCATCGGCAACCCCCTCCTGGACATGCAGGTCAGGGATGGAGAGGAGGTGCTCAAGAAGGTGAGGCATGACTGGCCCCGCGCTAGCAGCATCTCATTACCTCACATCCCTACTCACACCGCTCTTGCCTTCCACGCACCACTATCAGTACGACCTCAAGGCAAACGATGCCATCCTTGCCGAGGAGAAGCACATGGTGAGCACAACAGGCAACGACTGCTCAAGTCAGATTGCGCATATACTTACCTCGCCCCTATTCCCCTTGCCCATGTGCCTCCCTCTCAGCCCATCTACAAGGAGATCGTCGACAAGTACGACGTCGCCTACGTCGCCGGTGGAGCCTCCCAGAACGCCGCTCGATGCGCCCAGTACGTCCTTCCCGAGAACTCCACTGCCTACTTTGGCTGTGTCGGTGAGGACCACCTGTCTGAGCAGCTGCGCGCCGCCAACAAGAAGGAAGGCCTTCGCTCCGTCTACCAGGTCAAGCCCGAGGTCCCCACTGGCTCCTGCGCCGTCGTCATCACTGGCCACCACCGTTCCCTCTGCACCAACCTGGGTGCGGCAGAGAAGTTTGACAAGAGTCACCTGCAGAGCGAAGAGGCACAGAAGCTCATCAAGGGAGCAAAGTACTTTTACATGGAGGGATTCTTCTTGACCCACGGCGTGGAAAGCGCCATGGTCCTCGCAAAGGAGGCCGCAGACAGGGGTGTTGTGAGTTGATGAGTCGCACCCAAGAAAAGTCACAACTGCTCTCGCTCCCGACTGACAAGCCAAGTCTCACCTCTATGCCCCTTTTCCTTTCGCAGCCCTTTGTCATCAACCTCTCGGCCCCCTTCATCCCCCAATTCTTCACTTCGCAGCTCAACGAGTTCCTCGCCTACTCCCAAATCGTCTTTGGTAACGAGACCGAAGCCGAGGCATACGCCGAGGCCTCCAACCTCGGCACAAAGGACCTTACCAAGATTGCTCAGGCCATTGCCGATGGACCCAACAAGACTGGCAAGCCTCGTCGGGTAATCATCTCGCACGGCGCAGAGGACACCGTCCTTGCCATTTCCGGCGAGTCGTCTGCAAAGACGTTCCCCACTCCTCAGATTGCCAGCGAGAACATCGTGGACACCAATGGAGCCGGAGACGCCTTTGCTGGTGGTGTTCTGGGCGCACTCATTGCCGGTAAGAGCACCGAGGAGGCCATCTCCATTGGACAGAAGTTGGGTGGAATGTGCATTGGTCAGTCTGGACCTGTGCTCAAGTTCCCAAAGGAGAAGATCTTCTAAGTAGCAGTCACGATGCATGGTAAGGGAAGAGGAGGGGGTGAATGAAGGTGGATGTACTGACGAGAAGGGAGTGCACAGAGGGTAGAGAGGTAATCGCCACCTATCATTACAAGTCTCAACGACATGACAGGACAAGGGTCAAAAAAGAGGGAGTGCAGCAGCACAATCTGGGCATTCACGCAGGTAGGGCTGTTTGTCACAACATATATACACACACACACACACGCCTCCATTTCATTCTAGTAGCTGTACAAGTACGACCAATGACGAATTGTTTCAACACAAACATTGCTACAGGAGAAAAGAGGGCGCGTGCGTGGGCTTTTGGGATCATGGAAAAAGAAGGGCTCATAGCTTGGTGGAAGAAGAGCAGAGCAGACCGCCAAAACGGGCGGCCAGTGGACTGACCCAGTCAATCGATTCACAAGCCTTCGGTCGTCGTCTCGAGGGGTCCCTGTAGAACGTCACATCAAGGAGTAGCAAGGTGAAAACCTGGTCAGCTATCCGACCCGCCAAGCGTGCACTACCTCCCGAGCAGCAGCTCTCCTCCTACTCACCCTAAACGACTTTCTCCCCCAAACCACGTAATAGAAGGCCGCAAAGGCAAAGAATCCCACGAAGACCACGCTCGCATAGTTGATACTTGCAGGATCGGTAGTCTTTGCAGTTGGGAAAGAGAAGAGGACCACACTAAAGGCAATCCAGGCAACGGTGATGCTGTTGACCACGTAGCCTACGAGGGTGCCAAAGGACCAGGGAGCGTTGGCTACTGGAGCGCGACGCTGGAAGAGTGAGAGGCCAATGGGGAGCTGCACAAAACGAGGAGTGGGACGAGGAAAGTAGAAGTCAGTAAGTTGAGAAAAACAATAGGCTCAGTATGTAGCTTGGCTTGTACTCACTGCGTAGCTGATCCCGAGACAGATGGTTGCTGCTCCCGTAAAGGCAGAGAAGGCGGCGGTGCTTCCGAGATAGATGAGTCCGAGGAGGGCAATTACTACACTCGAGAGAAGCGTAGCATTGAGGGGCAGATCCAGACCCTTGTGCACCTTGGCCCACACCGACGAGAATGGCATCCCTCCGTCCCTGCTAAATGCCCAAATTCCGCGCAGACAAACGGTCAAAGCTCCCACGCTAGCAAAGAGACCAATGACGATGATGAGGAAGAGCAGTCCAAAGCCACCGCCATTGCTTCCCGTCACTGTCTGGAACAAGGCTGGGAGGGGACCACTAGCGGCTGCAAGTATGTCATCCAGCTCGAGGGGGAGAGTGATGATCACTGGGATGATGTAGAGAAAGCCGGTCAGACTGGCTGCTAGGACTGAGCCTACCATTGCTCGGGGGACGGAGCGCTCCGGGTCGGTGACTTCCTCGCAGAGAAATGCGATAGTCTAGTAAGATGGAAGAGGGGGACTTCGTCAGCTGCCAGTGGACATAGCAAGCGCACAGGATTGGCACAGATACTTACTCCATATCCGGTCAAGACGTAAGCAGGTGTCAAGCACCCGACAAAGAAGCTCCACCCATCGGTCCAACCAGAAGCATTTTGCCAAAGGATCAGCGCATCGTATGGACTTCTCCTCGCTCCACCAGACATGGCCAAGAGGACAACGAGGATGATAATCACGCTGGCTGAGCTCCAGTAGATGGAGGCGGTATTGAGTAGTTCGAGATAGTTGCCTTTGACGCCCCAGACGTTGACCAGGAGGGAGAAGACCATGACTAGCCAGAACATTAGGATGGTCTGCCAGGCTTCAGGGACCCAGTCGTTGTCTCGGAAGAGGGAGATGGCGCTGCGGAGTGCGGGGGAGCCATCCGATCAGCATTCAGCTCCCTCTTTCGCTCGGGCCTTTTTACGCGCTCCCTCTCCCTCTACTCACGCTAAGATCAATTGAGCCTCACCAAAGATGATCGACAGAGCGAGTGTAATGTTGGCAACCATGCTCACCCATCCTGTGCAGAAACTGATCACCTTTCTATACTTCTTGGGACTAGTATAGGCAGACCAATGGTATACTCCTCCACTGGTAGGGAAAGCAGAGCATAGCTCACCCAGACTAGCGGCCATTGCGAGTGTGATGACGGAGAGGAAGAGCCATCCCCAAAAGTACGTTGCTGTCCCACCATTTCCAAGAGCGAAGAGGGCCGAAGTGGACAGACCAAAGGGGGCGGCGATGATGCTAAAAGAGAGACCCAGGACGGTGATCAGGGAGAGGTTGCGCTTCAGCTCGGGCGTGTAGCCGAATTGCTGCAGTCGCTCATCGCCGGCAATGCTGTTGCGCCCATAGGTCTCTACTTCGGCGAGAGCCTTGCCGCCGTGGAGATCCGGAGGTGTAGAGGCACCCTCTTCGGCCTTTTTGTCGGGGGAAGCGGAAGCCATGGACGGTATGTGGGGCGGATGAAGTGGAGCGTGGAGGGTGGAGAGTGGAGAGGCAGAGGATACGAGGATCTTGAGAAGGACGAGGAGGAAGAGGCTGTCTGCTCGTCTACTTCTGAGATCCTTTACGTCTTTCTACTCTGCTGGAATCCCAGATCAATCTCCCAGATCTTCCGTCTCGGCGTCGAGCCGTGTGCAGAGGTGTCCAGTCGATCTTGTCCTCCGACAAGGAGAAGCTTATCGGTGCAAAGAGGTACAAGAAAATAGCCGTGGTTACCGCTCGCCCACTTGACCTGACCTGTCTGTCCCTGCCTGCCTCCACGCCTCGCTGTGCCTTGCCCTTGCTTTCCCTTGGCACCCACCAAGAGAGCTCTTCGCAGCAAGAGCCTTATCTGTCACAGTGCCTGGCCTCAGCTTGGGCTGTAGGCCTCTCCTTCGAACCTCGGCTAAGACTCAAGACTCAGACTACTCACTTGCCCTGTGCGTGCGTGCGTGGGTGCGTGCAGCTAATCTGTGGGGGGCCACCGAACCAGGCGCGGCGAGATGCGAGATTAGCCGTCAATGGCCGCCCGGGGCGCTGCAGGGGAGGAAGCTGCTACCAGCCGCGGCTTCATTCCTCGTATCGCCTCTTGTCTCCCCCCTCGTCAGCTCTAGATGGGGTACGAAGATGAGATGCTCGAGGGGTACACGATGCATGCTAAGACTTGTGCGAGTTCAGAATGAGGTACACGCTTTCAGTAATAAAGGTAAACCTAGAAAGCTCAGATCATGGAGCAAGCAAGGGCGGCCAAAACGCTGCATATAGATCGCATCGATAGTATCCTTTTGCCTGCTCCGTGGCGTACAGTATTGGCATTTGCGAGCCGATGAAAATTGACACCCTACTGTACAGACACATCTCATCATCCGCTGCAATGTTACTTGAGCTTGCCTGCCCACACACACCGCTACTCCAATTCAAATACACCAACTTCCTCGCCGTCTTCTTCGCCTCGCCGACCATGCTCCTGATCGCTGCTCCCCGCGCCTACAAACGCAGGACTAGTCGTCGCTCCGAATGACAGAGTGCTAGTGATAGCACCGGTGCCGCTGCCCTTTTTCATGCCGCTTTGCTCTCCCGTAGTCCAGGTTCTGAGGGTACCGAGTGCGGATGGTGAGCCTGATGCCGCTAGACCAGAAGGAGAAGAGGAGGACGTCTTGCCCGCTCTGGCGCTGGAGGACGACGAGGTCAAGCCATTCGAGAGCGCCTCACGCCCAGGTCGCGAGCTGTCTGATACCTCGCCGCCCTTTTTGTCCGAGCTATCCACCGAGCTACGCTCCGAGGAAAAGTCGAAGCGGGACTGGAATCCGCCAGGAGCTCGATGTGGCAGCAGGCTCGATGGGGCCGTGGGACCGAGATCGTGCACATCCAGCGTCGAATCAGGACCTTGCGACAAGGGTGAGGATGCATTGTTGCGCAAAGAGCCAATCGGTCCAAATCCCGCATGGCTCGGAGTGGATCGTTGCGAGGGAGATAGAGTCTGGTCGCGACCAGGTGGTGCAGAGCCTTCTGGAGGCCTCGCAGAGACTTGGGACACGCCGCTGTCGCCCTGGCTCCGCTCCGGCGAAGTGAGATGCAGGCGACTCAACCCAGCGGCCAGGCCTCGAGGTAGACTTTGCCCGGGAGCGTGGCTAATAGAGGCTTGCGAGCGTAGGTCTTGAAATCGGTCGAAGCCTACTTTAACATCGGACCGTGAATTGATTCGCTGCTGGGGCGTTGGGGTCCAAGCCTTGTTGCCAACGCTGACGGACGATGGCGCCGAGACGTTAGCCAGATGGCCCCTGCTCGGTGAAGAGCTGATGCCTCCCGAAGAATCCGCGCCCGCTGTCAAGCGTTGACTATCTGACCTGCCGAGCAGTTCCTGTCCATCAAAGGGTGTGGATCGACCCGCTTGCGCCGATCCCCAAACTGCGCGCGAAGGACTCTGGTGTACACTGGTATCTTGTTCCGGTCGTCCGTCGGCAGTAGCTTCCACATTCCTGCGCCTCCTTTCCAGTTCAGCAGGCGTCAAGAGGTCGCTCAGGCTAGACGGTAGGAAGTCTTCTTCATTGTGACCGTCCTCGTCCAGATCCAACTCTTCGTGCCCTGCATACAGTCGTCCTCGTATAGAATGATCTTGAGCGGTCAGGCTGCGACTCGACGAGCTCTGTGGGATGCCGAGATAGGAAGTCTGCTCACTCATCGCTCCGCCTGGCGTATACGAAGACGGCCGCATCAAAGAGCGAATTCCTACTCTATCTGCGTCCTGACTACTAGAGAAGAAGACACTCTGACCATTGCTGAAGGGACTCGACCCAAAGGGTCCAGCCGTCGGAGGGCTGCCAACGAACCCGGGAGAAAAGCTGACATTCCGTGAAGAGAGATCTTGGGACAGCGGCGGTGGCAGCGCGGCTCCAAAAGGTGGAGCTGCAGGACCAAGATCGTCAGGCAATCCAAAAGCGAAGTCGTCTATGCGTGATGGGGCGAAAGGCATAGACGACTGTGCGCTGGTGTGGTGGATATGAGGTAGTGAAGGGACCGGTATGGATCGTTGCAGTGAGCTGTGGACATTCGACGAGGAAGGTTGCGCAAGGCGAAGATCGTGTGGGTGCGAAGGCTGCTCGTGCTGTCCTGTGATTCTGGAGCTGTTGCCCCTGTAGAAAGGCGGTTGCTGCTGATGCACTGGTCCCTGGTGTTGTCCATTCGATGCGGTCCTCGCACCTGCTTGCGCTCCTCTCTTGTTTTTGCGATCCATCTGCGACAACAAAGGTGAAGGATGTCAAGAGTGTCAGCTCACCGCTGATGGACTACCAGCTACAGGGTCTGTGGGCTTCCGGTCTCGTCCAGCAAGATACGCACGCTCAATGGCTCTCCTTCTCTGACATGAGCGAGTAGACACTTGGCTCCATATCTACAATTTCCCTTGAGAAAGTATTCACAGACAGCTTTCCCTCCAGCTGCATCAGCTCCACTACCGCCATCATTGCTGCCTGCCCCTGCTCCAGCAGGAATATGAGCAAAAGGACAGGCTTCTCCAGCTGAACATCCTCCCGCCGAGCGAAAGAACTTGCACGGCACTCGGCCAAGGGCCTCCGTCTGACGCTTTGTAAGTTTTGTATTGGCTAGCGTAGAGCCTCCGCTGCCATGTGCGCCTGCTGGCGAAGCCATGGGTTGCTTCGGTCTGTCTGTCTCTGTCATGCGGACGGTGGACACTTGTGAGGCCGCTGTCAGAGGGCACTGCCGGGCGTGTAAATGATGAGCAGTGCAGCTGTCGACCTACGGCTTGGCAGACGGGCTAGAGTCATCTGTGGCCGCTACAGGTGAAGGAGGTTGAGGAGGATCAACGAGAGGCGAAGTGATGGTAAGAGCGATACGAAGGCTACAGGAGGTGTCGGACACGGAAAGCGGCCGCCCCACGCATGCACGGGCGCCAACAGACGGACGAAGCCAGGCGCGATGGACCAGGCGCGCGTCAGCCTACAGCGTCCGGCGTCATACAAGACAAACGAGTCATCATACAGGCTCGCTGAATATGTGTCCAAGAAGGGCAGGCAGCCTGTCAGTGATGGAGATCAGACGCGATGTAGACGAGATTGAAGATACCATTGCACATCAGCCACAGGAGGACAGTCTGGTCTTCACAGCGTATCTGCTCATGGCAGCCAGGCAAACGAAGACGAGGGTGCAATTGCCTGCCACAGCGTCTCGAATGCGTCGATGAGCTGCGAAGATAGTGGTCCACCCTGACAGGCCTTGAGGCCCGCTTCCAACTGACTAGCAGTCGAAGCTCCCAAGATGATCCCGTCATTGTCTCCCAGGGCGGAGTGGTGCATGTGCCACCGAAGAGTAGCCTCAGCTAGAGGAATACTCTGCTCCTGACACTTTGCCGTCAACACTTTGAGAGGTTCCAAGACTTCAGGTCTGAGGTAGAGAGGACCAAGTTGAGCCCTCATGGCCTCGTACCGAGAACCCTTCTCCGGATTCATGATTTGATCGATGGGCTTTGCCAAGAGTCCGCCGGCTAGGGGACCCCAGGCGTAGAAAGCGACGCCGAGCTTGCGGAGACGCGGGAGGAGCTCTTTCTCCATGGTTCGATGCACTGGAGAATATGCCCCTTGATAGACACTAGGCACTGCAGAGCCAGCTTCGGCGCACAGGGTATGGAGTTCTTCGACGACTGTAGGAGAAACATTGGAAACGCCGAAGCGCTGATAGCTGCCTCTGCGATGGAGTTCAATGAAAGCCTGTGCCACTTCACTGATCGGCGTTCCAGAGTCTGGACCGTGAATGTAAAAGATGTCCACTTGGTCTTGCCGTAAGGCAGCCAGTGAGGCATCGCAATTTGCAATGACCTGGTCGTGCTGTAGAGATCCTGGACTGAAACCTGGTGCCTTGGTGGAGATCTTGAACCATTGCTGAGCACCCACCTCGCCGATGAGCTCTTCTGACCGGCCACTCGAGTACACTCTGGCCGTCTACCGGGAGAAGCATGCGGAGAGTGGATGGAGGAGGGAATGACAAAGGTCAGTCGCAGACGCTACCATGAAGCGGTGGTTCTGCATCTCGGAGGAGGTGACACGGGACTCACATCGAGCTCTTGAACTCCAAAGCGCCTACAGACGTCCAGAAGCTCTCGCATTCCAGCAGGAGTGGACAAGGTGGAGCCGCTCTGGGCGACGGAACTACCCATCAGGCCAACGATGACTTTGACCATTGTGTGTGCGTACAGCGTTGTGAGGTCTGATCAGGAGTGTTCAAGTCGTGCTACGGTCTGCATTGCGACGACTCGTTCTTCGAACTTGTCCGCTCTTCAGCTTCGTAGCATCAATAAAGACGTCAATGGGCCAGACAATTGAGTACCCCATAAGCTGACTGCCAGGCGAGGCCCCAGAAGGGCGGAGGCTGAATCGGGATGTGGCTGAAGGCGTGTGGCTTTGCGCATACACTTAAATGGGACTGAAGCGAAGGGCTGTTGGCTCCGAGAACACACATTGATGGCCATTGAGACGGTCACAAGTGCTCCAAAGCTGTCGAGGAGCATCTCACCCTGACCTTCCTGAAGCAGAACAAATCTTCGAATTATTATGAAAGCAGGAATGGGGTGACAATCAGACGAGATACAGAAGAAGGGTGGCGCAAGGCGTCGGCTGGTTGCAAGCTTCCAAAAACGATACCTTGTAGGTGAGGTAGGAAGTCGACTCGAGAGCAGCATTGCTGTAGGCTGTGTTGATACCGCCGGTCAGGGTGACATAGTCGTCTCGCTTGGCGATGTGAGATACACGTCTTGGGGACAGTATCGCGGCAGGGGAAGAACGCACCACAGGGCTCTGCCGCGAGATTAGGGCCGAGGCCGTCGGACATAGGGTCCAGCTGAGGTGGAGGTGCAATTGGTCAGACGGAAGATTCAGCCCCAGAGAGGCAATCTGGAGTCTTGTATACCTTCCCAAAGACATCATTACCTTCTTTATCCAACGACAACAATCAAAATGGCAGCAATCAACAAGGGAGACACTGTTCTGGTCACTGGTTCCACGGGTAAGTCGTTGCGTGGGACACGAGCGGTAGAGTAGCATTCAGCTAACATTCGCCCACCTCGCCTTCGTCGGCCACTATCCTACCTACTCGTGTCTCCTCGAACATACAGGCTACGTCGGTGGCCATGTGGCAAGCGATATTTTGGCTCACGGAGCTAAGATCAAGCTGGTTGTGCGCAATGAGGAGAAGGCTGCCCGCGTATACGAGGCATTGAAGAAAGTGCATGGCGCCTCTGCTGCCGACTCGATCGAGACAGTCCTGATCAAGGACTTTTCCGCTCCAAACGCTTTCGATGAAGCTTGCAAGGGTGTGCAAGGCGTCGCTCACGTTGCTTCCGACGTCACCTTCAGCGATGACCCCAAGCAAGTCATCGACCCCATTGTGAAGATCTACAAGTCTCTCCTCGAGTCCATGGCCAAGACTTCTTCGATCCGGCGCTTCGTTTTCACTTCCTCCTCGGTCGCTATTGGCTTCCCGAATGTCAATGGCAAGGAAACACGCCTGTTCGATAGCAATGGTTGGAACGACGAAGCACTAGAGCTGATCAAGGACAAGCCAACGGGATTTTCCGTCTATGGTGCCAGCAAGGTACTCTCAGAGCGAACGGTTTGGGACTTTGTCAAGGAGAAGAAGCCGCAATTTGTCGCCACGAGTGTCAACCCAAACCTCAACGTCGGTCCATTCCTGCCCGGAGTTGAGCCTTCCAGTACTGGCGGCGGGATCTTGAAGTCGGCAAAGGGAGACCAAAGCTTCCTCGAGGGGCTGGGTCCACAATTTGCCATTGATGTCCGGGACGTCGCCGAGCTCCACTCCATCGCACTGTTCAACGAAAAGGTCGGAAACGAGCGGCTGCTGGCCTTCGCCGATCGTTACACCATCAACTCGATGCTTGAGACGATCAAGGCCGTCGACCCAAATGCCCCTGTCTCTACCAAGCCCGAGTGGGGGAATGAGGACAACAGCAAGGCGGATACCAAGCGCTCGGAAGAGTTGCTTGGTCGTCCCTTCCGAACCTTGGAAGAGTCCATCCGAGACCTTCTCAGCTCTGTCTAGACTCATCTCGCACCACTAGATCTAGCGCTCTTGCGTCTCATCCCATCTCTTTCGTGCATGCCTTGTAACAATTCTTGCTGCCTCTCAACCTAATAGAACATTATTCTCATCGTCTATCTCCCTGAGATGCCGACCCTTTACAGCACCTTCACAGATTGCTGTAGAACTGAGTGCCTTATGTCCGTGCGGAGGTGGAGCACGTCATGTGGAGACGCGGGCGACTCTAATCCCCGAGACTTTTGCAGTCTTGGAGAATATTCTTCTAAGTGGAACACATAGCGCATCCCAACCTCTTCACCACGACGACGGATACGTTGAACCCATCACACACTACTCTCTATCAATCACTCATCACAACAATGTCGACTCATCGCGCTGCCGTTCATCCCGCTGCCAACAAGCCTTACGAGGTGAAGCAGGTGCCCACTCCTCAGCCCACCTCTTCCCAAGTCCTCATCCAAATTACCGCATCCGCCATCAACCCCGTCGACTGGAAGATTGCCGACGGCGGTTTCCCTGCCAAGTTCCCTGCTATTCTTGGAAGTGATGCGGCTGGTATTGTGTCCAAGGTAGGAGATGGCGTCAAGTCCCTCTCGGTGGGCGACCGAGTCTTCTTCCAGGGTACGCTAGGCAGTAGCGATGGTTGCACCTTTCAGGAGTATGCCGTCATGGAGGAGGCCCTCGTGAGCAAGACGCCCGACAATATGAACGACGGAGAGGGCAGTGGAGTTCAGCTGGCCAGCATGGCTGCCCTGGTGGGTCTATACGACAAGAGCGGTGGATTCGAGGTCAAGCCGGCTCCTTGGGATAAGGGAGGCAACGAAGCTGGAAAGGGCCAGGCTTTGGTCATCCTGGGAGGAAGCTCGAGTGTAGGACAATAGTGAGTAGGACGCAACCCACATGCTTACTTCGGCTTCGGCCTGATACTGACTCCCTGCCCTCCGTGTCAATCCTCACCAGCGCCATCCAATTTGCCCGCCTCTCCGGCTTCAGCAAGATCATCACCACCTCATCCTCCAGCCACACAGACCACCTCAAGGCTCTCGGCGCCACGGATGTAGTGGACCGCTCCTCAACTGCACAAGATTTCCTCAAGATTGCTGGTGACCTACCTATGAACGGTGTATACGACGCCATCGGTAGCGAGGAGACGCTCAAGCAGGGTACCTCAATTTTGGAGCAGAGACACAAGGGGACAGACCATGTAAGCCACTATGTCAGTGTCATTCCTCCTCGGGACGAGTTTGAGAACAATGTCACGCGCAAGGCTATTCTCGGCATGGGCTCCTCACCGGCCCTCCACCATGTGAGCCACCCCTTTGTCAAGGCCGTCTCGGGTAATGAAGGCTGGGTGGGCAAGGGTCTCTTCAAGCCCAACCGCACACAGAAGGTGGATGGAGGTCTAGAGAAGGGTCTGCAGAAGGCATTGGACCTTAACAAGAAGGGTGTGAGCGGAGTCAAGGTCTGGTTTGACCCTAGAGAGTAAATTAGCAGGAAAAGTATCAATTGTGTAAAATAGAAGTGCCGACGCATCCCCTCTCTTATAATACAAATGCGGGCCCTCGAGCACTAGGCCTCGTCAATCCACTTTGCTATTCTTCGCCAGCATTGTCCTCTTTCTGGTTCATGCCAAGGGACTGAGGGTGAGAAGAGGTGCCAGGCGGGAGCAGTCAGTCCGAACGCTCATTACCTATGGCTGGCTTTCTTTTTTGTACTCACATAGCAAAAAGTCGTGCACGGCATCTCTGACCTCATCAAGATGAACCGTTCTGTCTTCTCCTCCAACGGCAAAGTACTCCTGCTCTGCATCAGATGCCTCGCTTTCACTCTCGAGCGCAAGCGCTGCTTGTTCCGCCTCGGTTTGCTCCTCTGGACTGCCAGCCGAATTCACAAAGCCATTACGAAGGCCCGAACCCTGCTCTTCACTCAATGCTGCTGGCGGCTGGTGATCCCCGGCAAAGTAGAAGCCCGACTCGAAAGGGGTACCAGCTAGCGGCGTGGCTGGTAGAGCCGGCGCTACCCCGCCGGGGGTCTGTGCGGGTGTATGGAAGTGCGATTGTGACTGTGCGCGGGCAAAGGCTGCTCCTAGCGACAGAGGGACGACGCCGGGCCGGCGGGTAGACCTTCTGGATGTGCCTTGCCGGGTGTTGGTAGGACGTCGTGGAGGGGCGGGTGGTGCTGGCGAAGTTGGAGCAAAGTCAGCAGTTTTGACGCCGTCGGCTGCTTCAGCGCTTTCCCCTTTGGGCGAAGAATGATCGTCCGGAATTCTCGTCATCGCAGATGAAGTTCTCTCGTTGCTAGCGACCGGCGAGGTAGGATCCTGCGGCACACCGGCCACTGTACTGTTCTCTTGCTGCGAGTCTTCCTTCTCTGGATGGAGGATTCTGCCTTTTGCGGGCGCTGGTGTTGAGGATGGGGATTTGATCTGCTTCTCCTGCTTCTCGAGAGCACCACCCGCTTCAAAGGTTGCAAATTGGGAGGAGGCCCCTTGAATTTCGTTGGCTTGAGACTCCTGAGGGTTGGGCGTGGGTACCGCACTTGGCCAAAGGGTAACCTGATGGGTGTCTGGTCGAGGGTACTGTAACCGCGCAGCCATCTCATAGACGTCGGCACCTTCACTCAGTCGATCTCCTGTGTAGATGGGCACTCTTCGTTTACTACCCGCCGCCATCCTGTGGGCGAGGGTCAGATGCTGGTCATTCGAGATCTCAGCCGATCCGGTAGCGAGGTAAGTCCGACGAGGCAACCCTTCGAAACCCCAATCGGGCCCGTCTCCTCCTCGCTCGTGAGCAAGCTGGAGGGAGCAGGAGGACAGGTAGGGATTGTGGTATGCTTCTGAGGCAGGCAAGTTGCCCATGAAAGCGCTTACTGCCGTGTTGCGGAACGCCACCGAGGTACTGATGATATCTGCATCGCGATTGGTGTAGGTCGTGGCAAATAGATTCGGGCAGGTGAGAGGGCCAGCATGAGATCGTGAGATATCTCCCCAAGGCGAGAGAAGCAGAAGGCTGTACCAGATGCGGAAGAGTGGAGTCAGCCTTGTGCGAAACCAGCACAGCTCGGTACATTTCGTTAGACTTACCTCCCAGGCACTCCTGCCACCTTTTCGTCTTGCAGATACCGGCATAGCGCCAGTGCCAAATTGCCACCTGCAGAATCACCTGCAACGATGATATTGCTCTCCTTGAAGCCACAGGTTCTGACGAGGTACAGGTAGCCAGCTACTGCATCGAGTAATGCGGCAGGATAGCTTCCAATGTCAGGACGACATGGCACTGATAGTCTGTAGTCCAATGAGAGTGACCTGGTACAGCGATTGGCAAGCGTGGCCTTGGACTCCCCATTCTCGTAGAGCTGAGCCAGGTAGCGCAGCACCTCGGTATTGACCGCTGCCGTCACATCATCTTCGTGAGCAGTGCCGATCCAGTAGGCACCTCCGTGGAGGTGATAGACGACCTTCTCATCAGCACCAGCCCGCCTACCAACTCCTGAGGAGGACAGAGAATGCGAAGCTGGGGATGCATCATCACGAGGCATTGGTTCCGCAGACTGTTGCTTAGTCTCTTCTTCTTTGAGGGGTTCACCATACCAGAACCCACAGGTGCGCGTGGAGGGAATCTGCTGCGAGTCCATGGCGCGCTTGAGCTCACCACGAATGTCTTCCCCTGGAGTTGCGTCGATCCAAACGAATTTACATCGCAGCGTCTTGGAGTGAGGTACTGCTTTGCTCGTGTCTCTCGAGAGGGAAGTATGGGTGCGAAAGGTAAGACGTGTCCCGTGACGAAAGAGCCGAACCAATGTTGAGCGCTTCCACGTCCAAGTAGACCTAGCTCGCCATTGTGGTGGGATAGAGGTCAATGCGAACCAAGGCAGGAAGATGAGCCCCACCGAAAGGCCAAAGTAGACGAGGTAGAGCCACTTCCAAGGCAAGCGGGACCAGATGGGCGCCTCCTGGAGGAATTCCGACTCTTTGCCAGAGCCTTGCCCCGGGAAATGCACAGTGGGGAGAATGGACAGTCCAGGGCGGGAGATGTGCAAATCCGCAAGTCGAGTCGGCGCCAGCCTCGAGGCCAATGCTTTGGCCGTCTTAGCGGGCCCCTTTCCAGGAGTGGAGCTGCCTGTGGCCGCGGGCGTCGTCGCACCCTCTCCTGCAAGTACAGAGGGGGTGCCTGCTCCCGATACGTCCTGGGAGTAAGTGCCTGAACGTCTCCTATTCCGTGCAAAGGCGGCCCTCATTGAGTCGATCCTGGCAGGCGGACGATGACCTTCAGGCTCAGAAGCAGGCGTATTGACTCCATCTCCATCCCCCATAGACCGTCGCGCCGGCCTGCTTCTGCTTCGAGACGGGCCGCCATCCCTGCTATGACTCCTGACTGTCTCCTTGGGAGGAAAGGACCGCAGCGTTGCCGAGGTAACTCCATCTTCCCAGTCTCGTGCAGGCGCACTGGGTAGCGTGGCCCCCCTCTTTCCCACAAAGGGCAGCAAGGCGGGGCCTCCACTGCCGACGACGAGCTGGGACTCTTGACGATCTAGCTGGCTGAACTGCGGGTGAGGTCGCCCCCTCCTGCCTCGCGGAGATGCAGCAGAGTTTGAGCGACCAGCAAGGGCATCGGGACTGAAGATTACAGTCGAGGCGGGCGAGAGCATCTGCACCTGCTCAGGCGAGGAGGCTGGGAGCGATGAGGTAGGCGTCGAGGACGTCGCAGCGCCCTGGCTGGGTTCACCTCGATGATCTTCACCGGTCATGTCTGATTATGGCTGCTGTGCACAGGGTCATGGGGAGGAGGGGGAGGAGGAAGGTAGAGGAGGAGTGGTTGCCCAATGTACGATCCCGGAAGGTGACGCTAAGAAGCTTTAGTCCGCCCCGATCGGCGTCCGCATGCCGGGCAAGCCGACGCCACGCCGCCCTTTCCGCGTCGGGACCTGCAGGCGCCGATCAGGGCCAATCAATCAGGTCATCCTTCCCGCAAAGCCGTACCCACAGACCAACGGTGCAGCACTCACCAACCACAGCAATGGTTCAATACTTTGCACCGCCTAGGCCCGCATCTCACAGGCGGGCACCTTCTTCATCTGCTCTACGAGTTGCAGTCATCGGCGGTGGGCCAAGCGCGCTCGTCGCAGTAAAGACGCTCCTCGATGGCGCAGATCGCTGGGCCAGCGATGGCGTCGCAGGATCCTCAAAGGCAGCTTCTGATGGGGGACCCGCCTTTGATGTAGCAGTGGACTTGTACGAGCAGGAGGATAGAGTCGGCGGGACTTTCCGTGAGTGCTTTCTGATCCGCATATGCTCCCACTCCACCGCTTACAACGCCTTCAGTTCGTCTCAATTGCCAGGCTACCGCTCGTACCCAACATCAACGCTCGTCTCTTCTAAGCAGCTCACATCCTACTCTGACTTCCGTATGCCGCTGAGCCACACGGACCACCTGACTCTGGACGAGTACTGTGAATACTTAGAAGCCTATGTGCACCACTTCAAGCTGCCCACCCGCTCACGGAAATGGAGGATGAACACCAGAGTTGTGCAAATCAGGAGAGCCAAGGAGGGGGAAGAAGGCAATCACATCTTGACGTGGGAAGATCTCAAGACGGGAGAGAAGGGCAGCGAGTGGTACGATGCTCTAGCGCTCTGCACTGGACTGCACGTCGAAGCCAGTGTACCGGAGATCCCAGGTTTCCCGCCACTGATACAGGGAGACGTCTACAGTGACCGATTGGCCAGCAAGAGGGACACTGCCAAGAAGGTCGCCGAGCGAGTCGACGACGACTCTGCGCCATCTCAAGACAATCTTTCTGGACCCCAGTCTCGCATACTTTCTCTCCACTCGTCGCAATTCAAGGATCCACAGATCTTCAATGACCAGCGTGTCCTCATCATGGGCACAGGTGAGACAGGAATGGACATGGGATACCTGGCAGTCAAGAATGGCGCCAAGGAAATTGTCATGTGCACTAGAGGCGGCTTCTTGAGCTTCCCCGCCGTACTCAGCGATTTCGTCGTCATGGGCGTAAAGTTCGAGGGCAAGCTGCCGATCGATGGCTTGATCAGCAATTTGTTCGAGGTGAGTGTATCCAAGTGAGGCGAGACTTAGCTACAGATATCTGACATATATTTTACGTTCTCGCTGTCTTTCCAGACCGCATGGGTCCATCCTTGGGTAGCCTCTTCCCGTCTGCGCTGGTTCGTCTCAGACTTTGGTCTCAAGAGAGTCCTCTGGGTCCTCACCGGCACACAGGCAGGGTGCTCTCAGTGGGTGGGTGAGCTGCCTCCAGAGCGTCTAGGTCGAGCCTACGTCTTCCTCAACAAGTCCGCCAAGGCCATGCCTTACCTCAATCGAGGCTACAAGAAGCGCCACTGGCTTGCAGAGTCCTTTGCACGCTACTTGGACCCACCCGACTACTCGGAGGACGAGACACACATCGACCTTGCTCCATTCCCGCACCATTTGCGGGCAGACGGCGTCGTCGAATTCACTCGCAACGGTCGAAAGGAAGACCTCAGGATGAGAGGCAGAAACTTCAAGCCAGACGTTGCCATCTACGCTACTGGGTATCGGCAGTCGTTTCCCTTCCTAGCAGAGGACTACCCATTGCCCAACCAAGCAGACGTCCGTGACCTCTTCTCATCCACCGACCCATCCGTCGCCTTTCTAGGCTTCGTCAGACCAGGCGTCGGTGGTATCCCACCGATCGCCGAACTGCAATCGCAGCTCTGGACTCTCGTCTTGGCCAAGCGCATTGGTATTCCAGTCACCCCACCCCACTATCGACTTCTCCAAGCCCCCGGAGCAAGAATCACCTATGGCGTAGACCACTCTGCCTATTCTTCCCAGCTCGCACGAGACATGAAGTCAGATCCGGCGCTGCTTGCCCTCGCTCGCGAGCATGGTCTTTTCGTCCTGGCAATCTACTGTCTAGGAGCTGCCTTTACGCCCTTCTACCGTCTTCTTGGACCATGGAAGAGCGAGATTGCACCAGAGGTAGCGCGGTACGAGCTCTGGGACACGATTGAGAGGCGCGGTATCGGTGGGAATCTGATGATGGGGATCATCCCGATGATCTTCTACGGGTGGGTGAATGCAATGGCCTGGCTGCTTGAGGGAGTCTGGGTCATGGTCACTGGGAGACAGAGGGCGGGAGTGGCGAGCAAGGGTATGGGCAGGCTGGTCGAGGTGAGGGGCGCTAGAGCTGCTGAGAAATGAGACTGAGAAATGAGACTGCGCCTATAAGATGGCCGCTCGGTTCACTATGGTGACAATCTGATGAGTGAGAATGTACTGCAGCATCATACAAAGCAGACGGCGAGACTCGATTAAAGGACCAATGTACTCTATATGATTCCTGTACGCTGGCCCTGGACACCAATAGACGCTGCGGCTGCTGCTCATAGACCCCTGTGCTCCATCATCCTCGAGCACTAATGTGAGCAGGGCTGTCGAAGGCGAAGCAGAGGAGTGGACCGGTCAGTAATGCTTAGCTCCTATCCTTCCTCTAAAGCTCCTTGAGCAACTCACATCCCCTGAGTATTATAGTCCAAGTGCACATAAGCTCGTTCCACGCTGGGCAGCGTCTCTACGCAATAATTGACAATTTCCCCTAGGTCATGCGCCTGCTTCAGTGCCATTTCCACTGGCAGCACCACGTCTGCCTCGACGATGAAGTCTTCTCCTGCATAATACATTTCGCATGCAGAGATGGACTTGACCGATTTGAAGCGGGTGATGAGGTAGAGGACGCGGGCTAGCTCCGAGGGCGAGGCGCGGGCGCCGGAGAGCTTGGTGGTCATTTCGATTAGGGTGGAGAGCCATTCGGAGATGATGTAGAGCGAACTGAAGGGACGAAGGACAAGGACTGGTGAGCTACTGCGCGTCTATCGTCTCAGGCGTGTCAAGAGGTGCAACGCTCCGCTCACAGGATGATACCTCCGATGGGATCCAGTGCCGGCCAGCCTAGCTGCGCTCCGAGGAAGGGAAAGGTGAGGGAAAAAATGTTGAAGACGACGTCATTTTGCGAGTCTGAAGAGGGGCAGAGATAGGATGGACGCGAGTCAGCAAGGAACAAGAGCTGCTCATGCTGGACGATGCTTCTCACCTTGTGCCACCGCCCTCACCCCAGCGCTCTTGCTCTTGTTGTAGAGGAACCACATGATGGCCTTGACGACAATTGTCGCCAGCATGAACACGATACCAATCCAAGGTAATGCCTGACTCCCCCCTTCCGTTGGTCTTCCCATCAAGACCCCTCTTAACCTCTCACAACTCTCCACCAAGACTTGGACGAAACTGGCAATCATCAAGACGGAGAAGATGACGACTCCTAGGGGTTCAAAGTTCTTCTTGCCACGAGGGTACTTGAAGTAAGACTCGGAGGATTTGAAGGCGACGAGCTTTGAGGCGCAGAAGATGATCAGGGTCGAGAGGAGGTCCAGTGCAGAATCGACGAGGGAGGCGAGGAGGGAGACGGAGGAGGAGGAGAGGACGGCGACTGCCTTTCCTGCCAGCAGGAGGACATTGATGAACAAATTGACTGGGGGAGGAGGGAGAAGAGTATGGCACAGCCTGAGTCTTCCTACTGCGCCCTTGCCTATCATACTAGTCTTGATCTTGTGACTCACTGTTAATGGCAAATTGCACCGATTTCTCCTCGCCTTCCTCTTGCTCCTCCCACCCTGGCACAGCTCTACGCAGCTCCAGTCTGTCCCTCTCCCGCTTTCCACCCGGCGGCAAGGCTGTCAGCCGGTCCCGCTCTTCATTATCCTCCGAAGCAACGGCAGTGGTTGTGCTGCCGCTGGCTTCGGGGTGATGGCCTGCCTTCATGATGGCATCCTTCCTGACGTCCTGCTTGACTTTACGCTGCTGCCTCTGCTCACTGAGCGCTCGATCTAGCGAGCCTTCGGCAGACCCTGGTTCTGGATTTTCCACAGAAGTGATTTCTTTGCCAGCATCTGAGGTCCGTTCCCGAACAATTGCCGAGGAAGGAGTAGTCCTAGCAGTGCCTTTATTGGTACCGTATTCCCTCTTGCGACCACGATCAATCAGCCCGCTCCTCTCCCCTGCCTTCTTTTGACCAGGGCCGGCCCCCTCTGGCTCAGGTTCCGAGTCAGAGTCAAAGCCACTCTCTTCGTCGGTGTTGACGGGAGCTGTGGGGTTTGGACGCGTGAATCCCCACAGGCTGGCAAGGTTGAGAACAGAGCTCGAAGGTCTCCGTGTCCCACTCTCGAGGTCTTGGATGCTCTTCTTGAGCGGGCGGCGGCGTGGTCTCCTCCTTCGATCGGTGGGCGCATCGGCGCTGGAGGGCCCTCCCTCTGCTCCTTCTTCTTCTTCCGAGGAGTAGCCGTCGGTGTGAGATAGGTTCGAATATCCTCGGCCGCCCGAGCTGACGGCACTGGTGGAGAGGAGATGGAGGAATTGCGTGTGGGAGCGCCGGGGAGTACTGCTGGGCGTAGGGTAGGCAGGATTGCGCCTACTGCGCTTGTTCGGCTTGCCCTTGACTTGCTGTACTTCTTCGACGGTACCAAATCGCCTCATGACTTCGGCTGGAAACTGCGACTCGACGACTACGTCTGCCTGCCGCATGCCATCGAGGACGTAGTTGAGATTCTCATAGTAGGAGCGGAGAGCGTTGCGGATGGCCCGAGGCTTGCCCTGGCACTGCTCCTCAATCTGCTCTTCACTTTGACGTTGACCCTCACACCAGCCAGAGCGTGAGTCGATGAGGTCTGCTAGCAGGGTGAGGTCTGCGACAGACTCGGATGCGGCGTAGGGAAAGGCATGAGTGCCTGGATAGCCCGGAGAAGAGGAGCCGCGCTGATGACGATGATGATCCAGAGGCGGGGGAGAGGCTGAGGTGCGACCAAAGGAGGTCCCCCTACTGAGCCTCTGCGGAGAAGAGGGGAGACTCATCCTTGGACGAGGCTGCGGCAGCGAGGGTCTACGGCGGGGAGGATGGGATGAGGCGTAGAGGGGAGACGACTATCGTCGTCGTTGCTATCTCGCGCTGCAGGCAGGGCCGCCCCGAAGACAGGCGCACGCAGAGTCGAGTGGCTCAGGCACGCCGTCCCAGCCAAGCCCAACCAACGCCCGGCCCATTTGCGCCTCCACCCCCGCTTCCGCACCCCAACCCCACAGCCACCACAGACGATGTTCCAGATCTGCCACCATCAACATCTCCTCCTCCTTCATCGTCTTCTTCTACAGACCCAGTCATGACCACAGACTTCTCCTCCTCGTCTGACCACAAGCCCAACATCGACGACTCTCTGTACAGCCACTTCCTCGAGCACGGCTTCAAGCGCCAAAGAGTGCGAGTACCACAGCACAAGGACGACCCCACCCTCGACCTCTCCCTTCATGTCATATGGCGAGAACCATCGAATGAATCGCAGACCGACACACAGATTTCCAACCTCCTTCTCCTCCATGGTCACCCCCAATCCGCCCTCATATGGTCGCGAATGGCCCACCTGCTCCCGCGCAACGTGCGCATCATCATACCCGACCTGAGGGGGCACGGCTTGAGCGATGCCCCGCCCATTGAGAGGAAAGACGATGGCGACTATGCAAACGAGGCGATGAGTCAAAGGTACTCCAAGCGGGAGATGGGGAGAGATGTGGTAGAGGTGGTCAAGGCGCTAGGTGCTAAGGAAGATGGCAGGTGGGCAATCGTAGGGCACGACCGCGGTGGAGTAAGTCATTCAGGCGCGGCCAAGAGCGTCCAGTCACTGATAAAGAATCTCCCCCTTGCGACTCCTTAGCGAGTCGCCCATCGTCTTGGTCTAGACTTCCCCAAGTTGTTCACCCACATCATGCTCCTAGACATTGCCCCCACGGTGGACATGTACAAGAAGACGGGCCCCGACTTTGCAAAGGCCTACTGGCACTGGTTCTTCCTCATCCAGCCACACCCTTTTCCAGAAGAAATGAGTGAGTGCTTGACCCAACACAGAGACCACCACTGTGACCGAACCTCTGACATTGCGCCTCTCTTGCCTTCACTCCAAGTCCTGGCAAAGCCGACGGGCTACCTGCAAAAGATGACCTCCCGTTTCCCCTCCAGCTCGTCCTCCAGCTCCAGCTCCTCCACTGCGCTCCACCCACCAGAGATCCTCGCGTCCTACGCAGCCACCCTCTCAAGTCCCCTCCACGTCCAAGCCACCTGCGAGGACTATCGTTGCTCCTCCATGGGCGGGTCAGACTGGATTGCAGACGAGACGTCTGCTGCCCAGGGCCAGAAGGTAAAGGCGCGCGTGAGAGTGCTGTGGGGTACCAGGGGGGTCATTGAGAAGCTCTACGGACGTCAAAGCGTCATGCAGATGTGGGGTGAGAAATGTCTGAATCTCGACCAGGAAGGATCGAAGGCGCTAGAGGGAGGGCATTATCTGCCTGAGGAAGTGGTAAGTACAGCGTGCCAGAGAGACGAAAGGAAGCACGCTTCAGGGCAGAGCAACAACTGCTGACGGCGATTTATGCGCTCCTCTACAGCCCGACCAACTCAGGAAGGAGATCGAGGACTTCATGGGGCTGTGAACCCTTTCTGAGCTGCCGCTCTCTTTGGTGATCCGAAACAGAGAAAGGCATCCCTTTTGAGATTTGCTCTTGTCGATTGCCAATGCTGATGAATAGTGTACAGATGCTTGGTCTAGTAAAGAATTGCTGTCCGCTCTTGCTTGTCCTCTAATCTTCTCGGTCTCAGCTCGAAACGACTCCTCTCCCTCTCCTCTCAAGTGGCTTGATGACTCCACTGCTCAACAGCCTCTGCGTGACCAAATCGCCCGAGCCCCTCTCGCTGGCTAATTTCTCCCCTACGGCCTTCAAGACCTGACTGCTGCCGACTCCATCGATCTTCCAGCCCCCAGCAGCTTCAACGATGCCGTCTGCGCGCGTTGGTCCAATGTTGAGGATCCCCACAGGCTTGCCGAGCTCGATGGCGTGCTTGACCAGTCGAAAGGCCGAGTAGGTTGCGAGGGATGTGCCCACGAGGAGGAGCGACGAAGCGTTACTGATCAAATCGTAGGACCGATCGCGGAGCAGTGGCGGGACTGACTCTCCAAAGAAGATGACGGCGGGCTTGAGAACTCCACCGCAACTGGGACAAGGAGGATACTTGAAGGTCGAGTAATCGACATTGTTCCCCAGGTCTACATCTCCGTCTGGATTCGTCTTTGGCTCCGTCTTCTTTGCGCGCATCTCCTTGGCAAAGTCGTCCCACATGGGATTCGTCTGCTCGAGAAGATCCTGGAAGGCTGTCCTAGACCCACGGAACCCGCAGCCGTTGGGGTATGCTTCCCCCGTTGGGGTATTGTGAGGTACTGGGCTGGCGCGCTTGCGGGGGCCGACGAGGTGCGAGGCGGACAGTCGTGCATGGACGATTGGGTCGTTGGGTCGCTCTCGTAAGGAGCCCTCGGTGGGAGACGAGACGCAGACGATGTTCTGTAGACTGCCATGTAGCTCGAGGATGCTCTGTGCAGCGAGAGATGGTGAGGGCGTGGCGGCGTGATGCAGATTGTCTACGTTCTGTGTGATGAACTCGGGTATGTAGCCCATGCGCTGCAAGGCAGCAATGGAGTAGTGGGTGGGATTGGGGGAGGCAAACTGCACAGGCTTGAAGCCGAGGAAGGAGCGCGACCAGTAGCGCTGCCGAAAAGCATGGCCTTTGGGTGAAGGGTCTACGAATTCGGGGTAGAAGATGGGGCGGTAGGTCTTGTGTATTGCTGCGAGGCGAGAAGGTGGGGAGATGTCAGACCGGGAAGCCCGAAGGCAGAGATCGCATCTCCACCTACGGATCCCTCGTCTCACTCACTGTAATGGCCATGCTCGCCTCTATACGGAGCAATCCCACTATCCACGCTCACTCCAGCGCCCGTCATGAGCATCGTCTTTCCCTTGCCATTGCGTAAAAAGTCAGCCAGGAGATCCGTGGCCTGAACCAAGGTATAGTCGACTTGCGCCCGTGAAGAAGAGGAGGAAGGGATCGAGGGGATGGAGATGCGCATGTCGGAGGGCCTGAAGCGGCGATGGTATCCAACAACCTTGTCGTCGCCGGGTTATGGTTGAGGAGTGAGTGGGGGATGTACGCGTCTGCAGCGGAAAGGCTCCGAGACTTCTTCCCGTTGGCTGAGGTCATGGCGCGGACTTGGCATCGGGGCGCGCGCAGGGGCCACCTTGAATCGGGCACCCATCGTCTCGTCCTTATCGGGACCACGTCTACCTTTGCCGTCTACATGCGACTGCGAACAATCGCATCTCCAGACGAAGGCTCTGTTGTCTTCATCCCTTCTGGCATAGTCCTGGTGCCGTCGCTCAGCATCATTGAGGTACGAGCAGAGAGCTCGAATGGGCAAGATATGATGGGTTCACGGTACGAGGAGCTCAGCAGACGTTGCCTGTGATGGGAAGGTGCGTGAGGCCCTCTTTGCCTCGACGGGAGATGCTGAGTGCTCTTCTCTGGCTATCATACTGAAAGCAGTCGCGTCTCCTTCGACAACCTAGGTGGACTCGAAAGAGCAGATTATCTCTGCCTAGACGACCCTGCGACGCTCTACTCAAGCTGCGGGCCGGGCGGACTCATGGAGGAAGTGAGAGACGGGCGGATCAAGAGGGACGTGCAAGAAGAGTGTCGTTTGGAGTCTGAGCGGCAGTCAGGGGAAAGAGTGGTCACTTCCGACGAGCAGCAAAGTACGACGAGCTGGCGAAGGAGGGACAAGGATATATGATTCAAATATAGGACCGCACCAGATGAGTACGGCCAGAGCTTGGGCTGAATAAACACTGATACGAACACTTATCGTCGGAGCGAGAGAGGGCACGAGTAAAATGGTAGAGAGGATGTTTCGCGCAACTAGGCCACCCACGTCAGAGTGTGCAGGCCGCAGGGCAGCGTGACGTTGGCGACCATGTTCTCGAATCCAATCTGGAGGGTGACGTTCTCATACTTGCCAGTAAGCTCATGGTCGTTCTTCTGGAGGACAATCAAAGAGTAACGGTGCTTGTTTCCTGCGAGTGGAGTCTTGAAAGCAGAGACTCGTACGCGCTCGCCATCCTCGTTGTTGTTCTTCTGCTCAGAGGTCGTGACACCCGTGCGGATAGCATTCTTCTCCGAGCCAGACCTGGGACGAGTAGCACGGTCAAAGTGCATCAGGGTGACGTAGTCAGAAGTGAGCTTGTAGTAGGGCTTGCCGTCGTTGTTGTTCTGACGACGGGACACACTGGAGAAGGGACGAGCAACGGTGCCGTCTCGCTGGTGGGGGTTCTCGGGGATCGCGCGCTTGGTGGAAGGCGTACTGGTGTGAGAAAGCTGCTGGCCTCCATTGGCAGGTGCCGGTCCAGCACCGGAATTGTAGATGACAATGGGGGCGTTGCAGTTTGTGCAGACGTTGGGCAGGGTGGGGGTGGTGAATCCATCGTCGTCGGTGACCAGGGCGCAGTTCCAGAAGATCGACTTGCTCGAGCCGTACTGGATGGTACCAATGAGCATCCTGATGGCTTGCGTTCGTAGATTCTTCCAGAGCTCAGAGTTGTACTGAGTAATAACAGTGCACTCAGTCATGAAAACCGGCAAATCTGGGTAGGCGTTACTAACTAATAATTGACTTGAAGGCTGGCCTCCGTAGCAGTGCCAAGAGATACTGTTGTAGGACGTCGAGTTGTCGAGAAGGTCGATGGGCCACTGGTATCCGTCCCAGTTGTGGTCGAAGGCGGTAAGGCCGACGGAGTCCAGACCAGCCTTGTCCAATGCAGCTCGGGTCAGATCACCGATTTCGGCAGCTTGAGCAGGAGTAAGCTTGTTGCCGGGGTAGTTGGGAGGCAGGTACTGCGGTTCATTCTGGATCGAGAGGGCATAGGGAGTCTTGCCAAGTTTCTCCTTGATCGCGACCATTGACCTGATAGGGATCGAAGGGTAGAGAGAGACATCAGTCTGGACGATCTTTCCCAAGTAGCGAGAAAAGTCACTTACTTGGTCAGGTACTGGGCAAACACGCCATAATATTCGGGCTTGAGACTTCCGCCGATCATGCTGCACCTCTCCCCATCCTTGGGCTTCTTCATCCAGGCAGGTGGCGACCAAGGAGCGAAGAAGTGGTCGATGTTGGGATTGCGTGCAAGAGCGTCCTTGTGCGTGGCCCACATCTTGACTGCTTTATCAATGTCGAATAGCTTCAAGTCAGTATCAGGCGAGCAGTCGGTAGTGTCCGAGTAGGAGTAGAGAACTCCGGCGAAGTCGGACGCGCCCAACGGAGATCGGATGTTGCTGAGGGCGACACCACCCTTCTCGATGACGGCATCGTCTTGAGAGAAGAGGAGGTCCATGATCTCGTCGTAGATCTATGGCGCAGAAAGAGGGCTACGTGAGCGAGGAGCCAAGAGTCGCCAGCGCGTCTTGAGATCGGCGCGGTGCTGTACTCACCTCCGCGTCTCTGGCCTTCAAGTCTTGTAGCGCAATGGCGGCACTGTCGGTCACACCACAGCCTCCGCCGGTCATGGTCTGCAAGTTCCTGTTGCTTGCGATGTTGACTCCAACGACGGTAGGGGTTGTGCCGCCATCAGTACTGTTGACGGACTCTGTGACCGCATTGCCTGGAACAAAGGCGATCTTGGGTGAAGTCTTGACTAGAAGGCCAGGGTCAATGCCTCCGGGAGTCTTGTGCGAGTAGATCGTCGAGTAGATGGTGTCAATCACCACAGAATTGCTGCTCTGTGCCAGAGTGTAGTGGGTAGAGGCCAGGGCTACGGCTAGGGCGAGGAGGCCGCGCAGGCCTTTGAAACTGGAGGCCATGGTATCTGGAGTCTAAAAGAATGTGGTGCTAGTCAAGGCGTACGGGACTGGAGAGTGGCTCTAAATACGGGGGGGAGGGGGAGGGGGGATGCTGAAGTCGGGGGAAGATGGGAAGTATCTGCTGTGCACCACAGCTATAAGTCTGGGCCGGAGTCGGTATCGCAGGGCCAGGGGCTCCGCCCGCGTGCCTGGCGTAGGAGAAGAGAAGAATACTGGTGCCTCCTTTACGCCCGGGAGACGATGTACGTCCGCCCCTCTGTGATGGTCCTGCCCTCACTCTCCGGCCTTGGCAGAGCCGGAGGCGTTCATATATTGACTCAGGGGCCAGATTGCCTCGTACCTGATTTGCGATGCAGACGGAGGGCGATGGACGGCATGGTGAAAGCGAGCGCGACAAGTGTAGCTTGCAGCTCCTGTCCACCACTGCTGGCTCAGCTCGACGTCGAAGAGAGGAGAGGTCTGACGCCCATCTTCTGGGCCACCCTTACCAACTATACATCAACAGGGAAAGGGGTGCGAGGGAGGGTGCTCAGAGCATTGGTCTCCTTTCCCCTGTTCGCAGCTCTTTCCAATCACGGGGTCCGTTCGCCCCTGAGAGAGGAGCAGGCGTCCTTGGCCGATTCGTATCAGGCTGAGCACTCCCTTCAGCGTCCCTTCGAGCTTCTGGAAGCTGAGTTCTCCATTTCTATCGCAGACGAATCAGTAGTCCATCACGGACGAGGCCTTCCCAGCTCAGCGGCTCAGCGAAGGCGGGGTCAGTATCTCTTCCTGCCCGCGTTTCGGGTGAGAGGGTGGCGTGGCGGCGTTCCGCCTCCGCTTCCGTTCCGTTCCGGCGCGTCCGCGTTTTCGCCATACGGCCGTAGAAGGATGATCTGTGCGGAAGGCGAATGTTCAGGTGACGCTGAGCTGCACCGGTAGACTTAAATCAACGCAAATCCTCTTCCTCCCTCGACATCTTCCCATCCCATCCTTCCAATTTCTCACCCACCACTCTGTATCACCAGCTACACCGTCAGCCATTGCCATGTCTTCATTCCTCGTCGCAGGTGCCACAGGCAAGCAGGGAGGAGCCGTCGTCGACGCCCTCCTCAACACCAGCCCCACCCCTACCGTAAAGGCGCTCACCCGCAACACTGAGTCGCCCGCTGCCAGCGCTCTCAAGGCTCGAGGCGTGACCCTCGTCAAGGGAAACCTGAACGACAAGGAATCTCTTATCAAGGCCCTGTCTGGCGTAGACGGCGCCTTCCTTGCGACTGACTTCTCCAAGGATGGAGTGGAGGGCGAGGTTGTCCAGGGCAAGACCTTCGTGGACGCCTTCAAGGCAAGCTCTGCCAAGCACCTCCTCTTCAGTTCCGTTGGCTCTTCCGACGTCGCCAAATCTGTTCCTCATTTCAACTCCAAGAATCAGATTGAGGAGTACCTCACCGCCAACATCGATGGAAACAAGCAGGTCTGGACTATCCTCCGCCCAGTCGCCTTCATGGACAACTTCCCCGTCGCCTCCGCCGTCGGCACCACCGCTGCTGCCACCTTCTTCAGGGCACTCATGGACACCGAGACCAAGCTGCAGTGGATCGCCTGCCGAGACATCGGGACTGTCAGCGCCAAGATCCTCACCTCTGGTCCTCAGAGCAAGTGGATCGGCAAGCGCATCGAGCTGGCAGGTGACTACAAGAAGTACTCGGAAGTCATCGACACTCTCGGTCAAGTCGGAGGCGGCAAGCCTTGGGTGATCCCACTGCCCAGGTTCCTGGTACAGAAGATCGGCGGCTTCGACCTCTCCGAGATGTTCAGGTTCTTCAACGCAAAGGGCTACTCGGCCGACATTCCCTCGTTGCGCCAGGACTTCCCCGACCTCTACACCTGGAAGGAGTACATTCAGAACACACAGAGCAAGGCAAAGGCCTAAAGGCGTGATTGCCGTGCCTTGTGTTTGAGTTTCGGCCTCGATATCTGACTCGCTGCTCTAATCGTTCTATTGGACCTGCTGTGTATTATAGCCTCTCTTGAGTACTTTTCCGCCAGAATGTCATTGAATACCTTCACGCTGCGTGACACGCTGATCTAAGGGCTGACGCTTACCCTGAGGTGCTGCATGAACAGATTCGGACACTGCTTCAGGGGTCGCTCAAGAGGCATTAATTGGACTTGAAAGATGAAAATGGTGTGAGGTAGACAGAGAGGCAAGGTGCCTTAAGTTCAAGTCAAGATGTAAGGGTGAAGATAAACATGTGCGACTCTGTAGAAGGATCAGCGCAAAAGAATAGAGAGGTCTTGCTCTTCTTCGCTCAAAGAGCGTCAGCCTCCCATACGACGGTGTGCAGACCAACACCCAGGTCAAGGCTGGCAGTCTGGTTCCTGAAACCAACGACGACCTGAGCACGCTCAAAGTTGCCCGTGAGGTAATGGTCAGCCTTCTGCAGAATCAAGAGGGTGTACCTCTCCTTGCCGCTGGGCAAGACGCTCTTAAAGGCCAGAGAGAAGACACGAGCGCCGTCGTCCGTCTTGAACTTGAGATTCTCGTCGGTCGTGGTGACGCCAATGACGTTGCCGTAGCCATTGTCGTGAGGGTTGCGGATGGCTCGCGAGACGTGAGCAAGCAGAGCATAATCCGAGGTAAGCTTGAAGGTAGTGCTGCCCTGGGCGCCCGTGGACGAGGTGCTGTTGACCTGCTGCGACACGACCTTGGTACCGGCTGGGCGAGTGACCAGGACTGGAGCCAGGCAGTTCTTGCAAGTCTGTTGAGGCGCGGAATAAGAATGTAAGGGCATCAGTGACAGGCTCTCGGTAGCGGCGAGCACAGCATGATGTCAACTTACTCCTGGAAGGGAAGGCGTGGTGAAGCCGCTGTCGTCCGACTGCAGGACACAGTTCCAGGTCATGATGTTCGAGGCGCCGTTGCCCACACCTCCGAAGAGCATAGCCAGTGCATTCTTCCTCAGGTTGAGCCAGAACTCTTCACCGCCCTGGGTTGTCCTGGTGCACTCAGTCTGGTAGATCTTCTTCTCCGGGTACTTTGCGGCAAAGTCTCTCTGTACCTCCGGGTCCCCACTGTAGCAGTGGAAGGAGACGCCAGAGAAGGCGTCGCTGTCTGCCTCATCGAAGGCCTGAAGCGCATAGTCGAGACTGTCCCAAGAAGCTTCGAGAGCGGTGATGCCGATAGACTTTTGCCCCTGAGCGTCGAGCTTCTTACGAAGAGAATTGGCGACTCGAGCAGCTTGAGAAGCGTCGATCAGCTGACCAGGATAATCTTTCGGTTCATTTCGCGGACTCTCCTGTAAAGCTACGTGAGAGGGGGTCTTGCCAACGACCTTGGCAATGTCATGCATTGATCGAGCGAGGTAGGTAGCGTAGACTTCTTCGTACTGCTCCTGAAGCTGACCACCTCGATAGCCGCAAGGCTTCTTCATCCAGGGAGGGGAGGTCCAAGGGTTGTACCAGCTGTTGATATCGGAATTGATGGCCAGAATGTCGCGGTGCGTCGCCCACATTTTCGGCGCTTGGTTTACATTGAAGAGCGTCAAATTTGTATCGGGAGAGCAATCAGCCGTGCTAGAAAATGAATATTCGCTAGTACCAAAGTCACTGGCACCTAGAGGTGATCGTACTTGAGTCAGGGACGCGCCGATCGCGTCGCCGTTGGCCATTTTGGGATCCTGTCGACAGGGTCAAGCGAGGGTGAGCGGCAAGCACGACAGACGCCGCCAAGCATTCATTTACTCACTCTGCTCCAGAGAAGCTGCATGATCTGATCATAGACCTCTGGGGCTTCGTCTTTTACGCCCTGGAGCACGATACTGCTGGCATCAGACACGCCGCAGCCCACACCGATCATCTTCTGCAGCACTCGGTTCTCCTGGACCTTGACTCCTACCAGGAGGGTAGAATTGGCAGTAGCGTTGACGGATGTGGCTGGATAGGTGACATTGTTGCTGAATGGAATGTTCACGTTCTTGATCGTGAGGATGGAAGGGTCGTAGCCGACCGTGGGCGAGGCAGAGTAGTCGTACGAGGTCGAGATGATCTGGGTGATCGACGCGCTGCCCTTGGGCGCATTGTCGCTGGCAGCTGCAGCTGCCTTGTGCTTGACGGGCCCTTTGGCACCGTGGACTTTGCCCTGCGTTGAGACAGCGCCCACCAGTACAAGGGAAAGCAGAGCCAAGAAAGGCTGCATGGTTGGCGGAGGGTGGAGGTGGGAAGCAGGAAAGGTAGGGACAGTGGGGAAGGCAGGGTGGGAGGTGGGAACAGGGAGTGATGGATAAGTAGTCAAGGATGGCAGACGGTGGTACCAAGGGGCTATGTAGACTTCCCTCTGAGCGGTCAGGGGCTACCGCTCTCGCAGCATCGCCTTGCCCCTGTACTCCCTTGACGCGCCCGGAGCCCCGTGCCTGGCAGTCATCAATTCCCGTCACTCTCGCCCCTTGGCGGCTGCGGCCCTGAAGCAGACAAATTAAGGGCAAGGTACACCCGTCCCACGGGACTGCATGGTTGAAACTCGCAGATATCCCGGATCAGCCTTGGCAGCTTCCCGGTAGCCCTCGGCCCGGAGATGCCGTAGCGCCAATGGGATGGCTGAGCCGACTCCACCTCGCGCCTTGAGCTCGCTCTGTTGAGATGAACCAGCCTTGGATCTACCCTCCTTGCTTCCCTCCTCTTCAGTACGATTGCACTTCAGCTACTCAATCCTCTCTTACTCTTCTCCATGTCCGAGAACGTCTCCTCCGAGACTGCTGTCCATCATTCTTCGCCCGTCGCGGCTACGTCAACGCCCGCCTGTGAGGCGTCTCCTGCAGATCCAGACTCACCTGATCGCGCTTGCCTCTCCACTTTGAGTTCAGGGGAGGCCTCGATGAATCTGCTGCGTCTTGAAGACGTCTTCTTTGGTGGGACCGAGGAGGAGCGCCAGGAGTGAGTAGGCGGAGAATAGGAGTCATCGGGCGCCCCTGACGCGCCTACTTAGTCCGTGCGCTGATCAATTCCCCTTTATCGTACGCGTCCTTCCTCTTGGCGCCAGAGCCGAGTCTGCCCTCAACAAGATCAACCTGCTGCGAGTACGAGCTCAGGAGCGCAGACAGGAGGCTCACCGTCGCCAGTCTCTCACCGAGAGCTTCCAGAAGCTACAGGTAGAGGAGAGCCTGCTAGACAAGGCGCTGAGCGAAGTAGAGGAGCTGAGGCGCACCAACGAGGACCAGAGGAGCAAACTCTTCATAGAGGCGGAGCAGCTCTTGAAGAGGAGCCAAGCGCTCATTGAGAAGAAAGCGCTGGTATCACAAGCTCGAGCCAGACTCATCGATGAAGCCGGGCGAAAGGATTGCCACATTTCTTCGGCCAGTGAGGAAGAGGTCAAAGCGATGTCCCCTCCCGATAGCCCTCCGAAGAAGGGGCATCCATCCCATCCAGGCCTGGTCACAGTGCCCAAGCGTACTGCCTCCCTCAAAGAAGCTGTAGGACCTACCAGCACTCAAGCTACATCTCAACCACCTTTGCAAGAGGCTCGCCGCCCACAGACCGCCTCCGCCGTCTCCTTGTCTCGCGCTGGAAGCCGCACTCGCCCAGCCACCTCCTCGAGCACCACCCGCACCGTCAGCGGCCTCTGGCGTCGCTCCTCTGTGGCCCACCCTAGCGACTCTGTGCAGGGAGATGCGAGTCACGATACTAGCTTTGGATCCTCCATCGCTTCTCGAGGCTCTTCGCTGCGCAGCTTGTTCGCGCCTTTCTCTCGCAGCAAGGAGCTGGACCTCAGCGCGAGCGTCGCCACGCCCAGAAAGGACATCCACTCCTTCTACGTCCAGCAGGGGCTTGCTGCTAAGGAGCAAAGGAAAACAAAGCAGACTCAGGCGGTGGGGCAGGAGCCAGAGTCAGAAGAAGGGTATGAAGAGATTGCAAATGACATAACGAGGGGCCCGCAAGACGAAAGCCATGCACAGGGGAGGATCGCAATGGCTTACGTCTGAGATGACCGGTGCTAGTTGTCATAGTGATGCGAAGCGCTCAATGCTAGAAGTCCTCATTCACGCTGCTGCTCTGTGTGAGGCTTGATCGAGCACACTATCCCATAGAGTCTCTCGAGCTGCCCTGCACTACTCGATGACGACGGTCGCCGCACCTCTCAGCACCCTCTCTTCCCCCGACACCTGGTCCGAGATGAGCAGGTCACCGATCGAATGTCGACCTCTCATAAGCGCCATCATTGGTAGGAGAGCAAGCTCGGAAGCTCCCGGAAGGATTGGTCTGCCAGACAGGGACAGAGGTCGAATCAAGTCAGATGCCTCTGACTACAAGGATGAGGGCTAATAAGTGCCTGTGAGACTTACCCGACAGATACGTAATTCTCGAGCGGTACAACCGCTGAGCTCTTGACGCGAGCGAGGAAGGCGTCATACCTTCGACGAGCAGCTGTCAAGGATCGCGAGGATAGCGCATGAGCAGTCATCTGTCAGCAGCACGCCTGAGAGCCCTTCTGCTGCTAGCGAGAGCACTACGACTCACTCTCTGCGTCCATCAGCTTGTCTTTCACGACCTCTTCCGACGCCAATGTGGGAGATTCTGCCCAGTGCAGAATGTAGGTCTTCATCACATCCGTCCGATTGGTCAATAGCACTTCGACGTGAAAGGATCCCATATGTGAGATTGAGAAAGGCAGCTTGCCCGTCTTTGCGGGGCCGGATCCCTCTCCCTCATCGTCTTCGATTTCGTGCATATGTCCGTTGCCCTCTCGTGGGTCCTCGAATGCTGGGCGTATGCGAGTGTTGAGGAGCAGGCCATCTCTTTTCTGCCAAGAAAGATCCCTATCTAGCCTGAAGGGCACTATGAAGCTTCCACCCTGCACCCCTGCTTGCCCGTGGTTGTTTACGCCTCTCGAAGCAGCTCGATGGGCTGCATTCGTGGGCGTGGCAAATGCAGCACTTCTCACTCTAGCTCGAGGCCCATCAGGAGTGACCAGTCGCCGCAACGTGACCCAGTCGGCCACACCACTTCCCACGTCTGTAGAGGCCTTGATTGCGCCCATATCGCTGCCAGCATGGTCAGTTCGTCGAGCCACATCACGACTGACTGCAAAGTCTCCCGATGATGTGCGGAAAGCACTGGAAGCAATGGGTGATGCGATCGGCTGCTCGTCAATGCGTAAAGTTGCTGCTCGCATCCGTGCCTGGGCAAGCAGTCCAGTACCACTTGGCCGCACACGGGAGGAAGAGGAGGATGCAGGTGAAGCAAGCGACGTAACGGCCTGGTCTTGTCCACTATTGCCATATGGCGGGAGAGAGATCAGCGATGGCTGAGGCGAGCTCTTTGGCGTGCCGAGCCCAATCGGAGATAGCCTGCCGAAAGCAGCAGACGTTGGAGTAGGCAAGAATCGAGAGGAAGCGCTCCTTTCGGCACCTGGCCGAGCCTGGGCTGCATGTGCAGCATTGGCACGGGCATTGGCATCGTCTTGTCGCAAAGCCGAGGCTAGGGCCGAAGCCGAATGCCTTGCACTGCCCCCGATGGCCGTCGCAGTGACCCCCGAGGCTCCACTCCCTGATGCTGGTGCTACGGCTGCACTAGTCAAGACCTCTTCGCTTGGCATCTCTGCCGCCATCCGCCGACGGAGATCCTCTTGCAGAGAAGCCATGTCTAGGGTGCAATTCCAGGTAGAAGAAAAGTCGGGCGTGACCGAAAGCGGCTCTTTGCCATGTCCATCAAGCAGGAGCGGCCGACCGTGAAGGACAATGGCCACGTTCCGACTGGGCTCCTCCAGGGTTGCGGGAGGCTTAGAGGCAGACCATGGCCATGGAGAGGCTACGGAAGCCGCCGCATCAGTACGTCCAGATAGTGGCTCGGCAGTCTCGCGACCCTCGGCTGTCAGGCTGAACTGCACGACGTACAAAAGGTTGCGCTGCTCTCCTTGTGCAAGCTGGAAGGGACCCTGGCCAGCTGCTGTACCAAATCCTTTACGATCTGCGCCTGATAGAAGGGTAGCCGAAGCATGGTACCTGTTCTTCTCCAAGCGAGTCAGCGAGCCGGAATTTCCAATACCTGGCACGGTGATGTCCAGATCGCAAGAGTCGACGTGAAAGAGTAGTCCCGAGTCGGAAGTGTTGTCGATCTCGACGCAGAGGACGAGCGCTCTCCCTACAGAAGAGCTTACGTCCTCTTCTGTTGCTTCCTCATCGTCGGCTCCTTCACGATTCAGATCATGAGCTCCTCGTAAGAATGCTCTAGTGTCCAAGGAAGGCACAATGGTCGTCCGCATCCTGACACCGACTGCAGATCTCACGTCGAGTGCGCATCGTACCGAGCGCGTGAGCGTCTTGATAGTGTCACCCTCCTTGGCATCAGAAGCGCTCCCTTGCCCAGTCCTTATGCGGGGCAGCGTGTTGTACATCAAGCCTTCTTCTGATAGGTCCCGGGAACGAGCAATAGATGAGGCATGGGTCGTCGAGGATCCCTTACTGTTTCCGCTGCTTGCCCAAGAAGCGGCCGACGATGATCTGCTACTGCTACTGCTGCTACCATCTGTCACGTCACCTTCTCCTTCGTCTTCGTCTTCGTCCGTCATGCTGGGCAGGGGATGCGCACTAGTCAGCTTGAGGCCTACATCCCTAGCGGATCGTTCCGGCGTCACAAGTCTGGTGCCTAAAACTTTGCTTGGCAATCTACTCAATGGCAGCTTTGCAAGGGCCGAAGCTGCTCTGGCAGCTCTCTGCGACGGCGATTCGTCTGGATACACAGGCCCCGAGGAGAGTGTGGTGAGGAGATCGTGGTCCGCCCATGAGGAGTCCTCTGCTGGACGAAGGTAAGAGGAGATGCCCGATAGCGAAGACGACAGTGCGGTGAGGTAAGAGGAGCTCGGGGAAAGTCGTAGAGAGACGGAAGACGTTAGAACCAAGGCCGGGTGCGGGTGTCGATGCCGTGCGTAGACTGTGAGACGCGTGGAAAGGGGGTGCGATGGTCAGCGATGGCAGCACCTCGAGCGTAGGCAGCGGTTCAGCTCCTCACCTACGGGTACCTTGACGGACCATTCTATACGCCAGCGTTCTTCTCGCTGGTCCCAGCTTGCAAAGCTAGTAGCAACCGGATCCTCCTCGTCCTGTTCCCTTGAGCTTTGGCCGGCAGTGACTTGTTGCTTCCTTTCCCTCTTCCTCCTCTCTGCGACTCGGTCCACTGCCGTCCGCTCCTTGTTCACTGGCTCTGGAGGCGCCTTGTTTCCAAGCCAAGCTACATTATAGAAGGGTACCTCGTCGCCTGGGAGGCTAGGCTCGCTGTACGCTGCATCTCGCCTTTCAGTGGACGGTGTGGGTCTCTGATTCGCTGGAATGGCAGACGAGTGAGAGGAGGTCGCTGCCGACGTCGGCGGGATGGGACTGGAGCCAGGGGGCAGAGCTGATCGAGGGGTCGCGTATGCTCCTCTGAGGTCGATGTGTAGATTGTTGAGCAAGACGAGTAGGGCCAGACGGGTAGCTCTTGCTTGCTCTGTCCTCTCTTCCCAATCGTCGGTTTCGAGTTCATCGATCTGTACAGGCAGGGGATATGATGCCCAACCCTTCCCTGGAGGTGGTAGAGCTGCTGTTGGTGGCAATTCAAGGTGTAGTGTGAGGGTGAGGATCTCATCGTAGAAGGCAATGGATCGTGAGCTGCCACGGCTTGAAGATGCGACGGGCGAAGGCTGTGAAGTGGAGCACTCGGGTACGTTGATGGCGAGGTGAGAGTGCGAGAAGAGCGAGGCCAGGAGGGACGCAGCCTCGGCGTTGCTGGGCATGACCGCAGAAGAGGTGAAGAGCGTCGCAGGGGACGACGACGGCTGCTCCCTCTGCTGCTGCTGCTGGTGGTGGTGGTGATGGTGGTGGTGTTGGTAGCCTAGAGCAGCTCCCTCTCCGCTGCCTCTGCCTCGGCGCCTCTGACTTCCCCGCACAGTCCGTGCCACAACCAACACCGCGCAAAATGCACTTGGCTCAGGAACATCTCACTGCGCCTCACTGCAGAGGCGCATACACTCACCCCCTCTCACCCATCACCAACACCATCACCGCCCATCACCGCCACGCCTTCGTACACTGGTCTGCCCATCATGGCGTCTACATCTGCTTCCACCTCTGCCACCTCCTCCCCGCACTCCTTTTCCATAGTGGGCAGGAATCTCAAGCTCAACACAGCGGAAGACATTCGCCCCGTCTTGGATGAGCTGGAGAAAGTGCAGCCCCTCGAGGAAGTTCACTTCGGTGGGAATACCCTCGGAGTAGAAGCTTGCCAGGCGCTAGCAGACGTGCTTCAGACCAAGAAGGAACTCAAGGTTAGCAGAGCAGCCCTGGCGGCCCATGTCATTGATGACTTGCACCGACTGACACGCCGTCAGCCTGCTGTTCTCCCACCCTCATCTCTTCTCAGGTAGCAGACTTTGCAGACATCTTCACAGGCCGACTCATCTCTGAGATTCCCCTCGCTCTCAAAGCTCTCTGTGACTCGCTCATATCGCACACCTCCTTAGTAGAGCTCAACCTCTCTGACAATGCTTTTGGCGGTAGGTCAGCCGAGCCCATGGTCGACTTTCTCTCAACCAACCGGCACTTCCAGGTGCTCAGGCTAAACAACAACGGACTTGGTATCCAGGGAGGGTCCATCGTCGCAAGCGCTCTCATCAAGCTTGCAGATAGGCTCAAGGAGGCTGGAGAAGAGTCACAGCTAAGGACGGTCATCTGCGGCAGGAACCGCCTCGAGAACGGATCCGCCCCCGTTTGGGCAGAAGCCTTCAAGAAGCATGGCGGACTCAGGGAGGTGAGGATGTTCCAAAATGGGATCAGAATGGAAGGTATCGAAGTTTTGAGTCAAGGACTCAGCCATTGCAAATCTCTTGAGGTTCTGGATTTCCAAGACAACACAGCTACCGTGCGAGGATCGAGGGCAATCGCAAAGGCGCTGTCCTCGTGGCCCTCTCTGACTACGCTCAACCTCTCGGACACACTGCTCAAGCCGCGTGGAGGAGCAATGATCTTCGAACAACTAGCTAAGGGATCCAACAATAAGCTCGAGAATCTACAGTTGCAGTACAACGACCTTGACAGGAAGGCTCTCTCTACTCTCGCCTCTGCTATCAGCCGACACCTTTCCAGCCTGGCCAAGCTCGAGATCAACGGAAACTGGGCAGACGAAGAAGACGACTGCATTGAAGCCATCAAGAAAGCTCTTGAGGCCCATGGTCACGAAGAGGCTTTGGATGAGCTCGACGAGATGGACCCAGAGGGAGAAGAGGACAGCGATGCGGACGAGGAGGAGCAGGACGAGGAGGACGAAGCCGAGGTGTCACAAGCTACTGCTGCCGTTGTTGTCGGCGGCCCGAGCGGCGCTTCAGCTACCTCTGCTGCATCCGAAGTACCCAGCAAGGAACCCATGGCGGTACCAGCTTCTTCAGGCACATCCGCAGCTACCAAGGACAAGACTGAATCCGTAACCGACTCCCTCGTGAGCTCGGCTCATGGAGAGGACAAGAAGATTGCTGAGGTTGCCGCCGATGTCTCGAGGAGCGCTCAGGCTGTACCGGAAAAGAAGGAGCAGATTGATGCAACGGCCGATGTGGGCGCCTCGGCGCAGGCCGTGTATGAGCAAGACGAGAAGGACAAGCATGGAGGGAGTGCCCTGGATGATTTGACGAAGCAGCTAGCTGGTGCAGGCATCAGCTCTGGTCAGTGAACATTGATGTCATGGTGTGGTGGATGATAGAGCTGCAATACATACCGAGTTTCCAAGGCAGTCAGAGCCACACCCGTGCACATCGTACGCGATTTGAGAGATTTGACACTGCAGCGGTGTTATGACTGGAACACTATACCATTCATCGAGGAGTCCAAGGGCTTCAGCATCACTGATCCGATCGAAAAGGATCCGCACAGCGCTACGGCCAAGCGCCGGAGGCAATTCTGCTCAATCTGAGACACTACCACGGATTCGTCATCGGCGAGTCCCTTCATAAGAGGTCAGAATTTGATCCCGGAGCCCGCCCCCCTATTTATTCATCCGTTCTGACATCCACAAGCACTTTTTCCATTGTAGCGATAGTACTCACGCCGGCCAGAGGTGTGCTCACATTGTCGCTCGACCGCCTTCCGTACTCACTTACACCTGCTTGTTGGTCTTGCAGCATGTCGACCTCTGCTCTCACCATTATTGCCGCCTTCACAGGCAGGGTAGCTTCCAACCTCAGACACTCCATCCGAGATCGACACTCTCCCGCAGCTGACGAGAATGAAGCGATGCCTTCGACTGCCGGTGCTGCAACGTCGCGTTCGGGACTATCTCCGCATGTCGAGGCACCGCACTCACGACAGAGTCCTCCCCCCCAGACCAACGCTGAGCCGGCGGATACAAACTCTGCTCAAAGCATGGATGAAGCGCTGGCTACTGAAGCTGAAACCTATGGACTGGAACGCCATTGGCCACGTACGCCCCACGAGTCTCCAATCAGTGTATCCGATCCCCGAACCTATGGTGAGGCCATAATCTATCCTGGGCGTCATGAATCTTCCCGAGCCGATCAATGGCAAAGATTCACCGGACAACTCGAGCGCTTGCCAAGATACGATACGCTTGCCCCGTCTGCCCCTCCTCCGGACTATGAGCTTGCCATTGATGCGGTCTGGGTCCAGTACGAGCAGGACCAGGCCATATGCGCCCAAGAGGAGCTTGATCGCAGGCGTCAGGCGTTAGTGATGGCGGACAGGCGATTCGGCGAATACATGTTTGGCTTCTTCATACACGATGAGACCTACGTGGCCCCGACTGTGTGGCCATGGTGACGAGCGGGGGAATATTGATCCGGCAAAGGTCCTTCCGCACCTGATCGTGATTTGCCCTCAGACTCTGTCCTAATAGACGTTGTCTCGCGAGCTGAACAGCTCAGATACGAGAAATTGTATATCTTCTTGCCCAGTAGGTATGATGTTTGGTCTCTGTACTGATTTTCCAGGCTTGAGCATCGCTTGGCTAGAAGGATCTACCCGCTAGCCTGTCAAAGGGGGCCTGGAGGAGTGAGCCCTACTGCGCCCAACACGGGTCGGAACGGAAGCTCAGGCTCGATTGCCTGGTCCGTCCTCGCGGAGATTCTCTGGAAGGGCAGACCTTCCTTCCGGCGTAGGCTACCACCAGACCATCTTTATCGTCTCTCTCACACCAGACTCTGGCCCAACATGCCTGCCGCACTCACGTTCAAACACTTCTCCTCGATCACATTCAATCTCTCTCATCTCTCGCCGACCTTGTCCAGCCGGGCCTCGCGGCTGCTCCTATCGGCCATCCCTGCCAAACCCTCCCCAAAGTATCCTCAACTTCCGCAGGTGACCGTCAAGACCACAGACGGCGTGGGCAGCATGGAGATGGTGTATAGCGATAAGAAGACGCTGAAGATTGATCTCGATGGGGACCTCAAGTACGAGGACCTACGGAGAAAGGTGAGTGCCCCCGTCAGCAGTAGGAGGTAGGGCTATCATTGGCGCCTTTGCCAGTGGAATTCTTCAGCTGAACAAATGCCCTTTCACCTGCGCTTCTCACCCCTCCTACGCTTAGGTGGAAGCTCCAGCACGAGCATTACGTATGAAGGAGGAGGGAATGTAAGGCTGTCCCGATCATTGTACGACTCAACCATCGCAATATATCTTAGCATCTCAGCCACCCAATCTCTCATTGTGTCCCTTGACGGCATGCCAAGTACCGCTGCTTGCTGGGCTGTGCTCTCGGTATCTGCGGCGAGCTCTCTAGCAGCTACATACCAGTCTCTGGCGTGAGGCCATTCTGCCCCGGGGTTAGCAAGCTTCAGCGCTCCCGTTGCTTGTCCACATGGGCACAAGAATCTGGATCAGCGGCGAGTGAAATGGACCATAGCCTCTGGCTGGACAGACTGGATCCACGATGGAGCGATGACTCTGCTCGGCCGAGACGAGCAATGTAGATGGGTTTTGCTATCAGTACGCATCGTGCCTGACTCGTCAGCAGCCGCGGTGGCACCGTTTGTGAACCATCCCCGCACTGTCCGTTGCTATTGCGGCGTAGACCACGGCTTGGCCCTCATCAGCACCAGAGTCGGTAGCAGAGGACTCTGACCATCATCTCTCGCCTCTCAGGGCGTCACGCAAATCCAGCTCCCACGCCTAGATGCCCTGGCGTATGATCCAATCATCCTCCGAAGTCCCCCCTTCATCACCTCGTCATCGCCACGAAGTAAAGCAATCACCGCCTTACACCCTTGCGGCCCCGCACCTGGTCAGTGTAACAGGCGATGGACAGACAGCAATCAACCACGGCCGCATCAGCCCAGAGCCCACGGCACATCGGAAGCCAATGTATGCCGCTGTCCTCCACAATTGGGTACGATTCTGCTCTCGTCCGAGGGAACGAGCCAAAATACTGCGCCGCCCTCGTCCTCCTCCCCTGCTCCATACACCCTGTCTCTCTGCTGCCATCTTGCAGAGCCGCTTGAATCTGGAGAGAGGAAGACCTAGCCTGATCCTCTTCCGTCTACAAGTCTTGAGCTTGATCTTCAAACGTAGTCCTCTTTCCCCTGCGCCCTACTTCTAGAAACCAAGAAGTCGAAGGAGCCCTCGATTCCACCAGATCGCCATCTTCGGACGTCAAGGCTTTCTATCATTAGAATACGATGGCGTCACCCTCCGGACACGGTGGCGGGAGAACGGTGGCGGCCACCCTGGCTATGCAAGCAGTCTTTCAGCAGCAAGAGGCAGATCGAGAGGCGAGACACCTCGTGAACACACCGCAGGGCCCATCCACATCGCTTTCGACACAGTACAGCATAGCTTCCTGCATTAATGCATCCCCTGCCTCGTACTATCAGACCCAGACACTCGGCTCTCAGCAGCAGTATACTCCAGGGACCCAACAGGTCTCGAGATCCCCCAGTATGTGTCATCTTCCGATCAGGAACGGCTCATCTCATCTCCATGCGGCTACCGCTGCGTCCTTGCTGCCCTGCTCGACTAGCAGTGGCGATTGGGGTGCGTCATCGGGAGCTCGGGTTCATCAACAGCCACGTCACTTGCACCTCGGGGCCATCGCGATCGAGACTCAGGAGATTGGGGACGATACGCATATAGATGGGTGCGAGATGTCTTCTCAAGGCGGACAATTGTACCCCATCAGTAGCATCAGTCGCGGCCCTTCCTTGGGTAGCACAGTAAAGAGGCAGAAGACCAAAGACGCCAGGTTCAGCGTTGTTTCGAGCAGCAACCGAAGAAGAGGAAGCGAGCCCTTCGCGGGCAAGACCACGAGTACGAAGCTGAAGCAGAGGGCCACTAAGGTGAGTTTTTTCGCACGCAGTCTCCTTGAACAGGGCATGTTCGAGCACTGATGCCGCCGCTGCTTGCTTCCCTCGTGTATAGGCTTGTGACAAATGTCGAGAACAGAAGTGCAAATGTGTCGCGGATCCCCACAACCCCAGGTCGTGTACTCAATGCGGAATGCTCGGCACAGCTTGCACCTTTCACGGCCCGAGCTTGAAACGGTGAGCATTTGCATCGTGTTCGACTGGGTCACTGTCCAGCGCCGTGAATGAGCCGAAGCCTTGACGACATTGATCCTGGCTGTGTTTTCATCAACAGAGGGCCGCCCAAAGGTTACTTGGCTGCCGTCATCAACAGACTAGAGGCTATGGAAGACACGATCCTTGCCAAGCTCACAGGAGCTGCTGATGATCCTCGAGCCAGACAACTCCTCCTTGAGCTCATCGGCGAATCTACCCTCTCACAAGTCCTCTCGGGTCGTATCGAATTTGGAAGAAGCAGGAGCCAAGGGTTGAAAAAGGGCAATGGCCCCTACGGCACGGTCTGGCATGAAAGTTGGTGGGTCAAGGGCCAAGGGATACCGGTCAATGCGAGTCTTTCGGCGAACAGTCGTAGTCTTGGGTCTCGCTTTCTTGATCCCATAAGAGCGATCGCTGCTGATCACTCGATCGTTCAGACCACATCATTCACTCACGGTCCTTCTCTCTCATCAAGCGGCGGGGAGGACCAGACCCTTTGGGACTGCGAAGACGTGGCTGCCGCTTCAGGCAGGATCTCTCGTAGCGCCAACTCAGCAGCAACAGCGTCGGAACGAGATCTAAAGTCGACGGGATCGACTCTAAGTCTGATTGAAGCTGCTGCTGATCAGACGTCTCCCGGATCCTCTCCTCTCTTCGACTGGCAGAGTCAAGCAAAGATGGGCTCTGCGGCAGGGAAAGCGAACAGACAACATCCTTTCCAGCCCTCGGGCCGCCCTCCCTTTCACCGACGTGTGTCGGAGGCCGGAAAGGATTCTGCGAACGATCTGCGAAGGGGCAGCAGTGACGCTGTTGAGCCGTCTCTCGTACCATTAGATCAAGCAGAACAGTATGCAGTGCAAGATGACATCTGTCGCGGTACAGACAACATGGAAGGGCACGAGCAAAAGCACACTGTCTTTTTCTCGGCGCTCTCTGGCATGCACAAGATATCTCACCATCACTGTAGCTTTAACGATTCCCTCTGGCACGTTCCCGGCTATGGAGAGAGTGATAACACTGTCAGCAGCTCCGTTGCGACAAGAGACGAGCAACAAATCGATATTCTGAGTGGGGTTGAACGATATTTCGCGGAGATACACCCTCAGCTTCCCGTGCTTTCAAAATCTTACTATGAGAAGCTCAAGAATAGGAGAGCTCTGGGTGACACTTTGCCGTCGTTAGAGAGCCTAGAATTGAGTAAGTCACGCAGTTACAGTGAGACAATGCAAGGGAGCAACCGGCTGACGACCAGCATTCTGCCTAACGATAGCCATGTACGAGGCCTCCCGAGCACCAGAGATCAGACACGGTCCAGGCAACACCCATCGTGTCGATGACGATAGGTCTCGCTTGCGAGAGGGACCTCCCTCTCTGCTGAAGGTCATAAGCCTAGTCGTCCAAGGCTTTTCTCTTCTCGGTCAGGACGAGTGCGTCGACGCATGCTCTTGCATTGGAGCTGCAGTCGCCAATGCTCAAGCTATCGGTCTTCACAAGACCAACGAATCAACACCGGCTACGGCCCTCTTCGACGCTGACGAGAGCCTGGCGCGGAAGACGGCGTGGAGCTCCTGCCTCTTCCTTGATAAGATTCTATTGGCCATGGGCTTCAGCTCCTCAATCGACACACGCTTCTGCGATGCTGTAGCGGCCACACCAGACGATGTCAGAGCCGCACAAAGCAGCGAACTCGCGCCTTACAGCGATCAATCGATTGTCGCTGATGTTCGCTTGTTAGCATGGCTGCATCGCTGGGCTGTCGTGATGGACTGTGTCGCTGTGACACTCTACACAACGAAGCAGCCTTCTCGAGCTGAAGCAGACCGCTGCGAGGAGCGGGTGCTCGCTCTCGAAGAAAGCTTTCAGCAGCTGCCAAAAGGTGAAGAGCCGCCGTGCCGCCCTCACCGCACTGCAAACGATAACGATCGCCGTCAACCCCTGGTCGCCCTGAGATTGTTGCTGCATCAAGTCTGGATTCAGCTTCATTGGAGATTCAATACCCCTTTGAGGCAAATTGCGTCTACTCAGTCCGCAATGGTCATTGCGCGACTCCTTGAAGAGACGTCAGTCCCTCTTCGTCTTCCTACATGGGCTGTACATTCGGTCTTCATTGCAGCGACTGAGCTCGTAGCGAGCTTGAACTCTGCGACGAATCAAGAAGGGAGGGATACAATGCTGCAGCGTTTGACGACTATTAAGCACGCTTTGAAGGATGGCTTTGCCGTCTTGCCTTTGGCGGACCATCGCCTGATCCTGCTGGAAGGCGCATACCTTTCCGATCTGGCAGACTCCAATGATGAAGCGTCCCGAAGCAATGGTCAAACGACTCTTCAACAGCAATTCAGCACTCTTCGTCACCCTCAACGGCAGCTCTCAGCGAGCCCGGGCCAAGCATCAGTACGTCCTCTCGCGGGGAGTGCAACTGAGCCTCCGATCTTTCTGCCTCTATCTACGGCACCAGACTCCTGCGTAGATACTCGCATGAGCCTCGGATGCCCCAATGGTAGTCTCTACAGCAGTGCCCCTGAGACGGGCATTGCCGACTGGGGAGCCCCTGAACACACTGTAGACGCCTGCACTGCTGCTTCTGAGACTGCAGTCGTCGACATGCGGCACAACCAGGCGATGGAAATGATTTCAGACACTGCAGAGCCTTCTCGCGAGAGTCAACATCAGCTGCTCTTTCCCTTGTCGAGTTCTCTCCTCCGCAACTCCTACCCTTTTGACGATAGTGCTTGGACTCAACTCTCTCGTCCGGGCGGTAAATCATCATCGGAAGATGTAAGAGAGCAGCGTGACTCTGCCCGGCAAGGACAAAGTCAAGAGGAGCGATGCAGCATCAAAGCTGAAGCAGGACGAGAGGTGGGGAGTACTACTGAGGTCACTGCACCCTACTCTCTTGCCCACGCGAATGTAGTCTACGGACAATCTCAGAGCAACTCCACTTTCAGCGGCAACAGATCCAGCTCCTTTGCTCGGGGCCCCTCTCACCCAGAACTCACGAGAGTCATCGGCAGTACAGGAGCTGTCCGAGCGCCGGCTCGGCCAATGCATACATACTCACCCCTCGGCACACACGACTCTTTTCTCTCTCAAGTCATCGAGCGGAGGGGTCCATGTAGCCTTTCATTCCCACCTACGGATAATAGTGAATGGTCCGTAGAGGCCAAGGCGAATGAAAGTACTCTGTGGAATGGTTGTACGTCGCCGGAACAATATCAAGGCACTACTCATGGGATCAACGCCAGCAGGGGAGTGGATACGAACATCGGACTAGGGCTGAGTCTGAAGTTGAGCAACGCGGCACCCGCTGAGGTAGCCAGTAGCGCTCTCGGTGCCACGCCTGCCACCTCCGAGTGCACCAGCGGCAGAGGAATGCTCACGTCCCTCATTTCGGGCTCGCGTTCTCCCGGCGAAAGCTCATCAACCTTGCGCAAAGCTCTCGACTTTCAACGTCTCAAAGAAGAACCTGGCATCTCGGTATCCACGCTTGCGGGGATATGCAAGAGCGTGCGAAGCAGCGCTAGCACGAAAGCCCCAACGAGACCCGCGACAAATCTCGAGTGCGATCTTGTTCGATCAGATGAACAAGAGCGATGATTCAATTCTGATCACAATCCACAGCGAGGTCGCTTGCTTAGGAGATTCGTACAGGTGATACTTTGCAGACCCTCGAATAGGGGCCTGCGTACTTTCAATGAGGGACGAAACACCGCAGTTTCTCATGCTCTTCCTGCTTCACTCTTCCTCTCAGCTCGACTCGCCAGTTCATGTACTCTTTGCCTCCCCCTATCAAAGAGAAAGTCGATGCCACTGCAGTCACACGAATCATGACGCTTTAGCCGCTGCGCGAGATCCACCCGTTGACAGCTTCCTTGGCAGATGATCAGGGTGCGGCGAAACGAAAAGCGCTAGCCACTGATGCAAAATCATTGTGACGAGAGTGAGAGGATGTCAGGAGACGGCTCTTGTCCTCGCACCTCTCCCGTCTACTTGCCATTCTGATGAGCCCTTTCACCCGAGAGTCCCCCTGCCAGACTGCCCTCACGACCATTGCGCAAAGATGAGGAAGGGGTCGCAGGCCCTCGCAGGGAACGTGGCGTCTGTGTGCTGTATAGCGTCAGCGAGTGTATCGCTGCAAGGCAGAATGGCTTGCAGTGCTCACCTCGGGTATCTTGCTTCCGGCTCTAGCAATGTCAGCGCCATTTGCTCTCCCCGCATGCTGGAGATGTCCAAGACTTGGACTGGCCAATTGGCCGAAGACGCTCTGACGTTGGCTATTGCCACCTCCGGCACCAGTAGGAGAACGGAGGACGCCGTTGCCCGGAAGTATGATGCCTTGTTCGCCAGCACCACTCTTACCGAGAGCAGGGCGGAAGCGATCGTGCTGAGAGCTGGGCACCGATGTCTGATTGAAGAGAGGATTGGTGCTGCTGTCATCGCGTGCCATACCGCCTGCGTTCATCGTCTTTGGCGTCATCGTAGGTGAAGGCGGAATGAAAGCTCGTGGGTTGCTCTGCCAGAAGTTGTTTGTCGAGTCGGCGCTCCTACTGTCGAGACCCTGCTGAGGCATAGTGGGAGCGGGCGCTGTATGAGCACCGCCACTGCTCTTGCGTCTCTGGTCCTGCTGCAGACGCAGCTGCGAAGAGCATGGGTGATAGTTCAGTTGCGGTACTGTCACACGTTGTCCCATGCGACTGCGACAAAATGCAGCTAGAACTTACCTTGAGGCGCTCGTAATCCTTTGTGGCTGCTCTGAGTGCTTCCTGTAGCTCGCGAGATCGACGACGCTCTCCAGAAAGATCTGAAGAGAACCACGAGCGTGTCAAGTGATGTACGGTCGTCCCTCCCGGTCATATGCACGACTTTGCTCTCTCACCTTTGTCAAAGTTCGCGAGCTTTTGCTGCAACAGGTTGATCTCGCCGTTGGCCTCTACAAGGATGCTCTGTATGCGCTTCTCCAGCAAAGTATTGCGCTCTGTCACCGCTGCGAACAGTATCTTCTGATAGGCTGCCTGTCAATGCCATTTACGTAAAGCAGAGTCAGAGAGCAGACTTTTCCCGGAGAGGGCCTACACTCGCCTCTTGGGACTGTTGGTATGTCCAAAAGCCTAGACTGCGCCCTGCAATGTCGATGATGACGTCTGGAGCAAGCCCGGCGAGGACTGACTGTAGATAGTATAGATGACCTGGGGCGTAAGTCAAGTGTGTACTCTTCCATCACCTGTCGATGTCTGCTCACCGTTCTATAGTCCACCGATGGGTTCAGAGAGCTGACGAGGACAAACATCTCATGAGTGAGTGAAAGGCCCCGACTGAGCTGCTCCATCACGCTCACCTGAGGACCACGTCATCGGGCTGATCCAAGACAGTCTTGCAAGCAGGACAAGCCTTGTCCGCGGTGAAGAGACTCTCTGCACAAGAGACTGGAGCCGGGTGACAAGGAAAGGACAGACAGTCTCAAGGGAGAGCTTTGCATTCCAGCGAGGGGGGCTCAGTCTATGCCTGGCTCACCACAGAAGATGTCTATGCCGGCGAGAAGGGTCGGGCGAGCAGCAAGATCACTGGAGTCAGCACTGTCCTTGCGTCGCTTCAGGATGGTCCTCTCTGATCCATGGTTCAAACTCACGACTGCAAGTTGTCACTACTGCCTTCCCTTCGAGTACTAAGCTCTTTCGGCATTTGAGCCCTGTCAAAGACACACGTATACCATCGGTGGGTCAGTGGTTGGACTGACTCTGAGGAGCGCCGTTGATTCCGGTACATCTCACAATTGCAGTGTAGAGAGTCGTCCATCCCTGCGAGACGAGCTTTGACAGAATTCGTGGGGCTCTGAGGGGCAGAAGCGTCTGGTGGGGAGTGAGGCGACAATGGACAAGTGGAGAAGGTAGCGAGCCCTTGCCTTGGAGGGATATGAACCTTGCGCGCTCCACCGCGCCCGCCGTCGCTTCGGACAATGGCCCGTCTGAGGTGCCGTACAAGCCTTGTACGACCACAATGATGGGATAGCTGGGGCGACGATCAGACGAACCTTCTCTCTTACTTTTTGGGAATGTACTCTGATGGATTACCCCTTTAGCCAATGGATCGCGTACACGTAGGTACCTCACCACGACTCTAGTACATGAACCAGACTAAAAGCTAGGTAAGGGATACATTCGGATCGCATGTATCTACAAGTAGATGTTTACATTCTCTCTATCTCTTCGACCCCAGGGTCTCACTTCCCCGTTGCCCACGTTTTGTTCCCATCGTCGTTCTGTATTGCCTCATTGACCTCAACCGTCTCGATTGGCAACGGCTCCAGGTCTTCGAAGTTGTCCTGCGCGAGGACACTGTCTCCCCAGTCGCTGAAGGGCAGCCTAACGCCCTCCTCCTGCAGGCGCAGGCTCCTACTGACCGCTTGGGGCGAAATCTGCTTGAGGTAGTCAATAATAGGGGCATCATTGACACACCTTTTGCGCAGCAGATTGAGGCCTGTGAATAGCGGCCGAACGTTTTCCTGCTCGTAGATGCCGTTGGAGTCGACCCGGTCGAGGGAAGCCAGCGCAAGGGGCAGCTCCTTGCCAGACGGGTCACGATAGGTCGTCTCAGAGACCATGTATGGCGTGACGACTCGAACGAGCTCCTCCAACGTCAAGGATAGCGCGTGTCGCCTTGGGTGGCCCCGCTTTCCCAGCGCGCGCTTCGCCCAGGCCTCGATGACGGCAGTGTTCATGGTAGCATGATCGACTAGAGGCTCTGTAGAAGGGCACAGCATACCATTCTCGTCCACTGAGATGTCTCGCTGTCCGCCCAGATGGCCAATCAGGGCCAATGCTTCTCGAAGCTCGAAGTCCAACTTGATGACGTTACAGCCAATGTCTACGAGCTGAATATTGTCGTTGGCGTAAGTGCCTCCCTATGACCGCGGCGTAATCGCGTCGAGAGACACCATGCTGGGGAAGAGGGTCTAGGGGCCGTATCGCAATAGCTTGGCCACTGGTACCATAGCCTCACAGCAACCCGGGCAATGAGGATCATGAGCGAAGCTTTTGCTCATGAAGACATAGAGGCGGTAGGCCTCCTCGTCGTACCTTGGATCTCCCCGAGCTAGGTCCATACGTCCGACAGCCTCCAGAGCCCGAGACTGGAAGATTCGGCAGCTGCGAGCAGAGAAGGCGGCGTCCTCGTTGTCCGGGCGGTCTTCCGGTGGCATACCTTGACGTGGAGGTCGAATTCGCCCCAGTGGAGTGTCCTCTCCCAGACGAGCCGTCCTAATCTGCCAGACCTGCGCTGCGATCTCTGCAGGGACAATGTCCAACAGCGTTATTGAGAAGATCGACACGGCTCCGGCCTCGAGGAGACAGACTGCTTTGACGAGGGTAGAGGCGATGTCACGATTGGCAATGCGCGTCCAAGCTTGCCGTGCCAGCGGGTTGTAGGCTTGCAGAAACAGAAAGCAGATCATGGCTATGATCTGCCCTCTGTCATAGTGCATTTGCACTGCAACCGCAACCTCGTACAGATCGCTGCCTTCTTCAAAGTAGATGACAATTTGTTGTAGCACGGCTAGCGCCTGCTCGACCAGAAGGTGAGGGGTGACCCTATCAGCTATTCTGGCGGCCGTCCAAGGAAATGTGGGCAGAAAATGGTCTGACGTAGTGGTAACGATGTCCAGAGCGGGAGCGGCGGCAGCACTTTTGACGGCAACGAGCCACGCTACGAGGAGCTTGTGAGGTTCCGAATGAGAGAATCTGAGTGTTGGACGACGGAGCGACAGTAGTAAGCGGTCAGTGCTCTGCGCCATTGATCACTGCCTCTGTCACGGTTCCTCACCAGTGCTTCGAGCTCCCTCAGATCCAGTTCGCCTGCGAAGCGTACGATCAGACCAGGCGCGTCGGCCACTACGGTGCCTTTGAGAACAGTGAAGATCCTGCCCCAGACGGACTGGATGGCATTGGACTTGGCAAGGCGGCGTAGAAGCACCGTCCACCGGTCGGCCCTCGTGGCGTCCTGTCGTAGGCTGTGGCCGACTTGGAACAGCACACATAAGGCCACGACGTACAGCCACTGTTTGACTCGGTAGTCCCAGACGGGCCCTCCGACGACTCTGGACGGTCGACCACATCTATTGAGAAGAAAGGCGGCGGGCTTGTCAGCAAGTGGATTTGGGGCGATATAGCCCTGACGATGAACTCACAAAGCCAGCAGATTGGTACCGGGGATAAACGCAAGAGGTATATCGCTGACGTCCAGCGTAGCGGCCTCTAGATCCGTCCCAGATCGTCGCAGGTGATCGCCGATGTATGCATCGACGGCACTCTGCTGAAAGCAGCCTTCTGCAAAGCAGCTGCCGGTATCAATAGATCTGGCATGAGCGGCCCGCTGCCCATGTCTACCGTCGTCAGAGGAAGAAGAGGCCCGGAGAAGGGTGTAAAGTCATCGACCTGTGGAGCTTGTACGATGCTGTGGTGGTACTGTCCCAATCGCAGAAGCTGAAACGTGAGTCAGAGAGGAAAGTGAAGAAGGCGATGAGAGGGGTCAGCAGGTGTGCGTGGGCTCCGCCTTTCTGCAATGCTGCATGTCACACTCACCGACTCGACTGCCGCGGTATGATCTATACTCTGCATCCCATTCAAGGGCTGATGAATGCCTTGACGTACCTTGTTAGCCTCCTGGACCAGGTTTCTATGCTTGCAATCAGCACTGTATTGCAAAGCCGTACGATGAGTGTTCGGAGAGATAGACCTAGCAAAGACCTCTGCCATTCTTGGAGCAGATTCCGCCGATCCTCTGTTCTTCGTTACGTTCCTTGATTCGAGAGGCTCTGTAGCACTATTTGCCGGCGAGATGACCCTCGAGGTCATAGTTGTACGTTGATCGTTGTCCTCGACTGTGTATAGATCCGAACCAAATCCATTCTGGCCTATGGACAACAGCAAGAGGAGGAGAGGCAACGTCAGATCAGGCGCTCGACTGAAGAATGCCATTGCCACGAAAGACTACATACCGGAGGAGTGAAGAATCTCTGTATGTCGCAACAAGTGGTACGTGAGTCGCATCGTTCTTGCTGGATGAGTCGGCCTGGCCCTCTCGTTTGCGGATGCAGTCGATGATAAGGTCCGTGTTTGACAAAGTCTCGGAGCTGGCCCTGCTTGAGTCAACTTGGAGCATGCTGAGACAGTCCCTTCGATTGTCATGGCTGTGTGTCGCCACGATCATCGGCCAAGGACATAGGGTGAAGAGGGCGGGAGGGAAAGATGCCAGCGAGTGCAGCTGGACGACTTGTCTATGCGCGCGAGAGTGGGGCCCCGCGGCACGTGACTTTGGCGCCGCAATCTCCTCGAGCTTTTTTCACCGCGCCAACGCCAGTGCAGTAGCTGAGTATAAGATTGTACTTTTGTCTCCGAGACCTACTGGGTACTGTCACAGCTTCTACGCAATCGATCAGCTACGACACGGCTCTCCCTTGTTGACACCTGTAACTATCTCTCCTGACTGTGCTTTCGTGGCTTGCCGGTGGACATTGATGCGGCGACTTGCGAGCGACAAAAGGCCGCCTCGGTTATGCACGTTCGGAGCACTGATAGTTGCTGCCCTTCCGATCTCCGCTCTCCATGTTTGAGACAACATCGCCGGCAAGTCGCCACGGCCTGCCCTTAACTCTGCAAACCTCGTGATCAAACAAGCAGCACCCATCATCGGCGGATCCAGCAGAAAGCACTGTCTCCTGGAAATGACAGGGCGCCAGCAGTGCAAGGGTTCATCTCGCGAACGACTCAAGCGGCTTACGACAACAGCGACGACAACAAGAACAACAACATCATCATCAGACTCACCGGACTCAAATCGACTGGAAACGATACAGATCAGCAGTGCATGGCTTGTGGGAAAGGGTGACTCTTGTGGTATCGAAGTGGCACTTCAGCGCTCATAGATGTCTTTGGCAACTTGACTCTCAATTGTCACCAGTGGGTAAGTCGCTTTGGTAGGTCGCTCTTGGATATACACGTCCTTAGATCTGACGGCCGATACTCTGCCCCGCTTGCATTGTCTGTTCTAGTTGACAACTGATGTATGACAATGGTTAGCTGAGGAAAGAACTCCTGCGCCTATACTGGAAGCATTGCAGGACCAGCACGAACGGCCGAGTATAACAACCTCGTTTGTCACACCGCAACCGTCGCTCCAGCCGCAAGTACTCTACCAGAGGCCTTAACCTTGATCTTGCCCCCCGAGTAGCCATCAGCATGAGCGTCAGCACCAGCTGCAGCAGCAAGCTGCAAGAACATGTGCTCCTTCAATTTCTTTGCGCCAAACTCGGCAGCAGCAGCATGATTTGGGAACTCATTATGAGCAGCAGCAGCAGCAGCGACGACAGCCTTCCAGGTTCGACCGCTGCTCAGCGGCCACGCCAGCGGCAGCGACAGACTGCCAGCTCCTTCCCCTTGGGCCACTGCTCAGCAGCAGCACCGAAAGACACGTCAGCCACGTCAGTAATAGCAATCTACAGTCACTCCATCCGCTCCGCCAGTGGTGCAACAGCAGTAGCGGCGCGAATCAAAGCAGCCAAGCCAGCAGCTCCTTCGTGCACCCACCTCGTCGGCTCTAGCACTTGAGTGATAGCGACCGCTGCCATCGCTGATCAGCAGCAGTATGACCGATAGGAGCAAAAGGTTCGAGCGGCCCTTATGAGCCCACGTCGGAGCGTAAGGGGTAGCGCAAGTGGTATGACAACCTCGCACTGTTCCGTACATACAAAATGGGGGCCACGAGATCACGTACCGAAGGACGAAGCATCGAACATGAGACGTACCAAGATGGGAGCTCTCAAAGTATCTAGCCACAGCCAAGCCCTCTTCCCATTAGAAAGAGATTGGTGCTCGTCTCAAAAACCGTCGTCGGTTTTTCTTACATTGTACTCGAACGCCCTGGCGCTCAGTCGCTTCTATGTCCCCACTTTTAGATTACCGCTCGCTTAAAGAGAACAGTAGTAATGTTTGTCACAGGGCAGTGTACGATGATGTGCTGAGCGTAGTCGTATGTATGAGTACTGAGCCAACGGAAGAAGATCAACAGTGGCCAAGGAAGAGGAGGCGCCAGCCCGCTTCGGAGCCGAGGAGGCCAGCACGGAGGTAATCTTGTCTCTTGGGGCTGTCCCTTCTCTGGTGCGTTTTTGTTTGGCGAGGGGCAGGAACGGCTCTTGTCTCTTGGGGCTGTCCCTTCTCTGGTGC